TGCCGGTAGGAGTACATGGTAGAGCAGCACTTGTACCAGGGAGTGATGACTGAAGATTCTGCATCGGCTGAGAACCAACAATGATGAGAGTAGCTCGCTTGTTCTTCTGCAGGAATGCAACCGGGCGAACTGCAGCCGGGATCGTTTAGAGCCATCCCATCTCTCCGCCCGCACTGTATCGACCACCAAGCTGAGCGTCCAGAACTCAACGAGTTGATGCGCACAGAGAGAGCGCTCCCATCGAAAGCCATGCCCAGCTTGAAGCACCTGTGATTTCCGAATTGGTCCAGCCGCATAGCGATAGCCACGACGTAAGAACCGGAAATTTCAAGCAGAGCGTGAACCCCTACGTATACTGACGTGTACGTCGTACAAGCAGGTAGGTGAACAATTTGGCGGAAAAGGCGTTCACGGCGCCTACGAATGACCAGGCATGGACATCAGCAGCCCCATGCATGCTACATGTATTATGCCCTGTACTCGGCCTTGATACAGTCCTTGTACGGTACCTTGTGCGGGCTCCTGGCTGCGGTCCTGGAGCATGCGCAAAGTCCTGGGATCTGTGACGAGGATCGTGGTGCTGGGGTCGCTGTTCATGGTATTCGTAAGTACTCGTTCGTATGTCCCTCCGTAGGAGCCTTGAATAGACATTTGCTCTGCATCATAGGGATGCCCCGCTCGCCACTCCATACGGACAAGGTGTTGGCAAGCATGTCCCCGAATGAAGATGCTGAGCGACAGACAGGTGGCCATTTGCCATGGTTGCAACTTCTGTCAGCCGAGTCTTGCTTCTGGCACGTATTACGCTTTCGGTGCGAAGTAGCATTGCCAAAAGTGAGACGAGGCTTGTGAGCCTGATGTGTCATTTTGCGTGGAAAGTCGACAAGTGACTGCTTTAGACGCATAGGTATGGACAGAAGTATTTACTCCGTAATCGGTCAAGAGATGCTGTTCGAAAAGTATTCCTTGCCTTGGCCGACTGCATTAATACCAATTTGCTGTGAAAATGCCTGGTAAGCGAGTTCAGCTTCTGGCAGAGTGAGATTGCTTCTGGCGAGCGTTGCGATATGAACGTACTGGGTTCGACGCCCTCCTCGTCCCAATTTCCGCCTCTTTGTTGGCTGTTCATGCATATTGCGCCTCCCTCGCCAGCGCTGCAGCTCAACGTACGAGCTGGGGCTTCTGTGCTCCAGTTGTCCCGGCCTGAGATTCCTGGTCAGGACCCCGAAGACAGGTAGTGTGCACTTTCAGCATATAGCCTAAGCAACAAGTTGCTCTCGAGTCAACGACTTGCATACCCATACCATAATCAGGCTCAACCCGCAGTTTGTACAAGAACATGTAGTCAACGGCTGTAACCTCCAGCAAGGGGTTGAATGCAATCGCACATGAGAGCAATTCGGCGTATCCTATCCAAATACTCTGCACCCCGTGCATTGTGTGTGTGTGCGCGTGCGTGTGTGTGCGTGCGTGTGTGTGTGTGCGTTGGCTTGTGTCTGCTGCGTGTTGTTGCTGTGTATGGTGTTGTGGTTGTTGTTGTTGCGGGTTTGACGGCACCGGGAACGATCTCCATTCCATATCACCCAATAATGGGCTTTGCACGGAGCGTACTCCGGGGCTCATGCAGCTGTTCGCAGCTTCAGCGCCTCGCTAAGCTGGCCACTCATTCGGCGAGGAGTGGGTAAATGGATGTCTGGAGACGATGCCCTGCCTGCCCGCGATAGGTCCTGGTATGTACTTGTTCGTCTTGCATGAAGGAGAGGGGCGCTGCGACCGTTTTGCGAATGAGTCTGGTGATGATCGACCTCATCATGCGTCGCCAAGACGTGCTGAGCCGTACAGGATGCCCATAAACGGAGTCTCTAGCCTGCTGGTTTTCTCCCTCAACCAAGCCGGAGACTCAGGCGCACAATCCTTACGGGGAACTCCCTGCCCGATGAGAATCGCCGTGGGATTGACTGGTCTCGTACATCCCTGCTCAGCTGTGGTTGGGGTAAGAGTACCCTGATGCACCCGCACCCGCACCCCGTCCATCACCCATCACCCATCACCCTTTGGCCCCGTCGCCCGTCGCCCATCACACATCACATACTTGTACAGCTGCTAGCTCCATCGCCGTCGTGCTGCACATGTAGGCAAGTACAGCCACGTACTCTGTTTTACTACCATCCTTGAGAGGTACGACGGAATGGGGTGACTCAGAGGAACAAGACGCAGAGCCAAGCCTGTAGCGGATGCGATATCGAGCTCATCATTTGAAGCCTCGCCGTTCGAGAACCGATATCAGCTGCGCTCATCCCCTAGTGTGCTCCGTAGGGGCACGTTATACAGGCATGCGCGCAGGTAGAAGATGGGGTCCATGGACATCGGAGGAAACGACCAAGTTGGTTGTCTTGCATGACATGACGGGCGCGCGTTGCCCAACTCATAGAAGTCAAAGGGACGGGACGACGACAGGCTGCAGCCCTAGCCTGTTGCATTGGCACACAGCTGCAAAGAGGAACTGCCATGAGGGGCTTGGGTGAGATCCCCGCTCAGGGCTCACTCGTTTGCTTCCTTTCGTACTTCTGTCTTTCTCTTTTTCGGGAAGTAGGATGAGGCAGAGCTCCCGCCATGGCGTAAGAAAACAATCCCCTTCACATTTTGACGTTTACGCGAGTTTGCGGTGGGTGTAAGCCGCTAGACCTGCTGTAGTCACACGACATGAGGTCGGGAAGCCATGGCAGGATGGCTTCTAAGGCATTGAAGCAACTTTCTCCAGGGCCATCGAGTGGTACTTTTCACTGTGTCGACGGCGAGTTCGGCCGTTCCTAGACTGTGTCTGATCTCGGATACGGAGCTAGACCGACATAAACGGTAGTGTCCAGAGTGTGGGCGGCTTGTAGCAATCGGAACTCTGAGCATGAGTCGTGATAGAGCGGGAACTCTTTTTGGACTGGCACACTCTCCGATCCCGACAGCGCGGTAGGCATCGCCTGGTGGGAACGGGCCGTGGCTCATAGCGCTTGAGCCAGGACCAGATATGGACAAGTTGAGAACAGCCACGCAACCGTGAGAAAACCGAGGAACGGATGTGCGGAGCACGTTGTGGTTGATACTCGTGAGGGGGGCCTCGAGTGTCAAGGTGCGTGTGTATGTGTGTGTGTGTGCGCGCGTGTCTCTGTTACACGATGCAATGAGGGCTGACCCCATGGTAGTAGTATGGACACAACTAGACAGAGTATGCCTAGACACACACCCCGGCAGCAGCGGCTACTGAGCTGGTGTGATAATGACGATGATGGCCCGGAGCTGGGAGAGCTGGAGTTCGTGTGTAGCCTAGGGACAGGCCCCGTATCGCCCGTGTGCCGTAGCAGCAATGGTAGAGTAGCACTCGCTCTCAATAGTCTCCGATGTGTAACACGACCAGATGATACGGTCAAGGGAGTATCGCGCCCGTACGGGAGACCAGTAAGCGCCTCCCGCTCTGACAGCCTTGAACCAGCTTCCCCACGCATCGGTCCAGGCAGTCGAATCACACTTGCTACTGGCATTTGTAGCTCCCCTCCAGGCTAGGGTAGCGGGAGAAAGAAAAGGGACCAATCGGACCCTAGGGCGTGCTGCCATGTGAGATTTTGAGATGTGCGATTTGGGGTCTAGGGGTTCGCTCTACTCGGCCATCTGAAGATGCGCTTTTGGCCCTGTTGGCCCTAGGCGGCTGGCTATCTGCGGCGCCGGCGTGACGTAGGCGGCGTCAGGCGACCAGATCTCATTCTTTCATGGGGGGCCATTGTCATGAGAAGCGGCTGGAGAGGCACAACGAGGGACCAAACCAGACCAGACCAGACCAGGCCAGGCCAGGCCAGGCCAGGCCAGGCCAGGCCAAATCAAGGTAAATTGATTGCGAGTGTTGCCGCGACGGGCTGGCGCTTCGTGCCTACTGTACTTGTACTTCGTCGACTGAGCCATTGTGAGCTGCTGGGGATCCATAGCGCGGCCCGGGTTGAGGATTCCCAAGAAGCCCCGTCCAAAGTGGACGATCAAGCGGAGAGCTCTGGATGCAAGCGACATCTGAGCGAGAGAAACCAAGGTAAAACGCATGCAGCAGGTGAAAACCTTTGGGTACACGGCCATGGCGTGGAGGGCGCAGGATCGCAGCATGGCCTGGGCCTTTTGTCTCTCGAGTCTCTGCGGACCGGCTCGCCAGGCCAAGCCAGGACGGGTTGGGAGTCCAGCCGCTTTCAATGGGCTGGAGGATGGGCTGAGCTGAGCAGTCGGCCGCTCTACCTGGATCAAATCCTATGCTCACGTCTCATGCTTGTACGAGCGTGAGGAGGTATGTTGGTATGTGAGGTACCTAGGTGAGGTAGGTAGGTAGGTAGGTACGATAGTCATGACGCACTCGCATGCGTGCCATGGCTTCCTCGTACTCGGCACCTAGGATGCAAGCAGTTGTCAGTACCTATGCTGCTGCTATCGTACCGCCACCGCCTGCAGGTTACATGTACGGAGCCTCACGCAGATGCATCTGGCCCTGAACGGCAGAGAGCAGCGGCTCGACGAGAGTCGATGCCATGCCCTGCTACAGCTAAGGTCTAGAGCCACGAATGGCCCGCCAACCGCCCAGCACAGTCGAGGGAGCCGCATCTCCGAGGAGCGCCAGAGCCACAACTGAACAACGGCAGCTGAGAGTCGGCGGCGATCTGCTAGAGGACAAGCAAGGCGAAGCGAGGATGAACGCAAGTGTAACAAACAAGCCAAGATCATGGAAGTCCAGGTGCTCGAGGCACGAGTAGAAGGAAGCTGAGCGGGAAATGGGACAGAAAGTGGGCAGCCCGGGTGATTGCCTTCCATCCGTTAGCCGATGGCTGCCAATCGCACCATGTCACTACTAGCTCGTGGTACCACGACCGCCCAGACGCACTTGGCAGGCGTACATGGACGCCATTTGTCGGCTTATCCGCGCCGCATCCACATTCAACCTGCATCCTGCAACTCTACGCAAAATTCGCAGATAGACTACGATTTGCAGCCTCCGGGACTGGCATCAGACGAGCTCCAGGGCAAGCGTCATCAACGAGAATCAGAGCCGTCGGCACCGAGGAGCCAGAACAAGGCGAGACAGAAAGGAAAAAAACAAGAAAAAGCACCGGAACACGCATCGGACGAGATCGCTGCCGTCGCAAGCTGGTTTGGTCTAGCCCAGACGGATAGGTGGCGCCGCGGAAGGCGACAAGTCCTGCTTCGTACAGCAAACAAACTGCAGCCAGACGCACACCGGTCCATCGGTCAGTCATACCTTGCAAGCTCCTCGACGGGCGAGCTGGTGCAGGAGGCGGCAGGAGAGCCCTCGAGAGACAAAGAGAGAGAGGAAAAGACAGAGAGAGAGAGAGAGAGAGAGAGAGGCCGCCGCGAACGCACACGCCCCCTCCCCTTTCCCCTCCCCTTCCCCCCTCCCCTTCTCCCTCTGACTCTTCCCTTAATTTCCCTTCCTGGTTTTTCCCGCCTTGACTTTGGCTCATACGGCTTGACGCAGACGAATCATCAACGACGACGCCCAGCCAGGAACTGCGAGACCCGCTTCAGCCTCGACTCATCAGACGCAAGAACGCGAAAACGTCATAATGGCGGGTAAGAAGGGCGTGGACAACAGCAAGAAGGCGGCGGGCAACGCGCGCAAGGCAGAAAGCGCCGCAAAGAAGAGCGCAGCTGCAGACGCCGCGCGCGAGACGGCCGAGAGCGAGAAGTGGCAACAGGGAAGCAAGAATACATCGAAAAAGTACGTACGTACGTGGCACGATGGCGCATTGCATGGCATCGCTTCGCATGCCTGTTCCGTGCTCGCCTCGCCTGGTTGGCTACGTGTCCCAGGAGCCCGTTTCCGCTGCCCCCTCTGACCATGGTCCACACAATCATGCCGCTCCCTTTGTCCCGTGCCCACCGCCTCTGGCACTCTGCGCCAGTCCGCATTAGCTGATACTGACTTGTTCTTTTCAGGGAAGCAGAGGCCGCCAAGAAGGCCGAGGCCGCGGCGAAGAAAGCTGAGAAGGAGGCATTGATGAAGGAGGAAGAGGCTAGCCTAAGTGCCCGTGCAGAGCCTAAGAAGTCCAAAACAGCAGTCAAGAAGTCTCGGGGGCTGGACCTGTCGCAGCTGGAGGGCGACAAGCTGGGCGCCATCAGTGCCTCGGGCATCGACAATGCTCTGGATGCCCTTTCCCTGACGGCTGGTGGCGATGATTCCAAGATCGACCAACACCCGGAGAGGCGATTCGCTGCTGCATACCACCGATACGAGGAACGGAGGCTTGCCGAGATGAAGGCCGACGGCAGCGGCACGGGGCTTCGACTGGAGCAGCGCAAGCAGAGGATCAGGAAGGAATTTGACAAGAGCCCCGAAAATCCCTTTAACCAGGTCACTGCCTCATACAACGCATCTCGGGACGAGATTAAGGACATCAAATCTCAGGAGCTAAACAAGATTGAGAAGAGACTGGGACACTAGATGTCGCTGCAACCATCCTCACTCGAGCACTTTTGGAAACACAAAGACAGTAAAAACACACATTTCAATGAATACAAAATGGCTACAGCACTTAGACCCGTTGGTTACACCTTGAATCTTGGTGAAAAGGTTCGAACCAAATAAACAACAACAACAACAACAACAACAACAACAACAACAACAACAACAACAACAACAACAACAACAACAACAACAAAAAAGGTAGCTCTCAACCAAAAGCACAAGATGCTGTTGCTTTGTAAGGGCCTTGATAATCAGACCAAATTAAAGTCTCCTGTATAATTTCCAACTAAAACCCCCAATCGTGGGCTATTCACCAATGTTCTTCCGCGTACCTTGGCTAGTAGCGAATCTTGGAAGCTCTGGATGGCTTCCCGTCCGATCAGTGACGTCTCTCCCAACCCCGCGGCAGCTTCTTCAACTTTTCATCATTCTGCCGATCTGTCCGGCAGAAATATTCACCGCCCGGCGCTTTCCCTCACCGCCTCCTCATCCCGGCCGCCTGCTTGTCCCCAGACTCCCGCCTCGAGTCGTGTCGGTGGACGGATGATGCATGCGCTTCTCCGATTGCACCCGTGCGATAGTAGATAACGAAACACTCGCTGGCCGACATGACTTCTCTCGACTTGGGCCATCTTCCCTCGCTGTGGCGACAGCACCTGCTGTCGGAATTGTGAGTAGTGCACGGGCTGGGAGACACTGAGAGGCACCAAGACAACACCACGCTCGACCATCGTCCAGGCTAACCAAGCCTCTTTCTTACTGCAGTGCCGGTCTGAAGCAAGCCTGCCCCGAAGGAGTATTCGTCAGCTTGACTCCTGGCGATCCGTCCTTGTGGTCGGCCGTGCTCTTCGTCCGCCATGGTGAGTTAACGACTGCCCCTTATCTCTCGGGAAGCTGGCCTGCCCTGCGGAGCGCCGTGCATTCTTCGCTTTCGAGCATCTGCACTCAGCTGACCTTGATTTGCCACTTAGGCCCGTATGCGCCAGCGGTTCTTCGATTCCAAATTTTGTTTCCCGATGCCTATCCTCGAGCGCCGCCGCTGGTTACCTTTTCAACCGACATCTTCCACCCCCTCATCACGCCCCTGACGACACACATGTATCCCACGAGCGGTGAGAACGATGGGAGCACTACCGAGAGGCCGAAGCTACCTCCTGGCGGCTTCAGCTTAGAGCACGGCTTCCCGGAGTGGTTCGGCGGCTCTCGAAGGCGCGCGGGCGGAAGCCGTCAAAGCAGTCGTGAGCGAAGAGGCGCCTCGCCGTCGGCAGCGTCTACGACGTCAGCGCCATCTACGAGCGACAAGTCGCCAGCGGTGCCGCCGAAGGATGTACCCCCCAAGGATGTTCCGCCCAAGGAAGTCCCGCCGTACATGCAGACAGACCGAAAGACCATTTCGACATACTCGCTGTTAAAGTATATCCGAAGCACGTTTGACAAGGCCGAGGTCCTCGACGCCGTCCCTCTTTCCGCTGCAGGCAACCCAGGTGCTTGGCATGCGTGGCGTACGCATCGACGCAAGGAAGGAAAGGTTTTTGAGGAGAAGAAAGGTCACAGATTGAGCAGGCTGAGCAGGCTCAGTATCATTGATGGGCTGCCCAAGTTCCCTAGCAGCGAGCAGGGCGATGCCGCAGCGTCTGATGCCAAGAGTATAGCCTCTCAGTCCACCACTCGCGAGCCCGGAGATTGGAACTGGGACGGTGTCTGGGAAGACAGGGTGAAGAAGGGTGTGGCGTCTACCCTGACCGAGTCGGTGCTATACGGCGCCTCTGGAATATCTGATGACATGGTACGTTGTTTCGACTGTCAAGTTGCGAATGTGCTCCTCTTTCGCCTTTGTACATTGCCGCGCTAACCTTGCGATTTCTTCACAGATTCATTTCCTGGCGCTGGAAGAGGGGACTATCGAGGCGGTCAAAGGCAATCTTCGCCGAACACTGGATGCCTCAGCCTGATCAGATCGTTGATTTGTGCTTTTTTCTACACATCCTGACTCCTTCGCCCTGCTACCCTTCAGCGTTTGCCATCGACCAAACTCGTTCCTCGCGCATTTTTTCGAGACCTTCATACATACGAGCTCTAATTTCTCGCACCATAGTACGGAGAAGGGCTGGCCCTCACGTCGCCATTAGAGAAACTGTTTACTTGTTCTCGGGCCTAAGCATATACCTATTTTCACTCAATTCCACCAATTTTGGGCGTCTTACATACACTTTAGTAGAAGTTGATGCATGTCATTGCTTCTATAGAACATGATCAATACCTTATCTACCTTCCTTAGGTAGTTACTACGTACCTCCTTATATACCTACCTACATGTGTGCTTTCCATTAATGAAGTACCTACCTACATACCTCCGACCTCAAGGTGCCTATCGATACCACTCATGTCACGTTATCTCATGAATCGCAGCTGCGACGATCATGCTCTTGCTGTTGATTTCCCACGACTGATTACTCCATCGACCTTGACCAGGGCTTCTTTCTACAGACTCACACCTTTTCTGCTAGGTTCTGCCTTGCGTGCTTGTCGCATTGAAGGCAGTCAATTCTGTCTTGTTCCTGCCGCCACGAGTTCTTTGCTCCTCCTCAAAGTCGTTGATAGTTCCTTCGTCAAGGATGCAAAACAGCTCTGCTGCAGCTGCTGTCCTCCCCGAATACGAGAATCCCTGGATCATCTGGCAGCACCCAACCTCAGCCATTGCACTCGTCGCCATCATTCTCTCCATATTCATTCTTGTCGCGGCCGTTATATCCAATGCATGTCTGTCACCGGTTTCTTATGGACTGGATACCCGTATAATCTATTTCTTGCGGCAAAAGTGGGATCGACGACGTGCCTCCAGTCTCGAACAGCATCGGCAACTCGAAGACCAGCCAGTCGTGCTCGTTGAATGACGCCTAAGGTATTTCCATGATGATCAAAAGCTGAGAGATCACTGCCGCCTCTCTTACCCGTCTTTTTGTCGTGGTGCTAAATGCCCTTTGTCATGTTTAGCATGGATCCCTTTGAGGACGAGCCTTCGTGGGGTTTCGAACCCTCAAGCTCGAGAGAGCAAGTCTTTACGAAGGACAAGCCGAGTCCACTTCGAATCATCAAGAGACGTCACAGCAATGGCCAATATGATGCGAGAACATACAAAAGCAACTACGCAGTCGTTGATCCGAACGGCAGCCCCTCCGAGCCTTTGTTCATACGATCCGAATTCCCGCCAACTCTGAAGCTCCCAAGACGACGACCAAAAGGTGTGTCCGGATGGGACAATGGCTACAGAATTGAAACATCAACGGGCCTGGGACGGCCGTCACAGAAGTTGAGCTTTGGCAGCTGCTCTATGAGCAAGGATGACGACGATGTCATTCCCAGACAGGACTGCAAGCCTCGAAACGCATCCCTTTTTAGGCACTCTGCTTCACGATTCAAACGATTCCGCCAGAAACGCCATAGCGTTTCAAGTAGCCTTGGGATAAAGGGGGAAGACCGTAACTTTTCAGCATGTACCCTTCCTTCGGAGCGCAACATATGGTTAGATGTATCATCTCGAGCAAGCTCTCGATGTACCAATTACGAACTAAAAGACGCATGTCACTCGACGAACTTCCCAATCCTATCCAACGCTACGCCATCAAAGGAAAGCTCTGTTGTCCTGTCTCCGCATATACGTGTCGTCCCGGAAACGGTTGGCATATCTTTCGGTCAGCAGCACATTTGGGCTGCTGTTGAAGTCAGTGGCAGGCTTTCTCAGGCAGGTGACGGACCAGAGCTGGGCCCCGAGATGGTGGCTTGCTCCGAGGGAGGTAAGCCATGACCATTTATTTTCCACTCTGGCTAGACGCTGTGATTGATGGGTATTGTTTCTGTGTCACAAATTCTGATGAATGGAATAGATACCGCTTCCAAGTTCGGCTACCTCTACGATGTCATTGTCGACGCACTGCCCATGCCACAATCATTGATTCTTCAGATCATACGCCAGCAAGATTCTCCAGCGTACGTTCACTTGCTAGGCTTCACACAGCGCTTAGACTTGAACTAACGCAAGTCAATTTCATATATAGTACTATGTTTGTCGGATCGAGCATGCTTCTTCTTGTTCATGTATTGTGCCGCCCCGGAGTAGCTTCTTCTTCGCCCCGGCACAAACACCTAAGGCAAAGGTCGGAAGAGCTAATGGAGGATCTCGAGATGCAATTGGGAGACATCTTCATACCATTCCTGAATATCCAGGTGACTTATTCACACTCTGCGTTCCCTTGCCACTTGGCCTCGGCAGGAGCTGAGATGTCTTCTATTCACACCAAACTCAGGACAACTGCAGAAGCAACTGTCAAGCTACACAATGCTCTCTCTCCATGGTCGCCTCAACCAGTGATGGCCAAAGGTCGACTGTTGCCCTTAATGAGGCGTCACTGGGGGGCACAACGAGCATCCGAAGTGATGGAACAGATGGTGGAGCAACGCTCTGTGTCAAGTCCGGTGCACACTGGCGGACTGTCCGAGAGACTTTCATATAGTATGGCCCAGCGTCATTCGGATCCCGCTGACTCCCCAGCCATGTCTACGAGACGAACCAGCCTTCAAGGCACACTGCAGATGACAACAGAGGCACACACTACGGCGAGATCGTCACCAGTCATGAGGCTCTCGTGTGACTCGGGGATCGGCATGCGAGGAGTATCGAGGGGAGAAGTGTCTGTCACAGCAGGAGAAGACCAGCATTGTGAAGGCGTGCAGGAGCAACAAGCCACTGTACGCCGCAGACGCCCAGTGACGCCCATTGTCTCAAGGAATCCAACTCCGAGTTTCGCAAACAGTAGCGGCGGTGAGCGGAACCAGGACAGTGAGCATGATAATGGCGCTAAGAAGAAGGACAATAGGAAGCAGGGAGCCACTGGGAACGATGGAGGAAAGAGAAAGTCTGGCCTCTGGACTTGGGCATCATGGTTTTGAACCTCTTTCTGGCCGCATTCAAATTGCCAACCGTCAGCAGAGAGAAGAATCAAGATGTGCAGTTAGCAAGTAACATGCACATGTATGGCTAGAGAAATTCAGACTTTGCCTGCTTGTCCTGAAAATGTTCAACTATTCACTTTTTATTCCTAATTCTTCTCTCGAATCTCTAGTTTTTATTCTTCATTTCATGGTCATCATAGCACCCAGTTAGTTCAGCTCATCTTTCCAAGGGATAGAGACTTGGGCCCCCTTGCGAGAGACGGTAATGGCTGCGGCCCGGTTGGCGGCTCTAATAGCGGTGTCAATATCGAAGGCGCCCGATCCAGCGCTGACGACGGCCAAGGCGTAGGATCCGACAAATGTATCGCCGGCGGCGGTGGTGTCGACGACTTCAGCCTTGAGAGCAGGCACCAGGGCCGACTTCCCATCTTTGGTGGCATAGTAGACGCCCCGGCCGCCAAGAGTGATGATGACGTTGCCAACGCCCCGTTGGATGAAGAGGGCACTGACCCGCTCCAAGCCGGAGACATCGTCGAGATCGGATTCTTGGCAGCCTGAAAGGATGGCAGCTTCCGTCTCGTTGACGACAAGGTGAGCAAGGTTCTGGTAAGCCTCGTCGGGGAGTGTCTTTGCGGGCGCCGGGTTCAGAAGGACGGGGATTCCAGAGGCGTTGGCGGTGCGTAGGGCCTGCAGGACGGTGTCAAAGGGGATTTCAAGCTGCATGATGAGCAGATCCGGACGGGGGCCGGGAAGAGTGGAGAAGTGTTCCGGCAGAAGGGTGTGGTTTGCCTCTGCGGAGAGGATAATGCGGTTTTGGCCAGAGGGCTCGTCAACGATGATGATGGCGATGCCCGTCTTGCCGTCTTGACGGACTGCCACTGCTGATGTGTCGACGCCATAGGAGGTCAGACTGGAAATAAGCTGCTGGCCGTATGTGTCGGAGCCAACGGCGCCAATCATGGAAACGTCGGCAGCTGGGTTGGAAAGGTCGGAGGAGCGAGAGAGCTTGCCGCAAGCGACGGCTTGATTGGCGCCTTTGCCGCCGGGAGAGGTGTTGAAGTGATTGGCGGTCAACGTCTCGCCTGGCAGAGGGTGGTGGGGGACATAGGAGACGAGATCGATGTTGAGGGAGCCGAGGACGGTGATTCTAGGCCGAGCCATGGTTGCGGAGGTTGAGTGGCTTGAACTGAGCTCTGATTGACTGTATGATGACAGTGTGCGGAGTCGAAAGATCAGATAAAGCGAGGTCAGTTGTTGACAGCGATGCGAGTGACTGTACTTTCAAATGACGGTTGAGGCTTGTCGAGCTGCAAGCCAGTACTTTGGAGGAGAGGATGTAGATGATGTAGAGGATGTGATATGAAATGGGCAAGTCTGGGGAAGATGGTGAGCTCCCCGCGATGGCCCTCTTTTCGCTTGACACGAGTTGAGACGAAATATTTCTTGGTCGAAAGATGGTGGGGTGCCCGCATGCGAATAATCCAGCAGCTGCCCCTCCACACCCTCCAAGAGAAGCCCCAGCTTCTAGAACTCTTTCGGCCGCTGCCGAGTCATGCAGCTCTTCCAGCACCCCGGTTTCCATCTGCTAATACATACCAAGCGTTATGGCGGGTGCTCGGAGAAAGTCATGGAGGCCTTTACATTCCCATTTGGCAGCCAATTTTCTCGTGTGTCCGTGGTCGCGCACGAGCTTTGCTCCTTAGCGGCCGGGTCCGAGTATAAGCGGAGCGGCAAGCTGACCGGAGAGAGCCGAACTTGGCCGCCATCCGTGATTCGAGAGTTTGTGTATGTCTGAGTTTTAACCACCATTCTTGAACACATTTCGCCCTATCATAGTCCACGTTCCCGATATAGCAAGCCACAGATGCAAGGGTCCTGTTCGCATATCTACATCCTGCGCCATGTCGGAGTTGAGACTTTGCCCGTCCAGCTGATATGTAGTCTCGCTCTTCTTGTCTACACCCGAAGCGTGCCGCACAGGACGACGTCGTCGCCAAAGGGGTGCCATGATACTTGCGATAGCCTTGCAACCGGTAATGGGACTCCCGCAGAGTCGGTGACTCGCTCTGGAGACACAACGACGCCGCCCTGCCCCAGCCATGTCGGCGCGATGGTCACAATGACCGAGTCAATCAGCTTGTGGTAAGCAGGGTCAAGGAGCGAATTGATGATCTGGCCGCCGCCCTCCACCATGACGCTGGTTAAATGTTCCGCCTGGAGCGCAGAAAGGATGTCGTCCCAACTGAAGCGTAGACGACCAGTCGCCTCAGACCGCGCGCTGGGGACTCGGATATATTTGCCTCCATGTTCGTGGAGTAGCTCCACGCTCGCAGCAGGCAGGTCGGAAGCATCTGCGCCAGTGAGGATAAAGGGAGCGAGCCCGGCACCGTTCCGGCACACTTCAAAGACCTTGTCCGAGCGCCGCGGCGTCCATCGGAGGTTGGCATCAATGATGATTGGCCGTGGCTGGTGTGAGGATCCTGCAATCCGGCAGTTGAGAGCCGGATCATCTGCCAACACGGTAGAGACACCGACAAGAATAGCTGCATGCCGGGTTCGTAGGTAGTGCGTCATCGCTTTGGAACCCGGACCAGAAAGGCGAGTGCGGACTCCAGGCGCCAGTGAAAGGCTGGAGTCGAGTGAGGTTGCAAAGGTCAATGTGACAAACGGGCGCGATCTCGGAGCATCCTGCAGTTCCAGCTTGGGAGGCAGGCGGGGTTCCAGGACAGCCACCGACTCGGCGGGAAAAGTGAGTTGCTCAGGCATGCTGTGATTGAAGCTGCCGAAACAGAGAAATGAAGGAAGAAAATTCGACGTCGAGATTCAAAGAAGCAGCTAAAGCTAGGCCCAAAGTGCGCTGATAAGGTGGAGGTTGGAGATGGAGGAGACTTGGAGGTGCTAGTCCTGATGCCCGAGTCTTTTGCGTGAAGCATGAGTTTTGTTGTAAGCGCCGAGTGGGGCCAACGCTCTATCCGACTCTCACGACTGTCTCTCACGGCGCCTCCATTACATTCATCAGGAGCGATGTCTGAAGCCTCGAGGCAAGGAATTTTGCAATGGTAGCAATGACAGCAATAGCAGGGGAAAGCTCTGGTCATGTCTTTGTATATGAAGAGTATCCTTCCTGTCCAGCAGATGAATGAAAAGGAGACTTGGCCAGATGCCAGTCTCTACCTACAGTGATATCATGGTGTTTAAGTCCTCGTTAGACCAGGTTTTGTCAAGGGACCGTTGTCGTCGTCGTCGTCGTCGTCGCCGTCGTCGTCGCCATCGACGCCTTCGTCCCCGGCAACGGAATTCCCTCGTCGTCAAATTCAGCCCATTGAAAGAAAGAACACCCATCTTTGTCGGGTATCGCGTTCGAATAGCACATCCAAAAGTATTTCCCGTAATTTTCCTTCTTTCTTTGCACAACACGAAGCACGCAAGGAATATTGCACTGGCATCTTGGAGTCAGGGACGGATGCATCTCCGGGCGATAATCTCGGTAGGTGATGTTGATGCGCTTGTTCCCAGAAATTGGATGCGGATCAATGGACAAGGCCGGTGAGATGGAATGCTTCCACTCCTCTTGCATCTCCGCGTGCATGACGAGGAGGGAGTTATGGGGTAAGTGGATGGATATCTGGCCTTCGCCGTCTGGATCATCTGAACGTTTCGTGTCTGCATCTCGCGGTAGAATCTTGCGCACACGAAACTCCCTTGCGACGCCTAGGGAGATGGACCCGATGACGGCTCGGGGGCCCAGGTATGTGAGATGATCGCTGTGCCACCCCACGCTCTGTTGGGCTCCGGCGTAGCAATTGACAAATGCAGCATTGGGCACCCATGGCTTGGATGGCTGATGTTTCAATTTCATGCCCCCAGGATACCGAGTTTTGATGCGGCTTTGGATTTGCTCGTTGACTGTCTCCTGGACGATGGGCTTCACCTTGGCGAGCGTCGGCGTGAGCTTGCGTACATCCTTAGTATAGAGCCGTCAGCTTTGCGACTATACGAAGCGCATACGAGAAGTTTCATCTGTTTTGCAGCTTAGCGGGCTGAGGGAAAGCAAGACTCACATCTAGCATGCCTCCGTTGTAGTAGTAGTCATGTCTTTGCTCCTGGATTTTTTCGTACGACTCGAGAAACAAGCACGATGTATGCGGGCTAGTAACGATGTTGTCAAACAGTTTGAAGGTGATTTTCTCGAATGATTCGGCCTCGTGTAATAGTTCTCTTAGGAGCTCATCCGCCAGTTCAGCTGGGAGGAAGTTGTGCATAATGGTACATGGAGTGTGGTCTGCCACGTCTTCTGGGTCATACAAATGCAACGTGCTTCCCTTTTTTGATTTTGCCTTCTTCTTGGGTGGTAGTGACGATCCATCAGTGTTTGTGGTAGCGGAGTTTGTGTACTGTCTTAGGGATCTTTGGTGTCCTATGACGGCACTTTTTCTCGCCGCAGGGCGAAATGACTTGAGTGACTCTGAAGCATGGCTGACGGAGCCGTCGTGCGCCAGGAGTACATCAAGGAGAGTTTCCTGTTCTATAAGAGGGTGTAGTGAGGATAACATAGCGAGCTTGATTTCTGTCGAATCTTCGCCCTCTTCCAAGGACGGCCCCGGTTCTGGTGTAGGGTTAACATGAGCCGATTTTCGCTTTGGACGGGTGAGAAAGGCCTCCATGAGGTCAGCCAAGAGCTGCGAGTCTGTGAGGCAATTTGTCAACAGAAGGCGAAGAGGGAAAATGAAGTGACCAGCAGAAAGAACTGTGATTATCTTTGGAAAAAGGTAGAGCAGAGAGAGAAAGAGGCGTATTGACAGAGATACGCCATCAGTCAACGGCGATTCACGGCAGGCGCGAGGCGTGAAAGCGTGACATCCAGAGCAACACGAACCCACGTGATCAATCTTGTCCAGATGAGGCAAGAATATTAGATAACCTCGATATAAGATACTATCAATTCTGCATAGTACTACTACCTAAGGTAGCTTCATTGTGGCACGCATGGCATCGTTTGCTTTCTAAACCCATCGTCAAATTCTTGACGTCCCTCTTGAGATGACATGTCAAAATCGGCATGAAGCACTCAAAAGGTCCGTGAAGCGAAGAGACCTGAAGAGATCTGCAAATTCCTGAGCACCCAGGTTCTACCCTTTTAGGTCTAGTTTCATACGGGGTCAGAATATGGGGAACCAAATGCGGCGGCAGATTCCAGACCGAGGCACATGTCAGATTAAGCGGACCGCAGCGACACAAGCCAAGCTTCATCATGCAGAGCCATACCAAACAAGAGCTCGCAACTAGCAGCACGAGCAGCTGACGGCGGCACGTTCACTATTATACAACCCTCTATTTAAATCTTTATATAGTCTTCTTTATATAGTCTTCTTTATTTGCAGCTCTTCAAGCCTGTTCTCCCGCCCGGATGCGCCTCTGAGGCGCTCTCCTCCCCTCCTCTTTCTTCCGCACTCCCATCTTCTCTTCATCTCCGTCGCAGAACATAGCCAGCGACAATGGCCGCGATGCTCGAGTTTCGGACCCAAGGGTTCAATCCCTATGCGGTCAAATACTCGCCATACCACGACTCCCGCATCGCCGTCGGAACCGCCGCCAACTTTGGCATCGTCGGCAACGGAAGACTCTTTGCGCTTGCGCTGACGGCGCAGGGCATTCAAGTTGAGAAGACGTGTGTTTGGCCTCTTTACATATCACACTTTCTCTTGGCGCGTTCATGAGCGCGTCTCCGGGACTTGAATGATTTGCTTGGGTGCTAACGAGAGGACTTGAGCGCAGCTTCGATACCAACGATGCGATATATGACTTGGCCTGGTCCGAGATCAACGAGAACCAGCTCGTTGTTGCATGCGGTGACGGCTCCCTCAAGCTCTTCGACATTGGGGCGAAGGAATTTCCCGTCATGATCTTCCATGAGCATAACCGCGAAGCTTTTGCTGCCGCTTGGAACCCTGTCACGAAAGATACCTTCATCTCCAGCTCCTGGGACGGAACGGTCAAGATTGTGCGTTGAAACACCACCACCTGCGGTGCTCTCCCGTTCTTGTGTCTGCTACCCATTTACCTACCTACCTATACTTACAATGCATGTCCTGTCCGCTCAATAGTGGTCGCCTACTCGCCCCTTCTCCATCAAGACCCTGCCCATCGGCAGTTGCACCTACAGCGCATCCTTCTGCCCATCCAATCCCGCCCTCATCTCAGCCGCCTCGTCCGACTCCCACCTGCGGATATTCGACCTGCGAATGCCCTCGTCCGCGAAATACCACCTCGCCGCCGCCGTCCCCGTGCACGCGCCGCCCAGCCACCCCGGCGCCATGCCCGCCGGCGGCCCGCCCTCCGAGATCCTCACCCACGACTGGAACAAGTACCGGGACACCGTCATTGCCACCGGCGGCGTCGACCGGCTGATTCGAACCTTTGACATTCGCAACCCCAATGGCGGGCCGCTGTCCGTCATGCACGGCCACGAGTATGCTGTGCGCAGGCTGGCGTGGAGCCCTCATGCGAGCGACGTCCTGATCAGCGCCAGCTACGACATGACGGTGCGGTTGTGGAACGACGCCTCGAACCAGCCTCAGGGCCCTGTTCCTACGGCCCAGCCCGGCGCGCAGATGGGCATCATGAATAGGCATACAGAGTTCGTCACGGGTGTGGACTGGTGTTTGTTTGGCGCTGGCGGCTGGGTGGCCTCGGCCGGTTGGGACGAGAGGGTTCTGCTGTGGGATGCTAATCTCTTGATGCGTCCACGGTGAGCAGGGGGGTCTGCATTAAAGAAGAGCGGTGATGATTGCATCTCCAGAAGTGTGTTTCTCCTGCAGGGTCACAGGAGCGTGTATCAACGGACCATGATGGCAGAGGACAGTAATGGTGGCCTTTATGTAGAGCGCCATGTCATGGAGCTGCCAATGATTGGATATACACCCATGCAGCACATATGTCCCCTTCGCCTGCTTCATTACCTTGGCAAGCATCCGATTCATATCTTTATATATGTGCAAGCCATCACAAGTCACGCCTAGGTATAGAGAGATGCTGCGTCAAGATAAAATTTACATTTTTCTCTTTTCATCGAGGAGATTGTTCTGATTGCGATTTTTGTGCTGATCCCATCCCGCCTCCTCCCAAAACCCATAAACACCGTAGGTAAAATAAACTGATAATGTACAAAGCCGTCTATATAATCGAGGAGTTTTGAAAACATGCAGCCGTAAAATACCACGCCTGATCCAGCAGAGCATCCACCCCCCCTTGAACATCTAGATACCGAGCATCAAAAACGTTGAGAATAAAAGGAGAGTTGCGCTGCTTTTTCTTTTTGTTGTCGTCATGCCAATCAATGCAGTCTTGGACGTTTCCTCCTCCAAGCGTCCTGTTGAAATTATAAGGGAAAGAAAATCACTTTTGTTTACCATGAGGACTCGAAGCCTCCGCTTCCGCCTCGTCGGCCACCCCTGGAGCGCTGCTGCGGCGGCCCATCACGTCGTGCACGGCGTCCCATCTCCGCGAATGGATCTTGGGACGCACGGCGCTCGAAGCGGCCACCACCACGACGGTCTCCGCGACGGTCTCCGCCGAAGCGGTCGCCTCGCCTCTCATCCCGGTGCATCCGCTCGCTGTGGCCGTCCTGGATGTTCAGTCCGGCGTTCAAAAGGCCCTGGTTCCTGGCCCAGCTGTGTGAAACCGCAGGAGGCTCGGGCCAGCCCCAGCCCTTGACAGCCCAGTCGTTCAAGTCCTCAACAAGCTGCTCTCTGTCCGTGAGCTGGCCACCAAATAGTGAGGTGTATGCGCCAGCCATCAACTTCCTGGGAAGGGCCTGGATGAGGTTCTTGGTCTCCTCGTGATACGCGGGAAGCTCCTCCACCGCGTTGAGATCGACCTCGGCACTCTCGAGGGTCTTGTTGGGCTTCAGGGGAAGACCCCGCAGCAGCTTGCGAGCAGAGTTTGCGGACATTGGGGGGACGAAAAGCCAGCCCTCGCCACCCTTGTCCTGTCGACCGGTACGACCAAGTCTGTGGATGTAGGATTCGCGCTCCCTGGGAGCATCAACCTGGATAACATGGGTGACGTTGGGGAAGTCCATGCCACGAGCTGTGACATCTGAGGAGAAGAGGATACCGGTCCTGGAGTTCCTGAACATGTCGGCGGCCTTTGTTCGCTGGAACTGGCTGAGCTGAGACTGGATGGCGAATGTGGGAATTCTCAGCTGGCCACTCTGCCTGCGCTGGTAGCCCAGCTCACCGGCAAGCTCCACCATGGAGGTTGTGTTGAAGTAGACGATGGCCTTGAAAGGGGGCAGGGAAGGGTCCTCCTTGGCGGCCGCAACCTCACGGTCAACCAGCTCGAACAGGGAAGGGAAGACATTGGCCCAGCTTGAGACGGTGACGACGTGCTGGGGAATCCTGTCGTGGGTGAGGGTGTCGTGCTCAGGAATCGTCTGGACGAACTCGAAGTCGTGGGGGCGAACCATCTTGCGGGCAAGCTGGATGACATTATCGGGGATGGTGGCAGAGACCAGCATCGTCTGTCGGACCTTGTCCTTGGGCAGGTAGCTCTGGATAGCGTTAAGCTCCTTCTCGAAACCGACATCAAGCATTCGGTCCGCCTCGTCCAGCACCAGCGCTGCCAGCTTAGGGGCGTCGATGCCGCTGTTGGGGTCCTCGAGGAGGTCGTTCAAGCGGCCCGGGGTGGCCACCAGGAGATGGCATCCCTGGCGCTGTGTCTGGCGAAGCATGGCAGACTTCTGAGTGCCGCCGACGGCAGACTGCACGACCAAGCCGGTGCGTCTGCAAAGTCGCTTCGCCTCGGTGGCGATCTGCTCGGCAAGCTCGCGGGTCGGCGACAGCACGATGCCGCGAATGTCGTCCGATCTAGCGCTCCGGGCGGCCTTTCGCGTGGCCAGTGTTGGGTCTTCTTCGATCATGCGTTGGAGGAGAGGGAGCAGGAAGGCAATCGTCTTTCCTGTTCCGGTTTTGGCTTGAGCAACACTTGATGGAACGGTCAGTAAAGAAAAGATTCTTTGACAAGCGCGTTCGCCACTCTCGACGATACATGACCGGGAAGGAAGGAGAAACCTTCTGCTGAACTTACATGTCTGTTCCCTTGAGCGCAGGGTTAATCGTCTTAGCCTGGACGGGAGTCATGGACTCATATCGCATATCCTGCGTGATTGCGTCGAGCAGGTTGCGATGGACGCCAATCGCCTCGAGGTCCCGGAACGCCGTGATCTCGCCGACGGCAGCATTTTCGGGCGTCTTCTCCTCCGCGACAGCAGCATCAGCGCTGTAGAGTCGGTTGAACTGCGCAAAGCTCTTGAGGGGCGCAACTGAGCGAGAGACAGATGCGGCTCCGGAGAAGGATGCCGGAAAGGCTGCGCGGGCGCTCAGCAGCTTGGTGCTTGAAGTCGCAACGCGGGCCAAGGCGCCGCATCGTCGAATCCCGGTTCGAAACATGGCGGATTCTGTAAAGTCTGTTTCTTTATGAAAAAACCCAATCAATATCGCTGATAGAGTAGAGGATATAAAAGCCGACGACACACTCAAGTGCCCTTCGGATTGAAGGAGTTCAGTAAAGAATCGACGGAAAAGGTCGCGTGTATGTTCTCTCCAAGTTTGCCGCCGAAGTTTGCAGGGACTTTTTTTTCTTCTACTTTTTTTCCAGCATGAGCCCACTTATCAGAGAAAAAGTTCGACCCCTCCAGCTGCTGTTCCTAGTTGGGAAAAGATATCGATAAGATAACGGCACCGCTAGGCCACAGCAAGCCTAGCCTCATCTGGGCTTCAACTTCACCGGAAAACAACCTCCTACATACCTAGTAGGTAAGGTAGGTAGTTCAAAGTACAAAGTACCTACCAAACCGAAGTCGAGAAGCAATCACACTTTGTACCTAATAAGATGCCACAGAATGTGCTGCCCACATCACAATCCAGATCAGGTGCACTCAGTACTTAAGAAGCTACTATTGCCTCAACCCGACACTTGATACTAAACTTGATAGTCTAAACAAACGCTTCTCCGTCAATGTAACAATTCATGTCCTTCCCAAAACGCCAGGAACCGTGTCCGCATAATGCCAACCGCCTTCCGATTATGCAATGTGATTGTTCCCCCCTTTATACTTGTGACTGATTCCCAACTCCATGTTCCAGACGCTCGGGCCTTTGAGAGTCGCAACGCTCACAAGCCCGTTGACAGACCAAACCGTGCCCACAATGTAATGTACATGCATCCCTCATCCGTTTTATAGCATATCCTTGCTCATCTCATAAGACCAGCCACCATCTCGCCGCAGCTTGTCACGAGCCGCCATATCTTTTCTGATGTCATCCTCAGTCAAACGATCCAGGCCACTCCAGTTGGCGCTGGACGTCCTCTGACGGAACTTGTGCCACTTGTCTTTGCTCTTGTTGAAAACTTCCTCCATGATCAAGGGCGCCGGTGGACCAAAGATCTGTGTCGGATCCATTGACTCTTGCCTCATGAGAGCCCGACGCAAGTCAGGAGAGTCAGCCCACGCAGCCACGGTCATGCCTCCGCCCTCGTCGTCGTCGTCTTCATCATCATCCGTCTGGATTTCGGGTAGTTCAATCGAGTCGCCGTTTTGGAACCGCGGCGAAGCCTTCCTCACACTCCCCTTGGCACTGGCCAGCTGTCCTGGACGAGCCGGCGTCTTGTGAGAAGAACCAGCGGCACTGGAGCTGGGCGCAAACGGAATCGGGCCCTTAGAGATCTGCGCCATATCAAGAGGATGAGCCGCTTTAGCATGGCTGTGATGTTGAGATGTGACGGCAGCCTTGAACAAGTCTCGGGAGGCGCTGTGAGGTGCAGCCGCATATCCATTCTGGAAGGCAGATTTCGTTGGCAAATCCTGCTCCTCGTTAGTTCTGAACGATCCATCAACAATAGCATACTTCGGTGTAAATACGTACCTTCTTGAACCCCGTCGACGGCCTCACTGGCGGACCCTTGATCTTAGGGGCACTGTCCACCTCCGACACCTCATCGTTGTGCTCACTGGTCCGGCGCCGCTTAGAATCCTTCGTCTGGTATGCCGGCCCACCTCGGGTAGGCGGGGGCCTCGAATACGTGTCATCGCTTGTCTCCGGCCCAAAGGTACGTTTGGCACCTGCTTTGGCGGCGTTTGACAGAACTGTATTGACCGGCCTGCCCAGATCGTCGCGCATACTCGCTAACCGAGAAGGCGGCCGAGCAGGCTGGCCGTCGGCTCTGGAAGATGCTGACTTCGGCTGAGGTAATGCTGACTCGGCCGTGCCGTTTTGCTGTGATCGTACTGCCGGAGGCGGAGCTCTCGTCTGCTTGGCCTTCTCTATGGCAGCCTGCCTCTGAGCACTCTTCTTCTCTTCTTCCTGCTGCCGCTGCCGCTCTATTTCAAGGCGGCGTTGCTGGTCTTGCTTTCGTTGCTCCTCTTGAGCTGCTATTCGCTTTCTTTCCATTTCCGCCTTGGCTTCGCGTCGCCGCTGCGATTCCCTTTCGTCCTGCTCCTTTTTCCTGGCCGCCATTTCTGCCGCCTTTGATCGACCAGCAGAGGGAGGGGCTTTCACGTTCGGTGCCGATGATTTGGCCTGATAAATGGACTTGCCGGACTTTGAGGAAGCCGTCGAATGGTTAGAATTCAAGGTATCATGAGACGCGGTGGAGACGCGGCTGCCAGCAGGCTGGTACTGCGAATGCTGTGAGCCAGTATTGACCCTGATGACGGTAGGGGGAGCCTTGATTTTGGAAGCCGAATCCTTGATCGGCTTCACCGGTCGCTTGCTGTCCTTGCCCCGTGCCACTGGGCCGGGTAGAGTAGACTTGGTAGAAGAAGGCGGAGGCATGGGAGGCTGCGCATCAGACATGTCGACATCACGGTCAACCTGTCTGGATTGCGTTTCCTCATCGGCTCTCGGCTTGCGGGGACTGGACGGGCCCGCCTTGGGGGGGTTGGGAGTTGCCTTGAATGCCAGTCTCTCGTCTTGTCTCTTGGTGGCAACCTCCTGTTCCATGGTAGCCACCTTCTCCTGCTCTTGAGTGAAAGCCCGAGCCCTTTCGCGCTCCTTTTCACGTGCCTTGTCAAGCTTGTCCATTTGCTCTTCCATGCGCTTGACTTCATTCTCTCGGCGCTTTTGCTCCTTCTCGCGCTCTGTAGATGCCCTGGTACGACGAGCTATCGGCTTCGAGGGGCTCGTGGGTTCCGTTGGTTGAGGCTCAAATTCCTGAGCCTTTAGGGCGATGGAATCCGTAGAAGCTCCGGCATGCAAGGCTAGACGAGTGGTGGAGGGGGACATCAGAGCCTTTCCGTCAACATTCACAGCAGCATTGCTGGCAAGTAGGCCGCGAGAGCTCTTCAGAATAGACGATAACTTGCTCTTGACTTGTTTGAGAGGGCTTTCCCGCCGAGGAGGTGATTTAAAGGGGTTGTCAGTCAAGTCATCTTGCAAGGCCGCCAAGTTGGTGAAGGAAATGGGAAGGGCGTTTGATGCAGTAGCAGTGTCTTTTGCCAGTGCTGATGGGTCAGTAGGCATTGTTGATAAGGATGATGCTTTGAAATGATTGGAAAGGCTGTGAGATGCATGTTCAACGGCTTGATGTGGATAGCCGTCGTCTTGGTCCTGGATGCCTTCCATGATGTCTGTCGTATGGCTTTTTGTGAAAAGAGGTCTCGATTCTCTCGCCTTTTTGGCTGTGTTTGGCGATTCAATCCAATCGGCGTCATCATCTTCGGGGGATGCACGCGGCGTCGTAGTAGCTGGCTCCTTCTCCAGAGGAGCTGGCTTCGGGCTCGTGATAGACTGTGCTTGGATGACCTCTTGCTGAAGCGCTGCTGCATTGGTGGTTGTTTTGGTTTGCGCAAAGCCACTTTGAGGTTTGCTCAGCATGCTGATCTGGTCTTGTAATCTTTGCGTATATGTCTTTGTATGGTTAACGCCCGGCCGGTCACTCTCGGCGATTTCCTGGGCAGGGGAAACGCCCTCTGCGTTGTGTCTCGATTCACCCTCGTTTTCCTCGTGCAAAGAGTCGCGCTTAGCGAGGTTTCCAAGGCTTTTGCCGCCAGTATGTCTCTGGTAGTAGCTGGTTCTGCTGCTATTGCCGGTGTCGAAATGGCTGTTCCTTGACTGTCTCGCACCGAGGCTCTTGCCCGAATTGAGTGGTTCCCTGGCCGGCAGGGAAGCAAAGTTCAAGCTGCTTTTCCGAACAAGGGGCCTGATGGGGCTTGATCCTTCAGACGCTGATTGCTCGTCGTCCGAGGACTCGTTGGAATGCTCTGCAGAAACGGGAGGTAACTTGGGAGACCGAACTGGTGATATCACGGGCGCGTCGGAATATGCTTCGTCCGAATCAAATTCTTTAGCTGATGTTTCTGGCTCATCCGGTGCCATGCCGGATGATACATCTTTTGGTAGAGTACGTGTCGTCGGGCCGTCTTTCGGTGGTTGAAAGGTCTTGGATGGAGACACCGGCACAATTTTTCGAACTGGGCTTCTCCTCACGGACGAGCCGCCGGGTGGTAGCACTATGTCGCTGTAAGGGTTTGCGAAATCTTCGGGCTCGACACTCTCGCTCGGATCGGTGGCGATGTGATCCTGGCTCCCATAATAGCCAGAATCCTGCATGCCTCGATGGGGGCGTGATCGTGACGGCGAGAACACATGTCGCTGGGGAGAAACAGGCTTGGTGACCAACGGTACCGCCTTTAGAGCGACCTGATGCAGTTGACGAGGCTGGGAATGGCTGGATTGGTCCGAGTGCTGGCTGCTCGAATCGGTAGATGACGCTGCGAATACATCGGATAAGGGCTAAAGTTGTTGCACATCAGAGTGACATCCGACACGGCACCTGGGAACGGAACTCACCATTCGCGCCTCTGCTGCGTTACCCTTTCGAGCTGTATGGGGTGTCTTGCCCCGAAGTTTGCCTGGGGTCTTGAAAACTTCTGTGATATTTCTGGAAAGGGGAGTCAGCATGGGCCACCCATCGCCAGTCGCAACGGTGGACAGTGAGTGGTGGATAGGGAAACAAACACTTCGCCCTCGTTCAAAATCGCAGCCATGTGCTCGTTAAGCCACTCGATCTCATTGTGGGCAGAGTATGAGAACTCCTCGACTTCCGACTTCACAATCTGCAGTGCAGACGCCCGCTCTTCGCCAACCCACGCCGCGGACCCGACCTGGAGACGCGGGCCTCGCACTGCAGTCATGGTGTCGCGCGCGAGCAGCTAGAGGCGCAACGTCGTGTTTTCCAGTGCTGGCTGATGAAGGATCGGCTCTGTATCTTGTCACAGCATTGGCGATGGTATAGTTCAGCGTGAAGTCTGCTGTCGGCGAGGTGTGTAGGGCGGTGTTGATGATGGTTGGTATAGTGGTGAAATGTACAATGTGAATAATAGGCCGGGCCTGAAACTCCATTCCAAGGTTGCAATGTTTTGATGCACTCCAGATCGGGTTAGCGCCCCTGCTGCTAGCTCTAACCTTCCTTAGTACCTCCTTCCCTCGCGTCTTCTCCAGCAAGTCCAGTCTGCATAAGGTAACGGGAGGTATCATCTTAGTCGCACGTGATAACGTCATAATATCACGTGGAGATACGGCTTATCAGAAAGCAAACACGGAGGGGCCCTTTGGAGACTGTTTACTTTGCTCGGGGGTCGCGCGTCCCTGGTTCATGGTGGAGTTGATTGTGCATTAGAGGGACCAAGTTTGGATTACAGCTGATCCAGCATCTGCATTGCGGCTTCGTTGGCGCTGTCACAATGAGGGTGATAGAAGTGATCATTGACGTAAGTGCTCCTGGCTGCGCCTCGCAATTATCTACTCTGTTTAACCCCCTTCTATAGGGCTTCAAGTCCTACGCCGTGCGGACTGTGATCTCGGGATGGTAGGTTTCCATTCCACGATAAAGAATGTCTACCGTTCAACATCGCTGACCAGCCCAGGGACGAGAGTTTCAATTCAATCACCGGTCTCAACGGCAGCGGAAAGTCAAACATCCTCGACGCAATATGTTTCGTCCTCGGAATCACAAACATGTCCACTGTCCGGGCGCAGAACCTCCAGGTATGCCGGCCCAACACTGCCCGGGCCAGCACGCGACCGAATAGTAACATGGGATGCAGGATTTGATATACAAACGAGGCCAAGCGGGCGTCACGAAGGCCAGCGTCACGATTGTGTTTGATAACAGGGACAAGAAGAAATCGCCGATCGGATTCGAAGAATATGCCACCATCAGCGTGACGCGCCAGATCGTCCTGGGCGGCACATCCAAGTACCTCATCAATGGCCACCGTGCACAGCAGCAGACGGTTCAGAACCTCTTCCAATCTGTCCAGCTGAACATCAACAATCCCAATTTCCTCATCATGCAGGGACGAATCACCAAGGTCCTCAACATGAAACCCGTCGAGATTCTGGCCATGATCGAGGAGGCTGCGGGAACAAGAATGTTCGAGGACAGGAGAGACAAGGCTCTGAAGACGATGGCGAAGAAGGAGACAAAGCTTCAGGAACTCAGTGAGCTCCTGAGAGATGAGATAGAGCCCAAGCTGGAGAAACTCCGAGGGGAGAAGAGAGCGTTTCTGGACTTTCAGCAAACGCAGAATGATTTGGAGCGGCTCTCCCGCGTTGTGGTGGCATATGATTATACCAAGTGTCAGGAGAAGCTCAAACAGTCCGCAGCTGATCTGGAAGCCAAGAAGCAGCGGCAAAAGGAGCTGGAAAGCTCAGTCGCGCGTCTTCGTAATGAGATTTCGAACCTTGAGGAAGACGCCAACAAGGTGCGGGCACAGCGAGATAAGGAGCTCAGAAAAGGCGGCAAGGCTCAAGACCTCGAAGACAAGGTGAAAAAGCACGCCAACGAGCTGGTGCGTCTCACAACAGTCATGGACCTGAAGAATTCGAGCTTGAGGGAGGAACAAGAGAAAAAGGCCGCTGCCGAGAGAGCGGTGTCGGAGTTGGAAACTGCTCTGATGGAGAAAACGGCAACATTCGAGGACGTCCAAGCAAAGTACGAGAAGGCAAAAGATGACCTAGCAAAGCAGAGCAAAGAGGCCGAGTCCAAAGAAGAGCTACTACAGACGCTACAGACGGGAGTCGCTTCAAGAGAAGGACAAGAAAACGGATACCAAGGGCAACTCCAAGAAGCAAAGAACCGCGCCACTGCTGCTGCAACCGTACAGGAACAGGCGAGGATCAAAATTGCACATTTGCAGAGCCGCATCAAGGAGGAGGAGCCTCGGGCTCGGAAAGCCAAGGAGCAGAATGCCCACCTGCTGCGCGACTTGGACGGTTTGAAATCACAGGAGCAGAGGCTGGAAAAGGAGCTGAGTAGGTTCGGCCTCGAGCCTGGCCAGGAAGAAGCCATGTACAAGCAAGAGTCTAGCCTGCAGCAGACTGTCCGAAGTCTACGGCAGGAATGCGATTTTCTGAAAAGAAAAGTCGCCAACATCGACTTCACCTACTCGGATCCAGTACCCAACTTTGACAGGTCAAAGGTCAAAGGTCTAGTCGCGCAGCTGTTCACGATTGACGAAGGAAAGGCCCCAGCCGGAACGGCACTGGAGATCTGTGCTGGTGGGCGACTGTACAATGTCGTTGTGGACTCGGAAGTCACGGGCACGCAGCTTCTCCAAAGGGGAAAACTGAGAAAGCGAGTGACGATTATTCCGTTGAACAAGATCGCCGCATTCAAGGCATCTGCACAGACCATCGCGACGGCACAGAGACTTGCGCCCGGCAAGGTCGATCTCGCTCTATCCTTGGTTGGCTATGACGACGAGGTGGCCTCTGCAATGGAATATGTCTTTGGCAACACTCTGATCTGCGCGGATGCCGAAACGGCGAAGAAGGTTACGTTCGACCCCAATGTTCGAATGAGGAGTATTACGCTGGAAGGAGACTCGTACGATCCCTCCGGGACGCTCTCGGGTGGCAGCTCTCCAAACTCCAGCGGCGTCTTGGTCACATTACAAAAGCTCAACCACCTCACCCTTCAGCTGACCGAAACTGAAAGATCGTTGAAAGAACTGCAGATCAACATTGCCAGGGAGAAGTCCAAGCTGGATCAAGCCCGTCAGGTGCAGCAAGAGTTGGACTTGAAAAGACACGAGATCAAGCTTGCCGAAGACCAAATTGGCGGCAACTCATCGTCTTCCATCATCCAAGACGTCGAAAAAATGAAGGCGACCATTGCTGAGCTACAGGCAAGCATATCCGACGCCAAAGCACGCCAGACTGAGGCCAATGCCGACATCAAGCGCATTGAGAAGGATATGAAGGATTTCGACAACAACAAGGATGCCAAGCTGGTGGAACTGCAAAAGTCCCTGGACAAGCTGAGGGTGAGCCTCGAGAGAAATTCAGCGGCCGTCAAGACCCTGCAAAAGACGCTACAGGGTGCTCAGCTCGATCTGGAGCAAGTCGGGGGTGACCTGTCAGCTGCACGGGAACAGCTGCAGGAGGTGGAAGTCAACATCAAGGCTCAGCAGCGAGATGTTGAAGAGTTGGCAAAGCAGCAGGCAAAGGTGGCGGACTCTCACGCCGCCGTGCAGGCCGAACTCGACGAAGAGAGAGCCAAGTTGCACCAGTTTGACGACGAGCTTCGCGCCTTGGAGGATGCCACGCGCTCAAAGAATGCACGAATCACGGAAGAAGGCCTGGAGATGCAAAAGCTTGGCCACCAGATCGAAAAGTTCCACAAGGAGCAGCAATCCGCGGCGGACAATGTTGCTCGGCTCGAAGCCGAGTACGAGTGGATTCACGACGAGCAGGAAATGTTCGGCCGCAGCGGCACGCCCTACGACTTCCAGCGGCAGAACATTGGAGAGTGCAAGGCCACCCTGCGGAACCTGACAGAGCGGTTCCAGGGCATGAAGAAGAAGATCAACCCCAAGGTAATGAACATGATTGACAGCGTTGAGAAGAAGGAGGTGTCCCTCAAGCAGATGATCAAGACGGTTATCCGAGACAAGCGCAAGATTGAGGAGACCATTGTCAGCTTGGACGAGTACAAGAAGAAGGCGCTTCAGGAGACGTGGGAGAAGGTGAATGGAGACTTTGGCCAGATCTTCTCCGAGCTGCTCCCCGGAGGCAGTTTTGCGAAGCTGGATCCTCCCGAGGGCAAGACTATCAGCGATGGCCTCGAGGTCAAGGTGTGCTTGGGCAAAGTGTGGAAGCAGAGCCTGACGGAACTCAGTGGTGGGCAGAGGTACGCGACTTTGCTTTTCATTTCTTCTCATTTCTTTCTTTTGTTTTTGTGCCCGTCTATTTAATTCCTATCTCTCTGTAACCGCTCTCATCGTGCACTTTTACTGACAATGAATCTCAGGTCACTGGTTGCGCTCTCGCTCATCATGGCTCTGTTGCAGTTCAAGCCTGCGCCAATGTACATTCTCGACGAGGTCGATGCCGCCCTCGATCTTTCTCATACACAAAACATTGGACGTCTGATCAAGACGCGCTTCAAGGGCTCGCAATTTATCGTTGTGAGTTTGAAGGACGGCATGTTCCAAAACGCCAACCGAATCTTCCGGACACGCTTCAGTGAGGGTACAAGTATGGTCCAGGCGCTCACGCCCGCGGATCTGAAGTAATCGAGGCGGCGAGAAGACGGTTGAAGGACACGCATAAGACGCACAAAGCAAAAGAAAAGAAAAAAAAAAGGCAAAGAAAAAGAACAGTTTCGTATATGTTGGTTATTTGATACTAGGGCTATGTGATACGAAGTGACGAGACGCATGAATGGGTTTGCCGGGCCGGTGGAATCTGATCTGTCAATGGGTTGAAGTAAAGGACGAGAAACAGCAAGGGGGGGGGGATATGTTAGGAGCCGTTTTGCCTTTTTTGCGCCTGCAAAGTTGGTTGGAGTATACTGCGTCAAAAGACGCCATTGTTTTGTGATACTGGATTGAGCATAATGGAAGCATCTTTACCCGAGGGCATCTGCGTATCACGCTTGCTACGCTCCCTCCAACTTCTTTGTGTTGTTTCCTTTCTCCATTCTTCCTGTTCCCTTTTCCCCTTTTTCCTTTTTTTGATTATTCTACCTTACTCCGATTTGCCACCACGAACATCAACAGTTGAGCAACATTGGCAACCTATTACATACAAGCTTTTCAACCACCCGAGCTTATGGAACGGGCCCCTTACAGAGCCAGATGTGGCCCCCGTTGGAGAACCTTAAGATCCATACCCACCTCGAGCGACAAAGCCAAGTCCCCCTCGTCCGGACCGCTCGTCTCGGGGAAGATGGGACAGAGCTGCATGCCAAAGCAGCCGCTCTTGGGAGCGCCCTCGTCAATGTTTCGAAACTTCCTCAGCGAACGGTCGGGCTCCGCCTTGTGTTTGATTCCCGTGGCTGGGTCGACGTTGGGCAACTTGCACCTGTGGCGAAGGGGAGAAAAGAGGGTGGGTGTCAGTTTAGCACGCGACTCACGTAAAGTAGGTAGGTAGTATAAGGTAGATTGAGGTAGAGAGTGTTGGGTCGGGGGGGGGGGGGGGGCAGGATGTGGCAGAAGGTGACTCAGAAGTTGGTGAAGTAAAGGCAGTGTGGCTTGTGTGGTATTGCAAACCGCCTCTCCCGACGGTTGGGCGGAATTCTCTTTTGCTGCCGGGACAGGGCGAACACAGTGGTAGCGTGACTGGCGCCTTTGTTCTTTTCGAATCCTCTTTGTTGCGTATGTGAAAGGGGTTTGAGGCGAGGAAGAGGGGAGGGAATAAGGTTTTCCGCGGGAGAAGAAGCGCAAACCGGTCCGAAGAACAACAGAAAACTTACCGAACTGTGCGACAAGAGACGTCGAACCGCGACGGTGACTCCGAGCCCTTGGCGGCATCGCCCTGGAAAGGCCGGGAGAACTCGATGCTTCGCCAGTCGTCCTCGTCGTACGCCTTGAGGCCAGATACTAGTCGCATCAAGTTAGCTGGAGGGTACCTTACGGCTGCCACGGATGTGGGGGAAAACTCTAAGTAGGTTCAATCTGATATTAGAGAGAGAGGGTAGGGGGGATGGTGAGAAAGATGCGGAGAGGCAAAAAAAAAAAAAAAGAGAAGTCCGAGAAACATACCGATGATATTCGGGCGAAAGCGGCGCGCGTCCAGGAACTCCAGATCTTGGTCCTTTTGCACTTTTGACTCCAGGGCGCGGACACTTGTCAGGTTGAGAAGATGCAGTGGATACTACAGGATCTTGTTAGATGGAAAGAGTCGACGCAAGGGGAGAGAAGGGGGGAGGGCAAGCAGGGGGGTAGTAGGCCTTGAACTTACTGCGTCTTGAAAGTCAATGACAGGCTGGTAGCCAGCATCTTCTTTGCGCGGCGCGTTTCTCATTACTTCCCTCCGTCGGGCCGGGTCTATCATGAAGATGGTCACAGGCGCAGCAACTCCCAGGTACAGAGCCAGCTCCGGCGGCACCTCGTTCCTCAAGTTGAGTGCGTGGATGGTCTTGTTGAACAGCCGTGCATCACCGTAGCAGTAGCCCGCCGCTTTGATCTCCTCTGGGGAAGGGAAATCGATGGATAGCATAAACTCCCTCTCTGGGATACCGCCGAGGCCACGGCTGAGCTTGGCAGAGATCCATTGGGCCACTCCTCGCAGACCAGAGTCCCTCCAGGGGAACCTGATGACGACGAAACGGCCGCCAACTCTGCCCAACTGGCGACTCGTCTTGCCCGCATCCGGCAGCCATAAGTCAACCTGGACATTGGCGAGCAGCGGCACTTGCCTCAGGGTGAGAACCTCCCATTGCGCCGCCCGCCGTGCTCCCTCTTCTCCCTCTTCTCCAGACAGCACGGCAGCATCTCTTCCTGCCTCGGGCTTCTGCCGTGCGAACGCAAACAACCGGTCAAACTCGAGCCCCTTGGGCAACACTCTGCTGCGGTCAACCTCGATGCCCCGGCACGACTTGACCGGATAGATGAACAAGCTTTGTATCCTGGCAGCCTTCCCCGGCTGGTGGTTATGATCCGGCGATGTCTGAGCCCGGAGGTTGCTGTGGGATGGCGCGATGCCGACCTTGGTGTGCGTCTGCTGCAGCGCATCACTGCGCTCTACTGGAATCGGCGGGAAGAGGATGAACACGGGGATCGCGAAGACGACCACGGTTGTGAGCAGGAGAATGACGGCGACGGGGTCAAACAGCTCGACGATTTGGGCAGCGGACGGCATTGCAGCAGTTTGGGCGTCAGGGGCCAGCCCTGAGAGCGAGGGGTTCGTGCTTTGTGTTTGCTCGCGCTTGACAAACGCGAATGGTGTCCTGATGGCCGATTTGCGCCTGCTGTCGCCGCAAATGCCTCAGCAGCACACAACAGCAGCGTTGAAAGATGTGTTCAGGTAGTTCCTCATTTCTCGTTGGGGGAGGCGTTGGCAGTTCCGGCGGACTACGGCTTTACGGGCTGCTCAGAGTTTGATGCTGCCACGGAGGAGGAGGAAGAAGCACGACCGTGCCTCCTTAGACATGTATCTTACGTGAGCAAGCGCAGATACTATCAAAGCCATCTGATAGAACGATAGCTCCATATCTAGTGCTCTATGTTTGATGCCACGGAGGCTTCAAACGAGAAGCAAAGCCAGGCCAGGCTGTGTCGCAAGACTGCGGCCTATGAATGCCCTCATCTTGGGGAGAGCCGTGTCACAGCCTGCGGGGCAGGAGAACGGCGGTTGTGTCAGGTTGTCCGTTTCTTGAAGTGTTTCGCAAAAGCGGCTGATTTCGCATGTCCTCTAGGGTAGGTCGGCCGCATCAGCCGCACCAGTCCAAGACTGGTGCTACTGCTACGTATGTAGGACTGAGTGCGGTCAATCTGGCGCAGCTGGCAACCAGTACCTAAGCAGTGTCCGAAATACATGCGTAAAGTCGTTCAACCTAGTTAGCTGCAGAGACAGACCAGACACAGAAATTTCTGGTCTTCAAGTGCCAGCCTTGCCTCTGACGGAGCACGACCCCTGCCAGGGGACACTTCCAACACTTGGCGCATTACTCGTAATCATAGGCACCACTGATGAGATGATCTCTGATGAACACTTCCAGCCGTAGCTTGCATGGTTCCAGTGGCCCCGGAAGCTGAGGCAGTAGGGTGGGGGGTGAAAGGGGTATGAAGGGGGGCGCCATTGTCTTCGTTAGGAGACAGCTCGTACGAGTAGGGTGGACCAGGTATTTGGGGGGTTTCCAGCAGCCGTGCCCTCTCTCTTGTTGTTGATGATGCCAGTGCATACCTACGCTTTTGGCCTCTCTTGAAGTCAATAGTGTAGCAGAGGTCGAGAAGGCAGAAACTGTTGTCGACATCGACTTGCGGTTCATGTTGAATTCCCCTCCCGGCGAGTCACAGACTGGACTGCCCCAGGTTAGGGGGTCAGAAAATCATTCCTTCGCACTTCTGTGAACTGCATACCTTTATGTACGAGGGCACAGAAGAGGGAAGAAAGGAGAATACATCGAAGTCGCCAACCCTTATGGCAAATCATCACCTCGATAGATGTGTCGGCCCTTCAGGCGACGGAACCAGCGCGACTGGTCCAGTGCTTGGTGCTCATGAGGAACCCTGGTAAAGCTGGCTGTCAAGCCTCTCAGCTCATCTGAGTCCTCGGAGAAAAGTATGGATAATCTGGAAGGCGAATTTACAGCGGCGGGCACTGGATTGGCCCGACAAACGACAGAACGTGTTCCCATGGGCCAATCCAAAGACATTGATTGCTGGCCGCGCCGTCGATGCAACGAATCGACGATTGCTCGCCCTCACGGGTTCATTGAGCGTAAACCTGGACCACTCAATGTCGTGGTGCGGGCTATCCCCCCCTCCTCTTCCCCCCTGGCATTGTGACATATGATCTGGAGATCTCGTTGGCTCGTCATCCCCATATTGCTGCTGGGGGTGTCATCCTCTCCCGCCTGAGCCTCTTGTCTTCCATGACCTACACCGGCCCGAACTTACTCCTCGTACAAGACACCTAAGGTAATAACGGACAATTGTCACCATACCTAGGTCAGCGGATCAGGTCGATGTTACATGCATCAAGGTCGCATTTCATACTCCGTAGGTAGTATAAGGGGGAGGATTGCGCGCTGTAGTATTCAATATCATTCTTGGTTCGAGGCACGGGCCACAGCTAAATCGAAGGTGCTCGGCGTAACAATGGCTGAATAGACATGTGCAAGCTTGCGTTTTGCTGAAAAGGATATTACTTGGCCATTGTTGAAATGAGAAGAAATTAGTAATATCAATGCTTCTGCTGGCAGGGCAATTTGAGGTCGCGCAAAACGGACCTACATTGGATCACCCCTGCGATAGACTTGATGGTAGTAGTTAGTATCTTCCTAGATGAGCAATTCACAGGCTCCAAGTCGACCACGAAGGTAGCTGGCGAATCCCATGTGATAGCCAGTCGCCAGGCTCTCCCTTTCATATGCAACTTTTCACTCTTCGCTTTTCCAAAGAGACTTGCACCTGGACGTACCGACACGCCAGTGTAGCGTTAGGCCACCGTACGGCCATCTTCGCCTCCCTCTTGTCTTTGTTGATATAGCACAGTAGGCAGAGTCTTTGGTACGAGCTCGCCGCCTGCCCCTACAGGAGGACTTGTATGATTCCCCTTGAGTAGGCGGACGTTTTCCCGATCTTCGCTCGGTGCATGATATTGCTTATGCAAGACGGAAATTGCAATCAGCAAGGCCAGGTCCTTCTCAGGACCGAGGCATGCAGCTATGATTCCCGGTCAGACATTCCTTGTATTGTGCACCATGGAGTTGTAATTGACAGCGACTAGGGGATGCGTGCTCTGTGAACCTACTGCGTATGTCGTCGGCAGTCGGATTTACATTCCTGGCCTGCGACAAATTGACCAGGGAATGCTGGTCTACCTGTTCCGCACGAAGCGTGCTTCAGACGACATAGCACAAGGCTTCGAGAAAAGCGTTGTCGCAGACAAGTACCTTGGATTATTTCCATCGTCGTCTGGTACCAGGCATGGGGCCGTAGTACAAACATGTCAAAGCTGCCCGGCTGCATGCAGTGACTTGGCAAGCTTGGCTTCTCCAGAAGGTGCCCCCATGTGCGCGCTTATCTGCCCGGTCTGAGTGAAGTTGTACGATAAAAGTACAGCATGATGGATGTCCGTGCAGCGTGAACGTCGAGTCTCCGTCGTAGCTGCCGCGGTGAACTCTGGCCGGTACGAGCATTTTTAAAGTTATTATCCCAAAACGAGGTGAACCGAGACGCCACCGTCAGCGCCGTTATTCCTGGAGATCTGGTCAAGCTGAATTCCGTTGTTTTGACTCGTCTCGGGACCATGGCAATATGGCCATGCCAGGCTGGCGTGGCCTCACTGGAGATTTCGAAAGTCTTCGGATGGTGCGTTGGGGCAAGCATTGAAGGTGCCTAGTATTTACCGAATTTGATCAGCGAGCTGCAGCACCCCTGCCCCTGGTATCGATGCAGGTTGATCCAAACTGCGTAAGTGGGCTCCCAGCTCTCAAGTGGTGTGTTGGGAGGATCCTTTCCCGGAAATCAAAGCCTGCAGCTCTAGTGTCGTTGGCCAGAGATGGCGTCGAGCTAGCATGTACTCCGTATGTGCAGTATTCCAGCTTGTGGATGTCGAGGACCACCTCGATACCCGTCACAGTTTGTCGTCGTGGACGACGTTGTCTTGCGCGTCTCCCTTCTAGAACCCCGGCCACGGGTCTTGAGAGGGCTCAGAGTCTGGGTACTACTAGGTAGTAGCACGGAGTCTGGACCCCTCGAACGCTTCGCGGTGGATATTATCAGGCCTCAGACCTAATCTTCGGAAAGCCAAAGCCAGGCTTGCTCAATTTGTTGCTTGCGATATGAACAATCTGCTTGCCTCTCCCTGTCAGTCGTGAACCTGAGGCCATCCTCAAGAAGCAGATACGCTATATACCATCGGTATGCCCCGTTCAAAGCTTTTGCCCACTATGTTTCCCCCGGTTTGTTCTCGTCATAACCCAGACATGTCGAGTCTTTACCTCGCAGCACGCCGTATGACCACCTGCTTCGACCTTGTGCGTGCGACTGCAGAGTCCCCGAAATTGTGAGGTTGGCGCCATTTGCTCGGTCACGGCGGAGCAATTGGAAATGAGAAATTGGTGCACATATCCGTTGCACGGCATGGGGTTTGGACCTTTTGGCGGTCGATTTGCCTGTGAGGCATTATTGAGCAACACATGCAAATTTCCAGTCACTGAGATTAAAAGACATGGACTGGTCGTCTCTGGTTGCACAAGGTGCAAGTACCGTATACTTTGATGAGTCTCAGGTAGGTATGCGGAGGAGTTCCCTAGAAGTGCCTGAATCCTCCGACGAGGCCAGAATACGGTAGGTCGTGCCAGCGCGCGAACTGCTCGAAAAACGAGGCTTTCATTGGCCGAAGACAGTGATGACCCTCCATAGGGAGAGAACTGCAATCCAGTATATGATACTACATACTAGTAGCGCTTGGCACCGTGCCTGGAGGCCCGACAGCCGTATCTTTGGCCGGGCAGGCAATCCGAAGGGGCCCCGGGCTCCGGACGAAGCGCATTGCGTGCATACTTTCGCTGGCGATGGACAGTGCAGGCGGCGGTACGCCGTGAATGGCTCGATGTGCGTTTCCAGAGGTCGAGGTTGGATGTGCGACCAGAGGTATTACACAAGTAGGTTAGCTTGAGCAATATTACGGAGCATTATTCGAATAAGAGTGAACTTGAATGCCAGATGGAGAATAATGCCCGGGGCCTGGATCTTGGCTCGCGCCTACTTGGAGAGTCAAACGGTCATACCCATACCCATGCCTCTGCCGAGCCGCTCCCGCGCTGCCAATATACAAGGAGTATCGTGGTTCGACAACACAAAGAGGTGAGGAAGTACTCAGTATTAGACACATCGAACGAGCAACGGCGCGGCGCATATGCCAGGCTGGAGGGAGGGGAGCGGTCTCCGTTGCGTTGCAGTGCCCGATGCCCGCAATTGTGCTTGTACAAACCGCCGTGCTTGTTGCAATCCCGAGTCCGTACGTGAAGGAGAGCAAGATGAACGAATGGCATCGTGTCCATCGGCGAAAAAAGATTTGGAGAACTGCGGATCCGGTTGACGCTGCTGACCCCATGCAACAGGCCGGGGAAATGGCCAACCAAGCGCGCAGTCTCCAGCCCACACGCGCATCTAGCTCGATAAGTTGAAAATGCACGTCTAGCTGCATCACGGGCCTGGCGATTCATGCCTCTCGCTGCAAGCCCATCTGTGCGAGGCTTCTTCTGGGATATTCGTGGTCTGTGCACGGCTGGCTGGTGGTGTGCTGTAAATTGAGTGGCGCCGGTCCCTGCTGCCAGCAAGGCTCCACACGCTCTTCTGGTCTCTCACCGTGAACAGAAAACGTCAATCTGGGCTGCTGGGCTCGGGCTGGATCAGGACTGTGACTGAAGGGTGAATGGCAAGGTGACGGCCGTGATTCTGCGTTGGAAGGGCAAAGTATGGTAGTGGTGATGGTGGAGGACGACTGATGCTGGATTGAGGAGGAATCTGCTGCCTGCTGCGCGGCCCGGCATAACGCGGCTTTGGGCGCGTCAGCGCGTATTACATAAGCACCGACTTGCAGCATCAAGGAGCTTGAGGAAGGAGCAACTCCAATGACTTTCTGCAGGCCAGGCTCCGGCTCTCTCGAGAGGAAGGAGGGAGGGACTGCATGGGAGGCAGTCGTACCCGGTACTTTCGTACCTCCAACGCTGCAGAGCCGCTGCTTGTACATACATGGCTGCTGCTGATGGAGGTTTGTCGCGGTACTGCCTTCCAGCGTACTCCGTGTGCACTTGACAGCCTTCCATTGGAAAGCAAGGTGCCTGGCTACTGACCAGTCGCAGTCGTCGCGGTGAAGTGAATGGAAGTTGTAGGGCAGGCCAGGGCCAGCGAGTTGCAGCAGTAGCTCCTGCTCGTGCAGAAGTTAGTGCCGAGCGCCCCATGCTCCTGCTCTGGCCGCGAAACGCGGAATCGTCAAGCTTCGAGCTAGCAGCCCCAATTCCGTGTGCTAGTACGACGTTGTAGGAGTGACCCCATTCCTGGCGACTTCCACCGCTCCATCGCACGTACCGGTACCGCCCCGCGCCTGTACCTGCGATTGCTGACTTACCTACTAGCAGGTACCTACCTTACGTGTTTGTGCTAACTTTTACCTCCCACCGCCAGGCCGCCGTTTGAACGCCATCGTGGCATCAGACGAATCGCAGACTGGAGCTCAGCCTGGACGCGCTCCTGGGGGCTTGGACGAGGCTTGCAAGAGACTTTCGCACCGTACGGAGCAGCGCCTGGACGGGCCGGAGACTAAACATCGTCGAACCCCACGCTACCAGTCCGGTCCATGACCCGGCAGCTCCTCCGAGAAAACTGTGCAGCCAGCTCTGGATGGCAAAGGGCTCAACGGTACAAGAGGTATGGCCATCTGGCTGCTGGTTGGGGTGCATGTACGAGTACCTGTCCGGATGGATCGCGATCGCCCAATGGCTTCTCCTTTACCGCTGCTGCTGTGCCTGCCTTAGCACTGGCATGTGCGGCCCCGAGTACAGGTACCGGGACCGTCACTCTGTGCCGTTATTATCGCCGACTTGCGTTGCAAGGGGACGAGGACGGGAGTTACGGAGAGTGTCCGGCCAGCCAGCTTCGCTTGTCCCAACGAACTGCAGCTGGGGCAGTCGAGACGAGGAGACGGAAGTCAAGACGAATGACGAGAAGGAGGAGAGCGAGGGATGAGGAAAGGCACGGATCTCTGGCTGCGGCCATGGGCGGCACAGAGCTGCTCGAATGGCTTGGTGTTGTTAACCACCGTGTTGCTTTTTCCCTCCTATTACCTTATTACGAAGCCATGCCGTTCTCAGGTCCTACCTGGGTCCATGAGCCTCTCCACCACATCAAGTGTACGAGTACAGGGTACATGTTACAGGTCGCGACGTACCGACCAGCATGGACGGGACATATCATTGCTTGTCCGCTCAAATGGGCCAAGGTGCTTCTTAGGGGTTCCAAAACTGCCAGCGGCATGGGTGCGTGTTGTGCACCTCTCACGTCAATGACCCTTGTGTGTCAGGCCTGCTCTGGGCCAGCATCTCTCGAGCCAACGAAGGATGTCGAACACATCGCGGAAGCGCACAGTATCGCCATCTTGAAGCAACTTTCTCTCTCTACGTGCTAAGGTACGGATTCCTCTCGCCATCAAGCAGTGGTTGGTACTCGTACCTCTCAGAATCAGAGGAGCCATCTCCTGGCAGAGCTGCTAGTGCCGCTGCTAGCAGGAGGAGGAGGAGACCGGAGGTTGGCGTGGGGTGCTCCAAACCCGTTGCAGCAACCCTGGCTTCTGCTCCCCGTCATTTTGCTGGGCTGGCCGCCGCCACCTGGCTTGCTCAGACCTTGTGGAGGCCCTCATTCGGAGACTCGATTCTGATTCTACAGTTTACGAGGGGTAGGGGGGAGGCATATGCAGCCTTGGCTTTGTTCTCTGGGTCTTGGTGCCTGCTGCCCACCCCCCCCCCCTTCGAAACGTTATTCGTTGTCCGCAATTGCATCAACAAAGTGACACCACTACGACCTAGTACATAGCATCACTGTGGACTCGTACTTATTCGTCGAACTGGCCCTGGTCACCTTACTACCTTTGGAAACGGTACCAAAGAACGGCAGGGCGGGAGTACTGTAAGTACAATGCCTGTCCTCGCGATCAAATACCGCCACGGAACGCCTTGTCACTGGAGCATGAACAACCTTCTTCTTGCCTGGGGTCCATGGATTGCCCCAATTGTACTTCCCACTGACGGCGCGCATATGCTTAAGTGGATGGCTGAGGAAAAGATACACCTGGCCTGGATCTAGCAAGCAGCGGCGGTGGCTGCGGCTTCAATGTCACCCCATAAGTTATCACTCCCAGATCCAGCCCGCCAGCACTCCTACATACTCCCACCACCACCCTCGATCACCGCTCCGCTGAATACACGCCTGCCCCAGTTGCGGAACTGGCAAGTCTCTCTCCTCCCGGGCTTGTTCTCTGTCGAGTCGCCCTGTTGATGGCGGGTGCTCATCGATAGATTCGCGTCTTGTTGGAGCCAAACACCCGGCAAGACCCATGCGTATTGCCGCCCAGGGGGAGCCGTCTAACCGTCTTTCTTCTGCCCCGCGCCTCTGCTCCGTTGCCAGAGCTTCATCTTGCTCCTGGTCCAGTTCCCAATTTTTTCTCCCCTTGCGGGATCCTCCATCGACGACGGAGTGTGCCCTGTGGGAATGTGCTGGACCGGTTCCCACCAGTCGTCTCCGCTGTGGACCAGGCATTGCTTCACTTTCGGAATTCACAAGCTCAAATGGTGTCGTCCGAGCACTGATGCAGGTGATTCGTCTGGTTGATCCTCCTTCCAAAGATCTAATCTTGTCAAATTCAAATTCTCCGGCGTGGCTGCGGCCTTGCGTGTTCTTGTCATTGTCGGGTTCCTCTTGGCTTGAGAGGGAGAGAGAAGGAACGGGTAAAAAGGGGGGGTGGCTCGCAAGAGGCGTTCCACATCCCAACACATTCGCAAGCAGGCATCTCCATTCGCCTGCTCAAGGTTCAGTGCTGCTCCCATAGCCAAGAACGAAATCTCAGTACGATCACGTTTTGTGCGCCTCTTACGCCAAACACAACTTCTACTCCTGAACATCGACTGTCCGTCCCCCTCTGGCCGAAGGCTGTCCGGGCTGCTGCTTCACACGCAGTCTTTACAGTCTACGTACCGAAGCACATGATACATATTCACGTTACAGCCATCCTTTATCTACCGGGCATCCCCCAAGCAACAGTTGCGTACTCTTGGCCACCTTGATTTCCCTACATCACCATCACCATGGGCGACTACTATCATCAGTTTCTGACTACGGTGTCGGGAGAAGGCTATCTGCCTACGAGCCCCGATGAGGCGAATCCGGTCTTCGTGCCCGGAGTTTCCCTACCATTATCAACCCCTCCACTACGTTCTCCGTTTTCTACCAGCCCTGGATTCTTCTCGGGATACGTGGATCCTGCTTTTATCAATGGGCACAATAATGTGTCCAAGGCAAACAAGAGCCGGCGGCGCTCAGCTGCAAGCCAGGGCGGGAACGCAGACCAGGTCAAGCACCGCAGGACACGATCCGGCTGCTTTACGTGCCGGACACGCCGAGTCAAGGCAAGTCAAAACGCAGAGACTGGACATGCAACTTTGGTTCTGTGGCTGACACTTTGAAGTGCGACGAAACTCGACCGATCTGTCACCGTAAGCATTCGAGAACCGCCTCGTCGATGGCTCGTCTCTTCCATCTCAAACTAATGACTTGCAGGCTGCAGGAAAGGAAGCCGAGATTGCACTTGGCCCGACCCGTCAGGATCCAAAGGGCCCTCGGCCCATTCAACTGCTACAAGAGCGAAGGAAGGGTCGTCCGCCCAGCATAGAAGCCCCGCATCTTCCAATGACGCAGAAGAGGAAGATACGGAGCCAGAAGCAAAGCTTGGGACCATTCCTGATGACGATGAACCCGATAAGCCACCCAGGCGGACCTCGATGTCCGTCCTACCGCAACCCCGAAGAGCAAGTGCGACATCGCCCAACATGGCATTTGGGAGTACCTGTCAGACCTCCGAATCGCTTTCACAGGAGGGCTACAAGAGCGCATCACCTTCGACCTCTACCGCAACGACAGGGAGCTGGACGCCTGCTGGCCACCAAGGAGCGGAAGCTATTCTGGCGGGAAGCGGATATTCGTCTTTGCCAAATCTGCCGCAAGATCTTCAAAATTATCTCCAGTACTTCGAGGAGAATATGACAAACTACCACTACGGTTTGGCAGTTGACGAAGACGACTTTTTCAGTACTGAGCTCCCGAAGGTGGCCCTGCAATGCGAGCCACTGCTCAATGCCCTCGTTGGGTTTGCCGCGTACCACGTCACCTTGCGAAATCCAAATGGAGAGCTCAAAGACTTCCTCCAGTATTACAACCGGGGTGTGACTGAGTTGCTGAAGCTTTTGGCAAAGGGGGAATGCAACGTGATGGTGCTGTTGACGATATTGCAGCTGGCAACTATTGAGGTAGGTTTAGGAAAAGGTTCAAGAGACGCAAAGGTTTGGAAAGGCGCCAGTTAACATCGTCATAGGAGTATCTCGGAGACTGGGTGAATCTCATGGGGCACCAGAAGGCCGCATACGAAGTTCTTACCCAAATCTACACCCCGCTGACGGTGATGGAGACGTCGATCGGCCGAATGTGTTTCAGCTGGTACGCCCGATTTGATAACATTGTTGCTCTCATGGGTCGAATCCCCACCGAGATACCCCGCGTATGGTTCACGTCCATGATCACGTATTATCAAAATCAGATTGCATGTAACCCCGAGGATTTGCGTTGGAGAATCGAAGATCGCTCCGCTCGACTGCGCCTCATCTCTTGGGACATGTCTATCCTATACGCGCGTGGGAGCGCAAAACAAATTTCAAAGTCTGATTACGCCAACCAGCACAGCTATCTGACCGCGCAACTTGAGGAATGGAAGGCAACCTGGGACCCGGCACTTTGCGATGAACAGTTTCTCGTTACCGACTTCAACTGGCGACTACCGCTCAACTCGGATGACATAGTCGATCCATACCGTCCCGGCTTGCTCTACGACCATCCCCTATTCAACAACACCGTCATCACAATGGAATGGCATAGCATTCTCATCATGCACAAAACTCAGTCTCCCGAACTCTCCAAGGAGGAGCTATTCACGGAGGTTTCAAGTCATGCGTTTGCCGTGTGCGAGCTCTTTGAGTGTTTGGAATTCTGGCCAGATCTGCCACCTGGAGCGTTGATAGCAGTGCAGCCATGTTTGGCGATTGCAGCGCTTTTTTTGCCGCATGACCCGAGTCATAACATGTGGTTGAGGCGGAAGTTTGCCCTTTTAGAAACTCAGGGGTAAGTCTAACAGACGCCTTTCCCCCCTACTTTATTATCCAGCGCTGCCCAACCTTTGCCCTCCCTGGCCCATACGACCAGCAGTATGTAGCTGGTCATTTACAGTCGTCACCCAACCGCCCTAACCCCCACGTTGGAGATTATGGGTTCTTATCATGTGCAATAACGATCCGTTGACTCGTCCTGACGCTGTTCTAACTTGGAGGCACACAGGCATATCAATCCCGTATCTCGCCGTGAAAAGATGGCCCAGGTCTTCAGGGATCCCTCGTGCGTCCGGTGGTGGTTGCCCAACGACGAGTTCTTTACGCCGATCCTTCAGAGTATCAGAGCCTTTGCAGACGAACGAAACGCCAAGGTGCTGAACATGCGGCAGCAGTCAATACGCGACGTCAAACACCTCTTTGATAAACTCTCCCTTTAATGGCAATGGCTAAAGAGTTGAAGTAAGCGTCTGAAAATGGTCAGACTCAGGAGGCAAGGGTTGTCGCCAAATGTTCCACATTTGGCAAGATACACTTGGCAAGATTTCGGTCTCGATGTGATTACATCTTAATCAGAGGCCATCCTGTCGAAAGATGTTCGGGGATTGGTGCTAATGAGGGGATGATATGAGGGGTTATCATAATGCTAATGTTTGATTTTTTGGCCAATGGATGTTTGCCACAAGTTACGGGGCTGCTGAGCCATCAAGGAAACGAAATTGGGCACTCGAGGACTTTGAACTCGAGGTGCCTCGTTTCGCCTTGCCTGGCATGGGAAGAGATGGCAGTCTCCCTAAGGACCCACGGAAACATGGCAGCAAATCTCATGGAGGCGTCACGAACGGGAGGGTTTGGCGTTGCTGGGAAGCAAAACCGCTCTGGCAGGAGGAGATAATTGTTCAAGCAAGCGAAGAGTAAGACTGGCTAGGCATCTTGGCGTTGTGGTTTTACTGGCTTGGAAGAGACTTCCATAGACACACCTCCCTGTTCTATTATTACTACCTACTAGGTAGGTACGCATAGGTAATCACCGCAGTCTGCAGAGCTTCTCTTGTCGTAAGGCATGATGACAGTTTTGGCGGTCAAACCAATAGTCTTGGTTTTTTTTTTCTTCTTCCTCTTCTTCTTCTTCTCCCTCTGCAGTAATATGTGTTGATTTTCTTAATCAAGACGCTATACAATTGACTCGTCCGCCTGCTTTATCTCGCCCAAACTACCTATACATATTGCGACCCTATACACTACCTATGAAGTCCACCGTGGAGAAAGTCAAAACGGGCTATCCAGGCCCGGGTATTAAAACTATGTAGTCCTTGATCTCATATTCCTTTGATTTCTTCGACTGCTCTCTTTTTGCCTTGTGTTGTCCACTCAAGCCAGGAGCAGAGAACGACATCCGAGACGTCTACTTTTGTTCCTCTGTGGCCCCTTCTTTTTCGGCGGCATCTGCCGCCGGCGCTGGGTCTGCTGTGTTAGACTCTGGTTGATGCGGCTCTGCTTCTTTATCTTCTTCCGCAGACGGTTCTTCGACATGTACAGGTGGAGATGTTTCCTCAGATGCAGCGGCCTCTGGGACTTCACGAGTGTTATCGCGCGTGTCGTCATCGTTGTTGTTGTTGTTGTTGTTGTTGTTATTGTTGTTGTCGTAGTCGTCGTCTGCTGCTGCGGCCGTCCTCTCGCCCGGCTGCTCAGTGGCTGTATTATCGGAAGTGTCGATAACGCTAGTAATGTCATCTTCATCTGTAATCTCCACAACGCTTGCGGACACCCCTGCTGGACCGGCATCTGACAAGTCAGATGCGGTGTTGGCTTCGCTCAGCCGGGGTTCTGTTGTTGAGGACGGTGAAAGAAGGGGAGGCGGTGGACCGCCCAGTACTGATTGCTCGACGATGACGGGTACTTCGGCGACTTCAGGCTCTTCCTCCAGGAGGTCGGGTGCTGCCAGGTGCATGTTTCTGAGCCTCCGCGAGACGCCATCGGCATCTTCCTCTTCCGCCTCCAAGACGGTTGTTACAGAGCTGCCGGTGGACGGGCTGCTCCTGATGTGCCTGCGAGTATTTGTGCGACTGACCGAGCTGTGAGAGCCGTCATCCTCGAGCTCGCCTGCCCCGGGATGCGAGGCGGCGGCAGCGGCTGAGGGCCTCAGGATCTGGGGCGCAGGCGCTCTGTTGGCCGCGGCGTCGAATTCCGGCGGAGCTTCGAGGCCTTCTGCCTCAGGGGGAAGCTTGTAGTTCTCGGCCGGCAACAGGTCGTACAGGTCGCAAACCGTCTTGAAGAAGACGTAGAGCCCCGTCTGTCCTTCGACAGACCAAAAGACGCTGCGGTGCTGGAACCAGGCGTGCGCGAAGATGCGGTGCAGCCGGCGGAAGACGTTGACCAAGCTCTTGACACCGACGTTCTTGCTATGGATGTCGCTGACCACGACGAAGCGGCTGGGGAAGATCTTCTGGTCGGAGACGACGTTGGCGGCCCAGTCGAGGGTGTGGCAGCAGTAGTCGATGGCACAGCAGCTCTTAGGTGCCTCGTGTACGGCGCAGAGGAACTGCCACTCCGACGCGCGCATCTCGGGGCACGTGCTGGCGCTGCATGGCGGCGTGTCGAAGAGGAAGCCGACAATGAGGGAGTTGCACTGCGAGATGAGGAAGCGGCACAGCTCGTAGAGCCAGAGCGTGCGGTCGATGCCGTGGGGAGGCTGGGCGAGCTGGAGGGCCGAGGCGCGCGTCAGCGGCTGCGTGCCGGAGGCGGTGCTGTGATAGTGCAGGGCAGCGAGGTGCTCCTGGAGTTGGAATGGCGAATCTAGCTGGATTTCCCCGTCTCCCATGTTAGCCCCTTGGAGTCTTGTGCGCGCGGCTCGCGACACAGGAGAGCGGTCATACCTCGCTCAGCGGCACCAATGGAGGGCCGGCGGCCATGTCTGCAGCCTTTGTCCCCGGATGAATCCGCCGAGAGGAACTGGCGTCCAAATGCGACTGCTCCATCTCCGTGTTCGCCAGAGTCGCTGCAGGGCCTCCCGACGGCGAGTTTGGCGCTATCTGGATCTCTGCTGGCGGCGGGGGGCTGGGCAGACGAGGGGAGCTCGGCGCCAGAGACATGGTGAAGGTTGCAGGCCTGACGCGACGGCTTGGTGGCGAATGCAGGGGAAACAGACAGAAGAAGGAAGAAAAGAAACCCAGAAACAGCCTTGATATGTACAGTCGCGATGCTGTTGACAGCCTGGCTATCGACCAATTGGGGTGTGTGGTTCAAGTTTGGAGCTATGGCATACGGCTTAGGTGCATACTGCCTCGAGAGAGCTTGGTAACAGCATAAACCCCATACAGGCATCCTTGATTGGCTTAAACAATTACAGAGCCGTATAGCGGGGCATCGGTTTCCTCAGCAGGCAGGATGGCACGGACGGAGCCCAGTACATCATCGTGCATACACTCCTTGGTAGAGCCTTATGTAACCGAGCCTGTCTCTGATGAGTCTGGATATATCCGACTCTCAATACCGATCATCACCAACCAGCCTGTGTTCTTATCTTGTCTTTGGCCTTGCCTCTTGGACACCCACATAATAGCCTAAGCCAGACGTCATGGATCTTGACGACGATGCCCCTCCGGAGTTGGTGGAGGTTAGTGGTGGGATAAAGGATTCAGATGAGGGCCCCAATGTGAAAGTGCCCATCACCATTGTCACAGGTGAGGCTATAGATGGTTCAGGTAAAGACGACTTTGAATGCCTGAGATTGACAAGCCAAACCAGGCTATCTCGGTGCCGGAAAGACGACGTTACTCAATTATATCCTTACGGCACAGCATGGCAAGAAGATTGCCGTCATCATGAACGGTGAGTGGTCCCTACTCTTTTTTCTCTCTAGTGTTTCTATGTAAACTCATTTGTACTAACTTTATTCATTCAATTCAAAGAGTTTGGAGATTGTATGAAGATACCTCTCTGAAAACCCCTCTCGTCGACAGCAGGCTTCTAACATCTCCATTTGTGCAGCTGTCGACATTGAAAAGTCTCTCACGGTCAGCCAAGGCGACAACAGGGTAGAAGAGTGGCTTGAGGTCGGGAACGGCTGCCTATGCTGTTCTGTCAAGTAAAGTCCCCTTCACCGCTTGCTCTCGGCCTCTGCAGATGCTGACGGAGAGTAGAGATACTGGCGTGAATGCCATCGAAAGCCTCATGGAAAAGAAGGGGGCATTTGACTACATTCTGCTCGAAACAACTGGGCTAGCAGACCCTGGGAACATTGCTCCTCTGTTCTGGGTCGACGACGGCCTTGGCAGTACAATTTATCTCGACGGAGTGGTTACTCTGGTGGATGCGAAGAATATCCTCCAAAGCCTTGACGACCCAAAAGGCAAGATCGAAGATCATAACGAGCATGATCATCATGGCCCATTGATGACGACGGCTCACGTACAGATATCGCACGCAGATGTCATTGTCCTCAACAAGGCCGACTTGGTTAGCGAGGATCATCTGAGGATAGTCAGGGAACGGATCGAGTCTATCAATGGAGCCGCAAGAATTCATGTGACGGAAAGGAGCGTCGTTCCCCAGCTTGAGGGGTTTCTCCTAGACCTTCATGCATATGACCAGTTCAACGTTGCTGAGGCCAAAAGCAAAGGCCACAGCCATTTGGATCCTGTAAGTACTAGGAGGTCACGCCGTCGAGATTACGAAGAGACTGACAACCCAAACCTGCAGACAATATCCACTGTTGCCATTCCGGTACCAGCGCTTCGCCCGGAGCAGCTGCAGGACGTCGATCGATGGCTCCGGACGGTGCTTTGGGACCACAAGCTACCAGATACCGAGACTGCTGCTGAATTCGAGATCCACCGGTCAAAGGGCCGACTCGTATTTGACAACGGTGACGTGAAGCTTCTGCAGGGCGTGAGGGAGATATTCGAGCTCATTGAGGCTCCTGATGGCGCAGACGTTTCATCGACGGAGGGTAAAATCATTTTGATTGGCAGAGGAGTGAAGGATGTAGACTTTGAGTCGAATCTTAGACGATTGATAACATGAGAAGAGGAGCGATTGGTTGAGGAGAACTTGGGGCGAATCTTATTGTTTGATAAGAGAGTGCAGGCCATACTGCCTTGGCTGGTGGCTTGCCAGTACACTCGGTTACCAATTTTTCTGGCCATTTCTCATTTATAGCGATATCCCACCATAAGCGCGCAATGATTCTTGCAATCCATACCTTTTCTTTCTTCTTCGACCTCACTCTCGCTGACGAGAACTTCTTTGTCCGGAACCGGTGCGGACGTTGGAACTGTCATCGGCCAGCCTCGCACTCGTTTGGAGCAGCCTGATTGGCTGGGAAGGCAGATTCGGCACGGACCCACTTGAATCCGGCCAGCATGCTCCGCGCCAGAGCCCAGCCTTCCAGGACGACGCCATATGAAAAAGAGTTCAAGCAGACGATAGTCAGTCGAGACGACCAGCAACGACGGAATTGAACCTCGAATCACGGTCCGGACACATTCGCGACACACAATCTGCAGCCTCGTATCGGTGCCTTTGCGCAGTCTCGAGCAATCATGAATCGACCAGGTAGGACAAGTCCACACGGCTTTCCCCCCTCGACGACTTCGGCTCGACGGCCTCTTGACCCAAGCTCGCTCGTGACGGGCCGCCCTATGATGCGCAGCAAGGCCGACAAAGGATGGGGGTGTTGACGGGACATGGGTTTGATGCTGCAAGAGACGGAGTGAGACGAATCACGGCCGGTTGCTTCTCGAAGGAGAAACGTATCTCGACTCGGTCAACGTCGTCAATGCCCCGCCTACGAACAATTATGTTGGATGCAGAGGGCGGTTCTGATCTGAGCATGGTCATTGGTTTGATTGAGCGCCGGAGCTTTGTCATTCGACGTTGGATTCTTCAAAGATCAATCAATACGAGGGGACGGATACTTGTTGACACTCGGATGCTAATGGCTTCATTCTTCATGACAGGAGCGGTGCCGCAGTCGTTGCGCGGAATGCCTGGCGCTTTCGGAGGCCAACAGCAACCACAGCAAGGCCGATCTGTGTCAACTCGATTACCGAATGGTAAACTAGGTATTTGACCCTCGACCCGCACCGAGCTGGCCGTACTTATAGGCGGAGAGGGCTTTTGGCTCGGGCGTTGGGATTGGCGAATATGGGTTGCCAGGTGCTAACAGCTGGCTCGATGCGATCGATATAGCGAACAATACCTCAGGCTGGGCGTTCAACGCAGCTGTTCCCATGGGCGGTGCTGCCTTTCAGAACCAGGCTCGCCAGCTGGGCGGCAATGTCAGCTTTGCGCAGAGCTTGAGCGGGTCACAGCCTGCAACACCGCTCGACCTTTCGTACGTTTCTTCCCATTCACTCCAACTCTGAATCTCCTCCCAACTTCCTCCGCCACACTTCATCTCGTCATCTCATCGCCACGACTCCCAAATCCCATCCTGCTTCATCATGATACGCTACACGTACAAGAAGAGCAAGCAAAAGCAGGTCAACAAGCCTCGGGATTCGTCGAGCGCGGAGCCGGAGTCGCATTCCGTCTCTGGCCTGGCCTATTCCGACGTTCTCAAGCTTCCCCCCGCTTCGGGCCCTGCGAATCTGGCGGCGGATTCTCCTTCGTTTCTCGGGCATGTTGATGGAGATGATCGGCGGCGCTCTCTACTGTCGCAGGCACTAACGAACGCTCACAGGGAATTTCCTTCTCTGTCGAACAACTCTCAGATCCCCAGCACTACCCAGGGATCGATGTGGTCTACGGCGGGCTCTTCGCGAACCATCAGCGGGCCAATCCAGCGGAATCAGCCGGCGCCAGGCCCTTCCCAGCAGGGCGGCCAAGATGACCTCTTTGGTCCCCCGTCGTCGCGGCTGCAGCAGTCAAACCAGGGCCCCTTTCGCTTCGGGCCACAGCCGACGCAAGTCCAGCCTAATAGTGTCGACGATTTCCCTCCGTTGAACCGGACTTCCAACGGAGAGATAGGCTCAGAACGTGGAGCCAACTTGATGTCCTCTCTGGGCTTCAACCCGCAGAACCCTGGCTCCTCAGGGCCTATGCAGAACAACGGTGGAAACGGCCTGCTGAACGCTCTGACGGCGACAAACCGGGCAAACGAAGCACGATCGTCGCCTGCCATAGGCACGGCAAACGGTAAGAAAGGTTTTTACTCTCTTCATCCCCCCCTCCCCCCTCGTCCATTCGAGCCGCCTATTGACATGGCCCAGGTCCTGGTAGACAGCAGCAACAACAACAACAGCCGCCACAGCCTCCGACCCAGGCTCAGCCGCAGCCACAGGCACAGCAGCAACAGCACGATAGTAAGCAGAAGGCGGCAACGGTTCGGGAAGACGACTCGGCAAAGGCGTCAGAAGTAGCCTCGCCAGCCGGCGAGGGGCGGGGATCTCTTGGTGTTATTGGCAGCGAGGGTCCGAATGGGCGATCGACCGAGCGCAAGGACAGCCAGTCTGCAGAGGTCGTAGACCCACTAGCTGGTATGCCTGCGGTTGACAAATGGGGCATCAAGGGACTGCGGACACTGATGAACACCTACCCCGATTATCACGCCATGATTATAGGGATGGATCCCAGCACCATTGGCCTCGATCTGAGCTCCCCCGAGTAAGTGACGAATTCTCGAGGCGGCGCGTTGGTGATTCGACGCCGCGATGCCGCGACGCAAGCGATACTCTTGCTAACCAGATGATGCTAGACTGATTTCAACCCAAGTCTACTCATTATTTGACGACGCTCCTCCAAAGCCGACAGTGAACCTTAACAAGTTTCGACTGCCCGAGTGCTACAGCGTGACAAATGTGCAGCCGATAGACACCAAGATACAGAGCTTCAACGAAGAGACTCTGTTCTGGATCTTCTACAGCTGTCCCTTGGATGCGAAGCAGCAGATGGCTGCAGTAGAGCTGTGAGTCTGACCGACTGTCGTTCGTTTTGACATAACCACTAATGCGCACCAGGCATTCTCGGAACTGGCGATGGCACAAGAAACTGCAAGTCTGGCTAACAAAGGACGAGCACATGACGCCTCAAATTCTGAGTCCAAACCACGAGCGAGGATACTACATTGTGTGGGATACCGCCACTTGGCGAAAGGATCGAGTAAGTTTTACATTCGAACCTTGGCTATTTTACTTCAATTAGCAGAAGCTGACGACTACCCCTCCTTGCGCGCGATACAGAGAGAGTTCACGCTGCACTATGGAGATCTGGACACGTCCCTGGGACAGCCACCGCCAGTTCTGTCATAAGGGGCTGTGGGAACGGATTTAGGGGGGGTGCTCCTTTGAGCCTGGAGAGGGATTACCTGCTGACCAGAGACATGGAAGCTTGGTCGAGCTGCTTCATCGTTTTGGCGTTCAGCCACTAGGGCAAGGACTGAGGATTTCTTTTTCATCTTGCTTTTAAAGGAATGGGTTCGGTATCATGACGGTCCTGGAATGCAGAGTCGGTTTTCAACGGCAGGCCGATATTCTTAGCTTGCCAATCATGCATCAATTGAGAGGAAGACTGGCCAGAAGAAGAGCGCTGCTCAGTGCTGGCGGATATTTTACCTGGTCATATCTTGCGGTTGTGTGTCTGGCTGAGTGCATGTTTCTCCCTTTGCCTCTTTTTGCTTTCAATTTCCTTTCCCTTGCCTTTCTTTTACCCCCTCCTTCCTCTATGCAGTTTCGGAACTTCTCAATCTGGAGGGCTACTTCGATTATTGAATTACACTCAAGCATGTCTGAGGCCATTCATCTTGCTCATCTGCTTCTCTCATTGTCTCGTGAGGTCTTGGCTTTCTGTTCACGGCAACTTGCTTAGTAACGAGGCAAGACATGCACAAAGTGCATCAGTATGTTGACTGACGGCGGGCAAATTAGCCGAGGTTCCACCATGACGGACATGGGTGGCGTACCTATTCGCTCATTTGCTCGAGTCTCTTGGTCGGAGTGACCTGACGGGATATTATGCGTGTTCTACCTTGCCTTGTCACAAACCCTCGCATGAAGACATCCAACACCCACCCGCCAACGGGCTAAAGATCGGCTGTTCTCAGGATTCGAATTTACGGGCGCTCTGGCGACGCGCATCTGGACTGTTCATGTTTGCTCTCTACTGACCTTCATTTGTGTTTGCGTCATTCTGAAGCTTTGGTCTTGGCTACGCTCCGACGCCTCACCGACTGCTGCTCGCCGTCTCTTCACAAGCCGCGCAATCGCTACTCACGAATTCAAAACTCCAACGCTCATCAACACTCATCAAGTCTTGCGATTCTAGCTCGGAATCTACACTCGTCAAGCGACGCCGCAATTGCGGTCGCCAAAAAGTCGCCATGTCGGACGAACAGATCTCGCTACCATTCTTCGCCATTGTCCTGCTTGTGTCGGGGCTGATAGTGCGATACCTCTTCTTCTCGGGTCCGCGCCCCGAACGACCACCCATCAGGACGGCCGAGCAGTTGATCAGGTCAAGAGAGGTTGCAGTGCAGAGGATACAGCAGATGTTTCCGCAGGTCGAGCGACGGAGCATCCTGTGGGACCTTCAGCGCAACGGCGGCAACATCCAGAGCACCACGGAGCGGATTCTGGCAGGCCGTCTGGAAACGGTATGACACCCTTTTGTGTTCCTCATTTGTTTCACAGGATTCCGTGCGCCCTTTTTGCTTGCGTGAATTTGCTCGATTTGCTTGACGGAGCTAACGAAATGTGTTGATAGCCTCCCATCACTTTCCAACCACCTCCGCTTCGAACCCAATCTCCGCCGAGTGGGAGCTCCGGCCCTGCGGCGAAGCAGCCCGAGAAGCCTGCTCAACCTGATTTGATCACGCGATACAACCTGAAGAGTAAAGTTACCGAGGCGCCGGCTGCGGAAGACGGGGGAGCGCAGGGTGAGCATGACAAGAAGGGCAAGGGTTGGAGCTCCAACCGAGAAGAGCGACAGGCTGCCTTGCAACGACGAAGGGACGAGATGATTCTGGCGGCGAGACGGAAGATGGAGGCCAAGCTTGCGGCGGAGAAGGCTGCCCAGGGGTCATCGTGAATGGGAAAGGAAAGAGAAGGGGAAAGACACTGTGCAGGGGTAATTCGAGGCAAGCTCCTCTTTCTGGTTTCACGGCTGCATTGTTATGGTGAGGCTTGCAAGCAATGGCGTTTTAATGGCTGTAGAAGAAAAAGCAGTGTAGGATAATGGATTGCTTGAAGATGCTACAAGAGAAACATTGTGGAGGCTGCCACATGATGTTCAATTCGTTTCTCCTTAGTGATCATCAACCAGCACAGATCAAAGTGCTCACTTTCGCACTAATCAAGCCGTCCAGTCGATATTTGACAATAGAAGCCGCTTGGAGGCCTTTCTCGGTTGTCTTCTGATATCGATGAGCCCCGCGCTTGCATGGGCCAGAGGCTTGACGTCAAAGGGATCTCCCTTTTCAAGGTAGGTAGGTATGTACCCAGCATCATTGGCCGTATTGGCATGACTATCTATTGTGCATTTCTGCCAGTCACTAGTCTATCAGTGAATCACCTATCAGAACATCTGATGTACTGTAATGTAAGACATGTTCTATGGTTTTGTAAGCTCCCCAAGAACCCCCAAAACCCCAGCTCGTGACAATCAGCGGCAGACGACAGCACCTGTTTGGCTGGGCACGAGATGCGATCAGCCCCAAGCCACGGCCACAGGCATGATGTGGACGGGCTGCTCAGCCACAGCGGCTAGGTATCTGCTGCCTTATCCAAGGCGCTGCGTCACCGCGGGGACCAGGCACATTATCAGGTACAACGAAACAAAATACAGCAAGGTAAGGTGCTACTAGGTAGTAAGAGGGCAGAAAAAGAGAAACAGGAACCACCACAGCTGGTGTCTCAGCTCTTCTTCACGCTTCTGTCTTACCATTGACCTCTTGACATTCTTCATCCTGTTTTACGGTGGCTCTGCTTTATTCAAGCACCGAAGTCCCTGTCTCAGCATCTTACCTTTACTCATCCTTGGATTTTCCTCACGCAGCGCGACGTGAAAGCTCTCCCACCTTTCTTTGCGAGAGCAACCGCGTTCATTGCCCAGTCTCAAACATCGCATCGCATACGGAGGCTGTCAACTTCTGTTTCTTCTGTATCTTCTCCCTTCAATCTGTATGGCCTGGATGTTCTAGAAGCGACCTGAGCCGCTTGATTACGGCATTCTTCCCTCCCTTGCACGACAGTCTTCCATTTCGCAGAGGGCATCACAAGCACTGGCGTCATTACAGGTAAGTTGGACAGGGTACCCTACCGTTGTACCCAGGTGCGATCCGATCTCCCTTGAGCTGCACATGTTCGTCATCACCTCGCCTCGGGACAGAGTCTGGGCGAGCGAGTACCAGTCAGATATTCTCACTCTTGCTCGGCTTCTTCATTGCTTCGCTGGCCTGTTGTGCCCCGCCGCGTAACGAGCGTGCAGTCTGGCGAGCTGCTGCTTTGTTGTCAGGCGCATCAGCATCATCAGGCTGAAAGCCGGTCCTGATTGGCAGCCCTGCGGCCCTTGTCAAGATCCAATAAATCTTGCCCAGGTGGTCTGCATGAACCTCTCTTGTTCCGTCCTTCTGTCCTCTTCTGTCTTCTCTTCTCTTCTTCTCTTCTTCTTCTTCTTCTTCTTCTGCTGCCGCGCCATTTTGTTTCATCTGGGTGCTCGTGGTTTCTTCCTCACCACTGCTAATCACCCCGTGCGATTAGCATCGTCTTCCACAGATTGAAGCCTTTATTCGCCCAGCGTCCGACGATACCAAACGTTTAGAAATTGCGCAAACCTGCGACCGCCTCGTTCCAAATCCGATACGCCCTTGATCTAACCATAATCAGAGCCGAGAAAGTCGACACTGCACCCAACGTCTCCCTCCTACACCACCTTGGCTCAATCGCTCCCACCCTGGGCAGTATTGGCGAGCCCTGAGCCGAGAGCAGATTTCCCAGACGAAGCTCGAGAACGCTCTGATATGGTGGTTGTGATATCGAGCCTGAATCTAGACTCATAGCCCATTCCAGAGCTGGGAGCCAGCAAGGAGCTGCCTATCCAGAGCTGCGATGGCGCCCCAGCGGGACTATTACGCTGATTTGGGCCTGACTCCATCGGCAGATATCGTGGAAATCAAGAAGCAGTTTCGAAAGCTAGGTGTGTAGCAATATTTTTCCATCTCGAACGTCCCTGGAATCAACTCGTCTAACTGTTGAGAACAGCTCTGAAATACCATCCCGATCGTAACCCTGGCCGAGAACAAGAAGTCAACTCGCAGTTTCAGGTCATTCAAGCTGCCCACGAGATACTCAGCGACCCCGAGGCTAAAGCAAAGTACGATGCTACCCTTTTGCGGTCCGCTTCCAGCCGATACCCGACCGCCTCGGGTGTAAGAGGAAACCCATGGTCAAACGTCAGCCAGCAATTCCCTGTGCCACCGCGACGAAACGCGCCGCGAACAACCACTTCGGGGCCACAAAGATGGAATGAAAGATTCTCGGCCGGTGTGCCGCCCACCGCCAAGCAGCAGCAGCAGGCATCGGCGGCAACGGCTGCGCGAGCTTTCGAAAGCATGCGGAAAGGCGGTGCTAAGGGCCGCCCGCAAGACCGAGCTCCTCCCCCTCCGCCGCCTCGCAACCCTCCAACGCCTCCTCCCCGAACGGAGGCTGCCAAAAAGAGAGCCGAGGCATCCTTCGGGGCCAAGAAGGCAGGCTACTATCCGCGGTCGAATACTCCTGGCGATGAGCCCCCCGTCACCAACAACAACTATTCGTCTCGCACCAATTCTGCGCGGACAGCGCCCGCACCCAACCCCGAACCTGTGGCCGATCCCTTGGCGCAGTTCAGGCAATGGAGCGGCAATGAAGAGGCCGCCAGGAACGCCGCCAAGAATGCATCGAACATCAACAGTGGAGGCGAGAGGACCAACCCCTTTGGCAGTACCGCGTCGAGTCGAGCAAGAAGCACCAAAGAGCCGTCAGAGTCAGCGGGCCCATCAACAGCACCCAAGCGTCGTAGCCCTGATATAGCGCGAAAGGAGACTGCCGATGGATCTCAGAGAAAGCCAGATGGACCCGGAGTTGAGGGCAGGCCTCGTGTCGTACCTGTTCCCCCAAGCTCGCGGCCTGGCGCATCCTTCAAGCCCCAGACAGAGGCGGCGACATCCACCACCACCACTACTACTGCCGCACCAAATGGCAATGTGTTTACTACTAATCAAACAACCAACCCTTCCACAACCAACGAACCGACTACACGTGAGTGTTACTAATTTACTGGACTTCACTTGTTCCAGGAGCCACGGCTGACCTCTTCACCTCAGCTTTCAACAACCGCCAGACACCAGTCAAGGAGACAGGGGAGCCCACAATGTACGCAACACCCGTGAAACCATTTCCATATGGCGCTTCATCGTGCCCAAAGATTCAATCTGTCGAGTCACCCCAAAGGACTACACCAAAACACAACATGGCCGAAGTCGGTCCCAAATCTAAACTATGCGGTCCAAGTGGAAAAAGCCATGCAGTTCACAATCTCTCCCCCTTTGAGCAGGAGCAGTATCAGATCTTGAAGCTGCTCATCAAGAACAGAGATTTACCTGCCTTGACACCAAGAAAAGAATCACTCCACAGCACCCCTTACCATGAGAAACCTGCCGTAGAGAAATCGAGCGCTAACAGTGTCTTGCCGAATAGCTTCAGCTTTAACTTGGACGAAGAAGCCTTTACCCCCAGCCCTCCAAGGACATCCAAATTCAGAAAGAGCACGAGCGCTGACGGGATCAACACGACTTTCGTCGAGGACGAGTCTTCTGCAACGTGGCAGTTCAGTGCTGGGAGTGGGGATAACAACCCCCCTCCTCTCAACCGTTCTCAGTCAGACAGCAGGGCAGGTCGCCGCTCACCCATCAAACGCCGACCGGTTCCCAGCTCAACTGTTCCCGATTCCGGAGCTCAAGCGCCTCAAAACGGATTTGACGCGGAAAGTTGGAACTCCATGTTTGGGCCCCAGACGTTTGCTCCGCCGCCAGCCACTCCCAAAACATCAGTGTCGCCCACGCGACAAGGCCGATCAACGACGCGAAAGACAACAAGAACTACGAGGCCCTTGGCCGGCAACGCCGCCATTGTTGAGGAATATAGCGAAGAAGAAGAACGCTATGTCTGGACCGGCCGCAAGAAAGATCCAAAGCCTGCAACGGTTGATAGCCCCCAGGCAATGGATATCGATCCACCGTTGACTGCCTCTCCAGCTGCGGTTCACACCCCTACTCCGCCGCCTCCCGGTGCAGCTTCGTCTGCGGCAACTCCCGCCACGACCTTCTCTGCAACTCCTCCTGCTACTCAGCCTCATCCCCAGCCTCATCCTCATGCTCATCCCACGGTTGCCAGGAATATTCCTGTCGAGCCGTCACGGCCGGAATGGCGGCCTGGAAACGTGACGGGACTAGGCCAGGCGTTTGAACAGGCCGAGGAAAGGAAGCACATACCTGTCAACTTGCAAGGGTCCGAAGATAGCGAAGAGTTTCGAGCGACATTTGAAGATCTCAAGAACGTGGCGCCGTTTGCTCCGCCCAAGACCGGCCTCAAGTCATTCACCGATTTGAAAGATAGCCTACCATTTGAGAGCAAGGCGTCAAGCGAACTGCACCTCGACGTTCCTCAGGCACATCCGCTGGTGTTCCCTGAGCCTCCAGTTGCTCCTAGACTGCCGCCCACCGTGGCAGTTGACGGCGTGAAGCCGAACGTTGCATCATGGAGCAAATATCTCGAAGAGTTTGAGGGATACTTACGTCTTTGGGACATGTTCAACTCACAGGTGGTCGATCACTTCGCCACGCGGAAATCCAACATCTTGCACACAAGAGCCTCAAAGGGCTATTCATTCCTAGCTGCAAGGGGTGATGCCGACGTTATGGAGTACCATAACTGGGTGGAGCAGGATAACGGAGTCCGCCGAAGGTGGTTGGCAGCTTGCGAAGAGCACGAAGTACGGTTCAGAGAATTCATGGCGTTCAGGGAAAAGATGAAGTCGACGACATAACTGGGGCAGCGAACGTCCATTGCGTTCTTGCTTTGATCAGGATTCTGGTCAACATTTTCCATGAGTACCACGCAACGGCCGAATCCCTTTCATGTTCACGATATATCCGCTTGAGTTGATTTTTCTGGTAACGAGTGCGATACCCATGGCATTGGCTGAAGCTTATCTATGGATTGTTCAGCGTAGGGCTTTCTAATTTCTTTTCTTTTTCGAGTGGACTACATGGTTCTTGTTCGTTCTTGGTGGAGGAAAGTGGCGTGAGCGGTTAACTTGGTACTAGACGATCTTTCTGATTTCTCGGAGCAGCTATGATTTGAGCTGCCAGGGTGTTTACCGGTCTTAGGTGTATACTAGCAAGACATTGTTGAAAATAGGATGTTGGAGTCTGCGAAATTCAACATAGGAGAAGTCACTCTGCGCTGTGGTAAAGCGACCTGTATGTTCATCATGAGCTTTCGTTTACCTGAGAGAAACTCACTTTCTCAAGTTGCCCTTCACTTCCTCTGCTGCAGATTGTGACTGGCAGCCAAATTCGACCCTCACATGAGACGTTGCGGGAAAGTGACTCCGTCCAAATGTGCTCATAATCTGAGCGGAATGTCATTCACTTTGCCTCCTGTTCACATTTACCTTGATAGTCCTTTTTCTCAGACCTTCTTTTTTTTTTTTAAATCCACAACAGTCGAACTCTGTATCATTCTTGTCTTCCAACTTCTCTATTCTTCGACAACAGCCAGACAGAGTCTAACAGAAATTCTCCATCAACCTCTAAAAGCAACAAACAACCGAGTTGACAATCATGGATGCGGCAGGCCAAGAAAAGGGCGCCCTCGCCTGGACTGAAGAGGCAAAGGTATGCAGCGCTCTGGCCCTAGATTTGTCTTTCTGTCACGACAGGTGCTCGATATGCTGACCTGGTTCGTTACCTCTACAGTTCCAGTTCCTCCTGCGCATCGTCGCCCAGCTCAAGGGCGACGGCCGCGGCACGAGCATCAAGTGGGAGAAGATTAACATCCCCGGCCGTACCGTCAAGAGTCTGCAAAACATGTGGACGAAGATCAACAAGCAGATTAGCGACTTTGAAGCACGCGAGAGCAGTGGCGAGGGCGCGGCCGCGGCTGTGCCTGTTCAGCCGCGCAAGAGGGGACGTCGTGAGTGATGCTCTTCTGCTACTTTCTTTCCATCTTCGGATATTGATTGATGCTAACGGTTTGTGTTGCCCAGCTAGCAAGAAGAGCTTGGATAAGGATGTTGGCGTGGTCGATGAGGGTGTTGATGATGAGGGGCTTGATGTTAAGCCGATGCTTTTGAAGAAGCGCGGCGCTGAAGGTATGTGAGGACTATGATAAATTTGAGCAAGTCTGGATCACGTAGAGTTACGTTACTGACACGATGCGACGGGAATCAGACGCCAATGACGAGAAACGAGGAGCGGGCAAGAAGAGACCCAAGGTCAAGTCTGAGGCCATGGCTAACGATGCCGTTCGGTTCAAGAATGAGCAGGTCTGAGAGACTTGCAAAGTCCTCCGTCCTGGAGCTCTTCAGTGAAGATGGATGAGGGGACTGTAAGGGAAAGCATGGCACATGAACTTGTGAGCTATATGGATGAATGATATTAAGACGATGGATGAGCTTGGAGGAATGAAGCATCTCTGCCTCACGGGTTACATGTAGTTCTTACACAGCAATACTTCAGATATTGTCCCGCCCACGAACATGTTTGATATTCTTCCATGATGAACGAGGCGCAATCACACGATCAAATTTGACGAGCGATGCTCAGAAGGGCGTGGCTCTCGTCGTAGTGAATGTAACGCTGCGGTTGTGTCCAAGTAACTGTATGTAGCTAGGTGTAAGGTAAAGTATGCATGTAGGTGAGCGATCTCCCACTTTTTCCCGCAGATCAGCTGGTCGGAATCCTGCTCGATGGACTATCTAAAGTCTTGCCGGTTATTACGTGCACACGAGGACTTTCTTAGCGGAGGGCACCGGGCCGTGTTTTAGTAGCAACAGAAGTGTATGTATAGTATGTAAGTAAGGTAGTAGGTAAGGTAGTAGGAGGTTTTTGCCCCCCCCCCCTTTCGGCGATATGCAGGCTTGGTGTTGTGACTCGTTTGCAAGGGCAGACGGGGCGGAGACGCTGCGGTTACGGTGTGTGTGCGAGTGTAAGGCTGTTTATAGGTACATGTAGTGGAAGAAGAGGGTGTTGCATGGTGGTATATATGCAAACAGATGGGAGTGACGATGTGTGAGATCCAGGTGCAGTGATTCCCGAGCTATTTGCCCCCCTGAAAGATGGAGTGTGATGAAAGTATGGAGTACATGGCTCATCTGGTTCATTTGTATCACCGGTGATGAAAGGAGGACGCAAAGGGACACAAACATGGAGAGAAGGCAAGCAATGACGACGAAGGCAGTGAAGATGGCTGGAGAAATGGTGGTGCTTGTATGACGATGGTGGGGAAAAGGGCTTGTTGGACTAGGATGGGAGCTTGTCGGAGGGTACCTAGGGGGCAAGGAAAGATGGTGTGAATGAGTGGAGGTTGGATGTTTTGATCACTTGTACCTGTCTCTGCTGCAGAGGTTGCTGGATGGAAGCACAAATATGTATTAGGTAGGATCAAGAAGAAGGGGGAAGAAAGGGGGGTTGGCCTGCTGTGACCTTCCGAGTTGTTCAAGTGTACGACTTACCCTGGACTATGATATCAAGGCCGGGTGTCCAATGTGAAATTAGGTCATCATTGTCCTTTGGCTGGTACTGCGTACTTCGAGTGTACCTGACATACCCAAGAGCGTCAAGTCGCCTCTAGTCGCGTCTACCTTGCCTTAGTTCAACCTGGAGTGCAGTTACAAGGACAGGCCAGGACGAGGAATCAGGGGCAAGAAAGCTCCTACAGGAGATCCCTAGTACTAGTAATACTAAGGGCCAGAATGGATCGCGTTGGCCACTCTAGCGGCTTCTTGACCATGCAGCGGCTATTCACACGATGGGCTGGCCAGAGAGTCTGAGTGGTCGGTCTCCTTGGGGTCAATCTGCCCTTGACCTGCTGGTGCGTGTGTGCACCTTGAGAGACTCACGCAGAGGTACATACCTAGGTACGTTAGTGCACCAATGCACCTGTACCTTGCTAGCCGTACCGCCTACGTACTGCGTACCCACAGCAGCCTGCCTGCTGATCCACCTTTTTTTTCTCCACGACTCCAAAAAGGCTGCATAACGAATTTTGTCCAGGACGAACCGACATCACATGGGCTGCTTGCTCTGCTGCCAATTGCTGCCTCCACCACCATCTTTGCCTCCCGCCTCACTGCCTCTCCTCGCGCCGTCTCTACGACATCACGCGCTCCATTGCCTCTGCCCGCGTCGTTGATGCGCTGCGACCCTACGCGACACGCCCGCGAGCCCTGCGAGAACAAGCGCCGTCGCCAAGTCGCTTCCACCCCGCGGTCGACCGCCAGCACCAGCACCAGCACAGGCTGTCGATGCGCGATAGGCGCTGCTTGCTGCCTTGATCACAGAAACATTTGTATATAAGGCGAGGCGCGTGCCGACCTTCTGAGCCTTGAATCAGCCCGTCGCTCGCTTTTTTTTCCCGGCTCCTTCTTGCGTCCAACCGCCGAAACGCGGTTTACCCCAAACAGCGGAGCCAGCCAAAGGCGACGATCAAGAGGCTGAGAAAGACCCTGTATAAAACATATAGACAAGGGACGAGCATTCTTCTACAGACTGCGCGGCAAGCCACCATCTGAGCGTCAGGTGCTGAAGCAACAAGACACGAGCAAGAACAACGACAGGCGGCCACCGAAGCAAACGCGATGAACAGGACAACGACGTCAGCGGGGGGCAAGCGGAAAGCTCACGAGTCGCCTCAGACGACGCCCCCAGCCAAGCGACCCGTCAACGGCAGCAGCAAACCCGACGTCGACATCGACATGAGCGTGCCCGACATCTCCATCGACGAGGTGAGCTACGACGAGGAATCCGATGCCGCCAGCGACATCCATCCCCACGCCCACTACATCGGCACTCCCGGCAGCCTCGGTGAGTGGCAGGACACCATCCAAAAGGTCGTCCGCAATGTCGTCGCGATCCGATTCTGCCAGACGTGCGCATTCGACACGGATCCTGCCTTGACGAGCGAGGCCACGGGCTTTGTCGTTGACTCGGAGAGAGGGTATGTGCTCTGGCGTTCTGCTTAGGTGCTTTTTTCTGTGTTTGCCCACCCAACCCCTGATTATGCCAGTCATCCCTTCCGGAGCGCACTTCGCTGACCGCTGTTGCTCTCGCGCCATGCCGTTTAGTTACATCATGACGAACCGTCACGTTGTCGGATCTGGTCCCTTCTGGGGCCATTGCGTGTTCGACAATCACGAGGAGGTCGACTGCTACCCCGTCTATCGCGACCCCGTTCACGACTTTGGCATTCTTCGATACGACCCCAAGGCGATCAAGTACATGCATGTGGATGGCCTCACCCTGAGCCCCGACCTGGCAAAAGGTGCGTTGAGAGTTGAGCGGAAAACGGAGAAGATCTAGACATCAAGGACCATGCGATTGCTGACCTTTTGGTAACTTTAGTGGGCACCGAGATTCGTGTCGTCGGAAACGACGCTGGCGAGAAGCTGAGTATTCTCTCGGGTGTCATCAGTCGCCTGGATCGAAATGCGCCCGAGTACGGCGATGGATACAGCGACTTCAACACGTGCTACTATCAGGCCAACGCTGCCGCCAGCGGTGGAAGTTCCGGCAGTCCTGTCGTGAACAAGGATGGTTGCGCCGTTGCGCTCCAGGCCGGCGGCCGCTCCGATGGTGCCTCGACCGACTACTTCCTACCTCTGGATCGACCCCTGCGCGCCCTTCAGTGCATCCAGCAGGGCAAGCCCGTCGTCCGCGGCGATGTTCAGTGCCAGTTCCTGCTCAAGCCCTTTGACGAGTGCCGCAGGCTTGGGCTTAGCCCGAAGTGGGAGTCTGCGATGAGAAAGGCTTTCCCCGAGGAGACCAATATGCTGGTCGCTGAGATTGTCCTGCCCTCCGGACCCTCCGACGGTAAGATTGAGGAGGGAGATGTTCTCATCAAGGTCAACGGCGAGCTTATTACGCAATTCATCCGCCTCGACGACATCCTGGACTCGAACGTGGGCAACACCATCAAGTTCCACCTGCAGCGCGGAGGCCAAGACATCGAGGTTGACATTGAGGTCGGCGATCTTCACAAGATTACGCCGGACCGATTTGTGACTGTTGCCGGAGCAAGCTTCCACAATATCTCGTACCAGCAGGCCCGGCTCTACGGCGTGGCAGTCAAGGGAGTCTACATCTGCGAGGCCGCGGGATCTTTCCGCTTTGACAATACCGACAATGGGTTCATCGTTCAGTCTGTAGACCAGAAGAAGGTGCCCGACCTGGACACGTTCATCGAAGTGCTCAAGGGGATTCCTGACAAGGCACGGGTGGTGGTCACTTACAAGCACTTGCGCGACCTGCACACGCTCATCACGACCGTCATCTACATCGACAGACACTGGTCGGCGAAGATGAAGCTGGCCGTCCGCAACGATGTCACTGGCCTCTGGGACTTTTCCGACCTCGGCGACCCCCTGCCGCCGGTGCCCCCTGTTCGGCGGTCGGCTGCCTTCATTGAGCTGGACCACATGCCGCACCCTGGCATTGCCGCCCTGATCCGCAGCTTTGTGCACATCAACTGCACTCTGCCCGTCAAGCTCGACGGCTTCCCGAAGAATCGGCGATGGGGGATGGGCCTCGTCATCGATGCCGATAAGGGCCTGGTTCTCATTTCGCGAGCCGTGGTGCCGTACGACTTGTGCGATATTACCGTTACGATTGCCGACTCCATCATCGTCGAGGGCAAGGTCGTCTTCCTGCACCCACTGCAAAACTACACCATTATCAAGTACGATCCCGCCCTGGTGGACGCGCCCGTCCTCAGCGCCCGCCTTAGCGACCAACACCTCACCCAGGGCGCCAAGACGTACTTCCTGGGCTACAACAGGATCGGAAGAGTCGTGCATGGGTCTACCAACGTCACGGAAATCACGGCGGTGGCCATCCCGGCCAACTCAGGGGCGCCACGATACCGCGCCGTCAACGTCGACGCCATTACGATTGACAGCAACCTCGGGGCGTCGTGTGGCAGTGGCGTGCTCGTTGCGGAGGATGGTACAGTGCAGGCTCTTTGGCTGCAGTATCTCGGAGAGCGTAATCCAAGCACTCAGAGGGACGAGGAGTACCACTTGGGATTGGGCACGCCGACTCTGCTGCCCGTCATCTCAGCCATTCAGCGAGGAGAGATACCGAAGCTGCATATGCTCTCGGTAGAGTTCCGATCCATCCACATGTCGCAGGCACGCGTCATGGGCGTCTCGGACGAGTGGATCAACAAGGTTACACAGGCCAACCGGTCTCACCACCAGCTGTTCATGGTGAGCAAGCGGACATTTGAGCGGGTGAACCAGCCGGTCTCGCTGATCGAGGGCGACGTGGTGCTGACGCTCAACGGCAAAATCTGCACCACCATTTCCGACTTTGACGTGATGTACTCCAACGAGGTGCTGGACGCCGTCATTGTGCGCAACTGCGAGGAGCTGCATCTCCAGCTGCCGACCGTCACGGCCGACGACATGGAGACGCACCACGCTGTGTCGTTCTGCGGAGCCATCTTCCACCGCCCGCATCTGGCCGTGCGCCAGCAGATTAGCAAGCTTCATAGCGAAGTCTATGTCTCGAGTAGGATTCGCGGCTCGCCGGCGTACCAGTACGGCGTTGCCCCGACCAACTTCATCACCCACGTCAACGGCGAGCCGACGCCAGATCTGGATACATTTATTGCGGCGACGCGGAAAATCCCCGACAACACTTGTACGTTTTCTTCTTCTTCTTCTTCTGCCCTCTTCTGCCCTCGGTGCTAGCTATTACTACTGCAAGAGACCTTTGAACTGACTTTTCGACAACAGATTTCCGCCTCAAGGCAGTCACCTTCGACTCTGTGCCCTGGGTGATTACAATGAAGAAGAACGATCATTACTTCCCCACCATGGAATGGATCAAGGACAGCAACGAGCCCTGTGGTTGGCGGCGTGTCACATACGAGGGCAACCAGGTCTTTGAAGGAGAAGCGACTGACGGAATCCCACCGGTCGCAGGCAACTCCGAGATGGACTAAGCTCGCACTTTGTTGGTGCGTTGTTGACAGGCTGTTGACTGGCTGATGAAAGTAGTTGGAGTAAGGGCATGCATCGACGACGGATTGTAAAAAAACAACAACAACAACATTCACACACTGGCACAAACTACACACACTTTACACACATGGATGGGCATACGGAACAACTAGGGGCGTTCAACGGCTATGAAGGATTTCACAATGGAGTTTTCTTGAGCTGTTTTCATCATCATCTTTACCTTCTTCACCTATACTACTTACTCTCTTCTTTTTCCCCCTTTTCTGACCCTTCGTTTGCAATTGATGGAATCCGTGGCAGCCTAGACAGAGGATGGGATGGGTTGGGTATGGATGGAATGAGGTCCCCTCGACACTCGGCAGTCGACAGAACAGCAACAGCAGCGCCGCCTTCGGCAACGCGACGGCGTGATCCGGCCAACTGCATAACGTAGGTACTATGAATACTACTTAATCATTGGATTGTTGGTAGAGGTGTGGGAGAAGGAGACATTGTCGAACTCCCCTCATGTCGGCATTCAGGCAGCCAAACGGGAAGACTTTCGTACCTGATACAGTATGTTACATGTACAGAAGCTGTTTGGTACCCATACCTAGGTTATCAATATTGCTATTAGCATTGGATAGTAGGTAGTGGTCTTCGGCTTTGCAGACAACTCCTTCGTACAGAAGAACCCTAACCTCAACTCGCATACCCCTACATGAGAGAGGCAACGCAGTTGAAGAGAGACATGCATTGCATCGGCCGACCGGCAGCGTCTCAGACCACCAGCTGCAGTTGGGCTAAACCTATCACGGGGCACCACGTACGAAGGAAGAGGCTGCGTGCTGCGAGCTGCTCTATGCAGAGGATGGATGATGCAGATTCTTGACTTGTATGACTGACGTTGAAGGTGCAGGCAGATAGCGAGAACATTGGTGTGAGTTTACACAGAAGACAATGTACATGAGAATTGACGAGCAATGGTGCGTGCTAAGAGTCTGGTAGTCTGAATGTCGCGGTACCTCAGCTCATGCAATCGATTGCAATCCTGAAGCCGAAGCTGAGGCCCCGCATCAACCAGAAATGGGCTAGACAGGCGCTAAAGTCCCCCGAGGTTCTGAAGGACCCCGGAAGGGACAAAGTATCTGTACCTCGAAATAGCTGCGGGCCGTCAGTGACGTTTGTGTCTCGGGGACGCTTCAGCCTTGGAAGCTCCCGGTTTCGTGTCTGCCTACAACTTCCATCGTACCTCTACCGTAGGCATCTACGGTTCCAAACTGCTGCCTCACCATTCCCACTGCATAAATCATTGGCTTGCGACCACAAACCCTGTCGTTCTTCTGTTCCCTGCCGCCCAACTTGTTGCTTCTCCTTTGCCGATACCGAGAGTTACATATCTGAATCCTTGCGATGCCCCCCGCCTCAGCTACCTGGCTGGTAAGTCGACGTTCATTTCACTCTCTCTGCATCTGACGATGGGACCCCGCCAGCTTCGGTGACGCAACTCGCGAGACGCCGAGCTGAGCTGACATGAAGACATCGGTATACGTGTCATAGACCAAGCTCAAGGTCCAGCTGAAGCTCGCCATCGCGCGCCTGCGCATGGTGCAGCAGCGGGATGAGCAGCTGGGCAAGACGCAGCGCCGGGCCATGGCGCAGCTCCTCGAGGCCGGCAAGGTCGACTCGGCCACGATCCGCGTCGAGAACATCATCCGCGCCGACATCACGAGCGAGCTGCACGAGCTGCTGGAGCTCTACTGCGAGCTGCTGCTCGCGCGGGCCGGGCTGATGGAGGGCCCCATCTGCGACCCGGGGCTGGAGGAGGCCATCAAGAGCATCCTGTACGCGGCGCCCAAGACGGAGATTAAGGAGCTCATGACGGTGCGGACGCTGCTGGCGGAGAAGTACGGCAAGGAGTTTGTGCTGGCCGCCATGGAGAATGCGGACGGCAAGGTGAACGAGAAGGTGGTCAAGAAGCTGAGCGTGGAGGCGCCGCGGAAGGAGCTGGTGCAGGGGTATCTGGAGGAGATTGCCAAGGCGTATGGCGTGGACTGGCCCAAGAGGGAGAGGGTGATGTCTTCGCCGCCGCCCCCGGATTTGATAGATGGGGATGATTTGGAAGACGACAAGGACGGCGGCGATCACTCGGGAGGAGGAGGAGGAGGAGGAGGACAGGCACACAAGAATGGGTCCAACAGAGCATTGACGGCAGCAGAGAGGAAGCTTTCACTGAGCGAGCAGCAAATGGACCGGGCCACGCCGCCGAGCGCGAAGCTCGGGGAGCCCAAGAGCCCGCTGATGGTGACACCGCCGCGGATGACGACGGACAATGTCCACCCCAAGGTGATGATGGGGTCTGTGGAGCTGAAGAGCAAGAAGGACGATGTAGAGGAGACAAGGAAGAAGAAGGCGGAACCAGAAGGATCAATACCGGATATTGGGGATCTGGAGAGGAGGTTTGCAGCGCTGAAGAAGAGGTGAGGGACGACGACGAGACATGCGGTTATGTACGTGTGGCGTGATGATGGTTTCAACAAGCAGACAAGTCGGGAGCCGTGGCGATCATTGATATTAACCAGAAGCCGAGCGAAAATTGCAACCAAGAGCACACATTGTTAGACTTGTGTGTATGCGTGTGCTTGCAGCATGCTCTAATGCCACGAACCGACCTCCTGCTGCTACCACCCGGCCGGCTTACCTACCTTACCTACCTACCGCACCGTACCTTTTAACACAGCTTCCAAGTCACATCTTGTACCACCTCACCTTACCTCAACCATGCCACCTCATGCCGTGCTGTCGTTGCCCAGCTATTCCCCATTGGTGGCTAATTGCAGGCTGCCTTTGTCCGGCAGTCCCTCTCGACTCGAGCACAGGGGAAAAAAAAAAAGAGCCACCGAGTGCCAGCGGGCGTCCGACCCAATTTCCTGCAGTCACTCTGCTCCCCATTCCCTGTCTATCTGCGTGTAGTAGGTAGTATGTATGCAGTAGGTAAGGTAGGTAGGTATGTGTGCGTGCGGGCGGGCGTGCCAAATCCTCCTCCTCCTTGAAGCAATCAAACCATGCCGGGCTACTGCTTGTCGTGCCCGTCGAGCTGTTGCTTCGGCCGCGAAGTCGGCCAGTCACGAGGACTGGCTCTTGTTACACAGCATATTTGCCCTCTTTGGCTCGGCATTGTACTAGTATTTAAGGTGGTGGCCTGGTGGTGCGAGCTCCCGCCGGGTTCCTGTTCCCTTTTTTCTGCTTTCCCTTTTCAGCTTCCTTTTTGTTGTTATTTGTTGTTATTGTTGTTGTTATTGTCTTCTCTCGGCGTCCTTTTGCCTCGGCCTGTGTGTTTTCCTCTATCTGAACAGGAAGATCGATGTTATACTGATTGTGTTGCTCCGGGCTGTTGATTTGTTTTGCTTCTCCTCCGATTGGTGATGCTTTGATTCACTGCTGAGAGAGTTTTCTCACTTTGTTATACCAAAGTACCTTCCTGCTCCTCATATTGCTTGAGCGGTACTTGGTCCCTCAACCCCGTCTATCAGCTCTTCGTCTTCACAAGGCACTGCGATATTTAGGTATCTATCGGTCTGCCAGCTGGCTGCCTCCGTCTTCCCCTGACCGAAAAAAATCAGCAGGTGCAAGTTTGGCTCCTGCCAGCTGCCAGCTGCCAGCCGCCAACATGCCGCCTCACGTGTTCGTGCGAGCAGATCAAAACAATGGGCAGGAGCAAGAGACCCTTCCTGCCCCTCTCCTCTTCTTCTTCTTCTGCTTTGCCCTCTTCACCTTTGTCTCACGTCTCGCCGACTCCCTTGAGGCCTACAAGCGCAGAATCGTCAAGTTTCTTCTTTCCCCCCTGGGGTCTCTGCCCGACCAGCACGACGGACCGGGGGATGACGAGCAGCTCTATCGTCATCCCGTAGAGCAGCAAGACACTGATCGCCTCTTCACCTCTCAACAGTTTCTCTACCGTTCCTGCGGTGGTGACAACCTCCCCTTCGTCAACATGTCTGCGTCCAAATTCGCCATGGACAGCGACAAACGCGTCCTCTACCACGCCCAGGTCACTCTGGGATGCAACGGCCTGCGAGACCTCTTTAGTATTGGCTTCATGCGTCAGGACACGATAGAGAGGAGAATCAACGCCGCGGGCAAGAGGATTGTCCTCAACGGCATCGTCTCTCTCTGTGCCGTCTGGCTCCGCGAGAAGATTGGCCGCGTCTACTCTAACCCGACCATGGCGCCGCCCTCGCTGAAGGACCTCTGCCTCTTCCTCGATAGCAAGGACTGCTCGCGAGACATGTGTTGCCAGATCTTGTGGGAAGCCTTCCAGGAGGTCGACCCGAGCCACACCGACAAGGTTGCGCTGCGAGTTGGCCATGTCACGTTGACGAGTTTCCGTGCCGTCGTCGACCATATATACGATCACTGGTACCTGTGGCTTTTGGAGGGTGCTGGTCCAGAGCAGACTCCGCATGAGAACGTTGCTGCCACCGGAGCATCGGGTCACTTCCCTGCCGCGAAAGAGGGTAAGCAAAGGGCCAAGGACGGACAACTGCCCTATCCTGCCTACAACCACGACCTTGTCCGGCTTTCCACGGATGAGTATGACCTTGGCTTCCAGGCAGGTCTCGAGCAACTTCACAAGGACCAGCAACCGGCCCCCGGCCATCGCAATGGTGATGTCTCCTATGGCGACAGAGCACCCATTGGACACTGCCCCCCTTACGATCTCGGATGCGCTAGCTCCTGGGGCTCTCAACCGGACCAGTCCGAAAGATGCGTCACTCGACTCCAAGGCTGCGTTTGCAAAACTTGTCACGTCAAAGGTTGGCTGTCTCATATACCCAAGGAGGGCGCTGATGTCCCTGACTCAAACGTCGATGCACTAGGTCGCCCTGTCAAAAAGAATGAAGGAAAGGCCAATGACGCGGAGCGAGCGGACTTGTTGGCCAAGCTTGACCGCCTCGCCAAGCGACATCGCGATCCTTTCTTCGCCGAGACCGACTCCGAGGACGAAAGAACACAGGATCCGAAGCCCCTCGTATTCGGACGCAAACAACCGCAAGTGTCACATCCGGTGGGAAAGGGAAAGCAGAGTGCCACCAATCCGAATCTAATCATATTCTCTAGCAGCTCTAGTGATGATGAGATCGAAGTTGCTCATCACAACAATGATGCTGGCAATCTTCATGATGACGACCCTGCGTCTGGAGTGGCAGGCCATGTCGAGTGTCGTCTGTCAGCTTAGGAAGATGTAGGTTTCATGCCACCTTCGACTTCCGCTAGGTAACAGATGTGCTAATGAGTGCGGATAATCGCACATAGGAACATGACGGCAACAAGGGAAAGACGAGTAAGGGCACGGAGAGTGCATCCTCATCTGACCTGATCTGCCTCGATGACGATGGCATTGCAATGGCCGAAGTTGATCGTTTCTTGGCAGATCTCGAAGCTTCTCTAGAGCGGGGAGAGCAGAGTTCGGTTACAGCACTGCAAGTCGAAGGCGAGTCTTACGATGAAGAAGGGATGTACGAGGAGTCCGCCATGGAAGTCTCTCTGCTTGACGGCTCTCCCCAGAAGAGTGACGTGCAGAGTCTTCCTTCGGGACTCACGTCGGACATTCAAATTGGTTGCATCAAGCCGCTGCGCAGGGATCCCCCATACCACCCTTTGGTCCACGACTTGTTTCGCGACCGAGACAACGTCTGGGTCCAGCGAGTGAAGCGTCCCACTGCTCTCGACATGTGGGATGCCGCTGAAAGCTCAGGCTCGAAGGATGGTAATCAGCAATCGTAACCGACACGATTACGCGCAGCGAGTCTCTCTTTCAAAGAACGTGGGCGGTAGTAACTGCCATTCGTGGGTCTCAAGATGATGACGGTTCCCGTTTTCTTTAAAGTTGACGTTGGTTCATGGTATACTTTGTCTGTTTGATGGAAGTGGAGGACATTGAATTTGCAGGGAACGATTGATCTCGACGAAGGTAGTCTCTTGAGCTGCGGGAAAGCAAGGGTAGACCAGGATACAGATCTGCGGAACTGAATAAGATGACAGTCTACTCAACGATGTGACAATAACAATGTATGTGTTGACCACTTTAATACGGTGTCGTAATACGGTGTCGTAGGGGGGCAACTGGGCATCATTGAAGGGGGGTTAAAACCATAGCAGAGGTTGATGAAAGTCGCCATACAAGCACAATGTTAGAAGCCCGGAAGTTCATGGTAGGTAGTCCAACGATGGTTAGGTATTAAGATGTATCCCCAGCGCTCCAATGCGCAGTCTCCAAAACGCCCAAAACGCCAGTGCTATATGCATCCTTTTCGACAAAGGCAGGCAACGCGAAAAAAAAAAAAAAGAATGCGCGGGCTATAGGATGGCGATATGACAATAAGAGAGCAGAAGATCGATCCCCAATCAAGAGTCCCCTTTCATACCTGACTCCGACCCAGAAAAGGCGAAAATATACACGCAATGTACAATCGGTAATCGCTGCACCCCCCTCCCTGAGCTTACTCTCTCCGAGAACCCCAGAGACGAGACACTTGCGACACCAGGAACCAGGAAGAGCAGGAATAGAAAAAAAGAAAGAAAGACGCGTCGTCCAGGGTTACTCCAGCTTATCCAAGTGTTCCAACCGCGTCAAAACGACCTGCTTGCTCGTCTCCTCAATCTCGCCGGCGAGAAAGACCTCGTCAAGGATGGCGTAGACCTTGTAAAAGTTGAAGACGAGGTCGAGCTCGCAGACGTTGCCGAAGAAGGCGTCGAGGACCTCGACGAAGAAGTGGATGGCCTCGAGGAAGGCGAGCTCGTTGTCATTGGTGTCGACGCAGGCGCAGAAGAAGAGGCCGGCGTAGCGGCGGTAGACGATCTTGTTGTTGCGGAACTCGACAAAGTTGGACTGGTACTTTTGGTCGCGGGGGGCGACGAGGCGGTGGACCTCGCCCTTGAGCTTGATCTTTTCGTCGTCGCTGTAGGGGGCGTACCATTTCGCGAGGCGGGTTTTGCCCCTGTGGACAGTGGAGAGACAAGGAGAATGGTGGTGAGCTTTTGTTGGGGGGTTTTGGTCGCGAGTTTGGGGATGCGCGTTTGCGCCGGGGGAGTAATGGGGAGGTGGAAAGAGGTAGAGGGACTTACTGTCTGTTTTGGATGAGGATAAAGGAGAGCATGGTTGCGATTTGGGGGGAGGTGGATGCGATTTGTTGTGGCGGCTTTGTCTGGGGAGGAGGGAGAGTTGCTGGTGGTGGTGGTGGTGGTGATGGTGGTGGAATAAGGGTCAAGCTGGTGATGAATAGGTAATTGGGTTTAGGTTGGTGTTGTTGGTCGGAGGTTCTATGCCGGGTGCTTCCAGGGCGGGTTCAGAGCGTTACAGCGCATGTCCCTTGGCTGAATCGCGGGGCCGGAGCGCACGGATGGTGATGGACGGACGGAGCCGAACAAGTTTGTGGGACTTGAAAGGACATAAGTGGGCAGAGTCGATAGTGATTGAACTTGACTGTAGCTATTGATATTGTTACAATGCGCATAAGAGAAAGAGAAGCTGGTTGGTTTTCCGGTGAAGTGTCGTCTGGACCAGTGCGGTCTTGGTACCAGCATCAAGGGTTAGCCGCTGCTGATGATGGATTGTGCTCGAAGAGATGGTGTTGGTTACATAGGGAGTTTCTTAGTAGAGAAGGACAGATGTAATACTATTTCTCTGAAGAGCCATTGTGGTTCCAATTTCGATTATCTGATGCGCTCTGGTGTACATGCTATAGAGCAACAAACAGATGCTCTCAACCTCGATACCAGGTAAAGTACAACTTAGGTATATGATGGCTGACTGACATAATGGGGTGCAATCCGCGTTCCTCACACGGTCCAAGGCCGGACGAGCTGTTGCGCTATTCTAGCGCCCTTGTAGCGCCTTGCAGCGCTTCGACCCCACTGTATCCAACCTCAAGCCTCCTGTCAAAACCAAGCTGCGACCTGATTCGATCCGGTCTTCCACCTCTTTCCTTTCCTGCCTCACGAGACCGACAACTCCTCTTCCCTGCATGGGGAAAGAAGCATGGCCTGACACCTTACATGTAGGTACCTACCTACTTACAAGTACTGGTTGTCGATCTTTTTGACTTCAACTTCCCCTTCTTCGCATCTTCATCAAATGGATTGTCCATCAATGACCTCATAAGATTCACTATTCGGCGCCTTCTTTGCTCTCCGCCCGGGTCATATTTCTCTTTCAGTTCTCAACTGAGCAGCTCGGAACTCAATTGGACGCTCCAGACAATTGCGGAAGAGTTGGCCCTTGAGTCCTCCTACGGCATCGTCAGATCAGGAAGGCTTTCCATGATACGTCGACATCCCGAATCTGCCCCGAGGTTGTTCTCGTCGAGAGGTGCTTAGCAACAGCTCGAAACAAGTCCTGGACTCTTTAGCCAAGGATAATGTGGTTACGGAAGCCTCTCTACTCGTTACGGCAATGGCAAAGCTCCTACGCAGGCTCGTCACCTCGGTTTGGGGCGATTGCGGCCCCAAGGCCCTCTGGCAGCGCATTCTCAAAGACTTCATAGCCTGTGTCATTGCAACCACTATTGCCGTTCTCCCCCAGATTCGAAGCTGGTCATCCTACCTGACGCCAATGGTGATTGCCTTCTCACACCCAGGACAGCGAATGGGTGTCGTTATCGAGAACATCATCATGATCATATTCGGCTCCGGCATTGGCTTGTCCTGGAATATGCTGGGCTTATACCTGGGGAGCCTGGTCTACAACTCCAACAATGCTGGTGCCTTTACGATTCGGGCCTTCTTCTATCTGGCATGCATCTTGCTTCATGGCTATCTGAGGTCTTCAAGTCCTCGCTTGTTCCTCTTTGTCTTGTCGCTGATCCTGCCCGCCGTCAGCGTGCTCAATGTACCGACCGAGGCCACACCCACCTTGTACACGACAATCTATGTGCCAATTCTCATTGGCGTCGGCGTCATCCTCTTCGTCAACGTCAGCATATTTCCAGAGTTTTCAGGCAGCTACTTGGGCACTTCTACCATCAGTGCTCTATCAGAAATGGTCGACACACTTGAACGAGCCACCCACTGGTTCGTTACCCCCGGAGGCGACCGTGTCGAGTCCCACAGGATGGGAAGCTTCCTGGGCACCCCTGTGATCGAAGATCAGGGCGTCAAACAACAGCAGCCCCAGATGAAGCGTGGCCAGCAGCTCATTATCCGTTACTGGCACAATCTTTGTGCTGTACTTCCAAACCCCTTTCCGTCGGCCAAGGCCAGCGCCAGGGCAGCCAAGCCGCCGTTGCATGCGACTACACTTGCTTTTCTGACGGAGAGGAAGCCCCCGATCCGGACTAAACTTGCCGCGTGCAAAAAAGCTCAGAATGAGGTCAACTTTGAAATTTCCATCTCACCCCTTGCTCCGGCTGACATGAAGCCTATCAGTGTTGACCTCATGAGCCGTCTGTCCCAGAGCGTCATAACACTGATTGGCGCTTGTGAGAACAAATTCATCGTTCTTGACGAGGATGACATGGATGATAGCGACTTAGCAACGGAAGACGATGATATCTGGCAATCACCTAAGTGTCTGAATGCTCTGGATATTGCCACGCCGTCCTCCAGTGTGCCAGAAGCGAACATCAATCTCAACCTCAACTCTGGTACGGCGTCCAGATCCCGAGCTGGAAACTCTGTTACCCACTCTAGCAGGGTCGACTATATCAAGTTGAATCGGCAGATTCGGCTGAGCAGCGCCAAGCTCCTGGAGTCAATCGTCATGCGCATACGGGCTCCTGTACAAGAGTTTCAGACCTCTACCAACGAAGCAGTGCTTGTGCTTATATCATGTTTGGCATATTGCTACGATGTTCCCACTCTCCCTTCTGGCGCCAGGACACCTCGGGGCATCCGATTGGAGGAGATTGATCTGCGGATTGACATCTTCACTGATGCGTTGGCATTATTTGATGAGCAATGCGCCGAGCAACTCAAGCTGATTGCCATGCAGGAGACGGGCCAATCGCTCGATTTTATGCCGCGTATGGAGTCTTTCCTCATCTCGTCGTTCCTCTTGGCATTTCGCCAGTCTTCGACACACATCCTCAAGATGCTTCGTCATGCTCGCCAACTGGTAGAACAGAGACAGCGTCGCCATGATAAAACACGCATCTGGATGCCCCAATATTCAAGTCTCCGCTGGTGGCTACGTACTACTGGCGAGCTTGATTCAATGGTGCTCCCTGAAGGCGCGAGAAAAGCTGCTCGCCGTGGAGAATTGGCCGGAGACAACCCGCCGAAAGACGAATCGAAGGAATCCGCCGGCGTTCTTGATCGCGAAAAGCAACCGAGAGGGGGTGCAATGGATGAAGAAGCGGGCCCTACAGTCGTCCCTCGATCAGAGAGCGTAATCAGAAAGAGGATATCTAACCGCCAGAAGAGAAAGGAGGGAAAAGAGGAGCGCCTACAGTCTAGGGGAAAAGATAGAACGAAACGTCCCGCCAGTTGGGCTCTGAAGATTCGAGGAACAGTGGCAGATGTTTTCGAATGGGCTCAAGACTCTGATGATCTTTTCTACGCTCTGAAGCTATCCTTTGCCGTTTTCCTTGTTAGCTGGCCAGCCTTTGTGCCTTCTTGGAACGCATGGTATGCGAGTGTCCACGGCAGCTGGGCGCCACTTCAGTTGATCTTCATATTCGAGGTGGCCATTGGCACGTCCGTGGTATCCTTCATCATTCGACTTGTTGGGCTAGTGCTCGGCTGCACAGCTGGGTACGTCTCGTTCGTCATTGCCGGGGGCAGCAGGGCCATCCTCGTTGTGGTTCTGGCCTTTACACTGCTGCCCGCTGCATATTTCCATGTTGCAACGAAATACGTCAAGGCTGGTGCGGCAGCCATCATATCGATGAATGTCGTTGCCATAGGTACAGTTACACCTCCCTTCTATTCTTTGTCTACAATCTTACGATCAGAATTATCTGACTTGGGTGCAATCAGCCTCTGAAAATGTCAATACCGAACGGCCACAACAGGTTTACTATCAGCGCCTCGTAGCCTTCCTGGCCGGAGGCATTACAGCGGCTTTCGTGGAACTTGCGGTTTACCCCGTGCGTGCTAGGGATCGGTTGGTGGAATCTCTATCCGCCTGTGTGCAGCATATCCAAAGCATGCAGGGCGCCATGGCCGTCGGGCTGGATGGACCCGACGTCCTTGATGTCCGGTCTCCAAAGCTGCATCGCAATTTTGATCGCTGGCGAGATAAAGCCCAAGCCTCACTTGCAGCAGCCGAGACGTTTCTGCCGTTCTGTTCGTCGGAACCGCGCCTAAAAGGCAGCTTTAAGAAGCTCGCGCCTATATATGCTGAGATTGTGTACGTGCTTCATCAAATCATCGATCGGATGGACAACGTCGTGCAACTCCGCAAGGCTTATGGCTCCTCTGTTCTGGAAACCCTCAACCCGCAAGCATACATGTATCGGCGGAGTATGGCGGCCAGTTGCACCCTCATGCTGTTCGCCGTCAACGAGGCCTTGACAACCTGGCTCCCACTCCCGCAGTTCCTTCCCTCGGCTCGTGTAGCGCATCTCCGGCTGATCCATCGGGTTCGGGAAATTATCACGTCGCAAGCTTCCACCTCGGCTCCTGTCACGCCTACAGTGAGCCATGCCAGTCATTGCAGCAGCACGAGCGAGTACGAAGATCAGGCGAATGAGAAGATTGCTCGCCTGATTACCAAGCATAACTTTCTCTCCTGGAATGCCAGCGCTGCTGGCCACATGGAGATTATTGAGTACCTCGAAGAGCTGGTCGAGCTGGTCAAGATGTTGGTGGGCGTCAATGCATTCCGTTCGGGAATGCTGGAGAAGCCCAATTATACGCGTTATGTGCAGATGAAGGATCCTCAACAAGAGTCCTTGACCACGGCTTACTCAAACACAACTGGCAGCTCATCGACGGCGCACCAAAGCAGCGTTGCTATACAAGAGGAACCGGAGGAGATGCTAGAGTCTGAGCTGGCCCGATCGCAGACGGCTGCCGTTCAACCACAGCTTTCGTATCAGAGATCGCGGAGATACACAGACACGCGGCACAGCCGCAGAAAACCGAGCATATATGAGGGCGATGCGGAGGAAGTACCCATCAGTTTGCGGAGGGTTAACTCGAGACTGTGGCAAGGCAACGAAGCTGCCCGAAGAGGATCACAGACAGGTCCCAACATGCGGTGATGTTTGAATCATATAAGCCATGGGAATCTACACACTGAATATCAAAACATATGAATTTGAGAGTTACAAGCACCTCGGTCTCTGAATCTCAATTCCGGCAAAAGTTTGATAATGTGATGGTACAATTAATCAAGCGTCTGCTGTTCCAGTATAGAAGACGGGAGCAGCACTATGCGAATTATAAAAAAGAAAAAGACAAACCCTATAGGAAGAGGAAGAAAGAGCATAAACCGAAATTATTACAAGATAAGATGGTGGAATGGAAGCTGGGAAGAGAAGACGGGCTTAAATTATGTTGAGGGACGTATGCTGCGCCAGCCTTGTCCCGTTGAGCATTGCGCGCGTCTTCTTGGGCCTTTGTTGGAACCGTCGGAAGGCCTCCTGGACGTGTCTCGGCTCAATTGGCGAACGACCCTCGCTGGGCGGGTCGAAGAGCCCCTGCTGGTGTTTGCGCTTCTTGCTCGTCCCAGAGTCGCCTGAGGAGGCACCCGTCTGGGCGCGCCAGATGTCCTCCTGCTCCTTGACCTTGAGGGCGACCTCCGTCAGCGTCTGGACCATCTCAAAGGTTAGGAAGCCGAGGATATCGACAATATCGTCCGACGGCTTGCTGTCCGTAACAACGCCGAAGCCGGCCCACTCGCGGAAGCGCTTGCCCTTGCGCCAGGTGAAGGATGCCTGGCGGTATTCGGACCAGGTCACATACTCCTCTCGGGTCATGGCTTTTGTGCGCTCGTCGGCCTTGCGCAGACGCTGGAGCGTGATGTAGTTCATCTCCTCTTCCTCTTCGTCCTCCTCATCGTCGCGCTCGGGGACCTCGACGGAGTAAAAGGACGAGGGGTCCCACGGGAGGCCGACCTTGGCCTTTTTGTTCTTCTTGGCGGCTTCATCTACGGGGCCTCCTGGCACGACACCGCCGACAGCGTCATCGCCGGCAGCAATGTCTGCGTCTGCGCCCTTGTCGTCTGAGTCCTTGACGTTTTTTCGAACGTCCTTCCAGGAGAGGAATGTGCGGAGGCGAGAGACTTTGGCGTGATCATGGCGGATCTGGAAGATGAGGTCGTTTGTGCTGATGGATTTTGAGCCGCGCCGGGCGGCAAGTTCAGTGCAGTTGCGCAGCTATTGGAGGGAGAAAGTGTCAGGAAGCTATCTCATTTGCACGACCACTTAAGAGCGTACAGAAGGGGGGGGCAAACCTACCAGTTCAATGACCTGCTGGCGGACGATATCCTCTATGATACCGGTTGTCTCGACGGATGGCTCAGCAGTTTCGCCAGAGACGTACATCATCTGTCGGAAAGAGTCAATGGTTATTGCGCGTCGGGAAAGGCGAGACATGTATCCGGCTTTCATTCGATATCTTTGGCCATTCAGGTAGATGTGCTGATCCGAGTTCATGACTGGGGAAGGGCAAGGCGAGCGCCCTGGGCGGAACGAGGGAAGTGAAGAGTAGGTGGAGATTCTTGAAATGTAGAATGAGAGGGAAAATCCCAACAGGATTGTGAGACTATCAGCTGAATCTCAGATTGGTTGAATGCCTTGCCACTTGGCAGCGGTCTGATGACGCTGGGGGCTGGCATTGCCAGGTGTCGGGGGGTAAAGAATTCTCCATGAGGATTATGATGTAAGTGCTGGGCCAGAGGCTTGTTTTGATGTGAGAAAGCGATATATGAACTGAGTGTGCTGCTAATAGGAGAACTTTTCGAAACAACTCGCTCCCCTTTCTTTGGAATGTTCAAACCTCGACATCATCCATCAGGCTCACTGAGCTGTAGGCTCATGAGAGGCGAATGGGTAGCTCGTGGGGAAGTGTAATGGAAAAGACACAGAGGAGTGCAAGGCGATGCATTGTAAGTCCTCAAGAACAGCTCTTCATGAAGCTCCGCAGACTTCTGAGAACCCATGACACCCGGAGGGCGCATCGCTCCTCGAATCGGACCGGCCAAAGGTAGAATGAAAATTGGTCTCTTACCTGGCTAATCTCCTGCCGATATTTATACGTCTTGACGGTTGAGTCGGCCATCTTTGCGGCGCCCTTATTCCAAGAAATAAAAAATCAACGAATCCTCCTCTTTCTGAATGGCCGGACAGCGCGCGTCCAACCGCCTTTGTCTCCCTTCGAATGCGACGATGACGCCCCAGCCGTGTAGGCCCCCAGAGAAGCACCTCCCCCTTTGCGAAGCGGGTTTATCGAGTAGCCAAGGCGTGTGAGTATGCAAAAGTACGGATGTTCGTTCGACAATGAGTCGCTGTCGTAGATCTCGCAGCGTATGAATGGCGATACAGAAGCCGACGAATCTCCAAAGAAAAAGGACACCGAAAACGTCCCTCTTACAAAGGGGGACCTTCTTTGACGCCGAAAGAGACGTATACAAGAGAAAGCGGAGGAAGCGATAATCACAGAAGCAATAATTCGAGCAAAGATGATTCCCAAAAAGAAGCAAGGAAGAGAAGGATGGAGAATGACAAGTGTGTCTTTTTTTTTTCACCGAGGAGAGACACAAAAAGAGGGTGAGGCTTGAACGCGACACAGAAGTCGGTTTGGGATGTCGTTTAGCAACAAAGTATGCTAAGCACACCCCCTAAGGGAGCGCTGTTGGGTCACTAGATGCACGCCTTACTTATCCGGAATCACGTGAGTTGTTCTACCTTGGTACAGAGAGACACGCTCGAGAGAAGTGACAGTGTCTCACTGCTCAAATGACATTGAGAGTTATCACTTCGAATCGCGTCTTTGATACAAGCAGATCGTCAAGATCTCTATGCCGCTGCAGATCTGCTTCACGGAGGTTTGGTGGAGTGGAAATCGGAGGCCCTGATTGTATGCATGCAAACATTGTGGCTGCAGGCGGTACCTAAAAGCAAACATGGGTCAGGCTCGGGCATCCAGTCATGAGTGAAAGGCGACGGTCCCTGACATATGCACAAGCCATCGATTTCCATTGCAACAGGCACTTTTTTACCAGTGTTGCATGCAGTTGGCCTATCCAAGGCCCCTCCATCCCTCGAACCCGTCCCCCGTAAAACTCCAGACAACAACGTAGTGTCCAGCAAGCAGCTGCCACTCCTCAACCTCGTCGAGTCCCTCAAGCCTGTCAACCCTCTCTTTCTCTTCCTCGTTGACCCATTTACTCCACAAGCGGTCGATGCTCAGCTGGCGGGTTGTCTCATAGCCCAACCGCTTCAGCCGAGCTGCCTCATCTCCTTCGTCTCTGCGCCGTTCGAGGCTAGGCATATGAATGTTCCTTGCCGCCAGGTTTGATATCATTGTCTCGCTGAAAGGATCTCCCAGATGAACTGGCTCATAGATGACGGCAGCAATGTTGGGTATTCGGGAAGAGAAATACGCGAGCACGCCATCCGACTCTTCTTGAGAGAGGTAGCAGAGGCAGCACTCTGATAAGACGAGGGTAGGAACGTCGGTGCGAAGACCAGGCAGATTTTCCTGAGCGGCAGGCGACAGGCGGCGAATATCTAGCCCATGGCAAAAGTACTGACCGTTGGATGGCTGGCTCGACCAGTCCACATCGGTGTCTCCTCTTGAGCGGTTGGTCAAGATGTTGGCCAAGGGCGGCACTGCTTCGACCGTCTTGAGCTTCTTGGCGCTTGTGACCGGGAAGTCAATCTCATGGTAGATGAGCTGTGGATAGCCCTGCTGGGTAAATAGCCGAAATGGCCTCGTGTCGGTGCCGGCACCCAAGGACACTATCTGTTTCGTGACTCCTTGTCTTGAACCTTCACCCTGAGCTCCCGCAAGGAACGAGTGCACCAGGGTATCTATGGCTGTTGTGCGTGTGTATGTTCCTGCAGTAGTTGTGAGCCGCGTGAGAAGAGTGCAGCAGCCTCACCACCCACCCATCACCTTTGTATATACAGGAGCGATAAGTGGTAGCAGGCATAAGGTTGCTTCCGTTCAGTGAGACACGAACCTCGGTTGATGATGGGAAACCTTCTTGCAGGCGGACCATCGATCGCAGATACAAAATACCGCGCATACGGGTCGCTCAGGTACCCCAGGTCGACAGCACTCAGCCTGGACACGGCGGCATCCGTATCGGTTCCCTGGATGATGGAATCGTGGGAAGCAGCAGCTTTGGAGCCGGGCTCAGAGCCTCCGCGTCCCCGGCCTCGGCCTCGGCCCCGACCGCCTCTGCCCCGGAGAGAGAGAAGGTTGGGGATGGACGGCGCTGACATTGCTTTGGATCAAGGGCCTTTATCGCATTTCGAGGTGCTTTTTGCAGGCTGAGACTTTGATGAGGATGCGAGATCAAATAAGGTAAAAGAGAATAAGAGGTCTGGATTCTTGAGTATAAAGCGATGATCAAATGGGCATGTCAAGGGCAGAAGTATCTCATCACTTTGGATCCAGAGCAAAAGTACAAACCGTACGAAAGTCGGCGAATGTTGCCCCACCTTCCGCTGCTGCATTGCAAGAAGCCGCGGGGCATCTGGCCAGCGCCTGCCGCGTGCCAACATTCAGGTACCGGAGAAAGGAAGGAGTCACGCATGACATGTCCAAAATGCTTCTTTATCTATTCCCCTACAGTTTTCTCTCTCTCTCTCTCTCTCTCTCTCTCTCTCTCTCTTCTTCTCTTCATTCTGGTCTCCTTGTCTGCCGAGCCTTGGCTTTGACCAGTCTCTGGAAAATTGGTTCGCTGTCACTGCCGGGTTTTGCCTTCTTAATCTTTGACATGTATATCCACTTATACAGGCAGCGGCTACCCGGAGCCCGAAACACGACAAGATGCTGACTCGCGAAAGCTTCTACCTACTCACGATACAAACACTGCATAGAATTCCGAAGCACGCATGGATAATGAAAGGCACTTCTGGGGCGCTGCAGCAGATGCGGAACAAAGTTTGGTTCCATGGCATGTTCACGAGAACAACAATGGATCCGCAATGTGCCTCGTCCACACCACATTCGTTGCAATGCACTCCTTATGCAGCTACACGCAAGCATCGCTCTGGGCAAGTGACGTGATTCGCGTGCGCTGGACAGATTCAATCCAACCGCGCTGCTTCGGGAAAAGATTCTTCAACCCGAGATCCAGTCCAGCTTGCTGTCCCAAAGAAGAAGTGGCCGAGAAGAGCAGCGAGAGCTTTTTGCCGCCTCTGCTAATCGTTCGGGCTGACAAAGTGCAAACTAGACGGGCTTCCGCCGCGGAGGAGGGCAGTGCTGCCTAGGCTGTTTGAGCTGGGGTGGCCCCTTCGCCTCGACAACCCACCGAGAATCCTGCTCGTGTTTGCCTTATAAGCGTCTCGCCCTCCCCCAATCTATCAGCCGGGCTTGATGTTTCTTTAGCCTCGCTCACTTGTATACTCTATCGCGACCTTCTCTGCCTTTGGCCATTTGCAAAGCAAGCAAACAGCTGGTCCTCGGAACAAGCCTTCTTTCATCGCATCCGCCTCTAGTTTGGAAACTTCCCCTTCGCACGTAACCCGAGCGATCCGTCGGGTTCTATCACCATGACTTGGACCGTCTTTCAAGATGGCGACCCTGCCGAGTTCCATATGCCCGCATGGGGCTGGCCTCTCGTGCTCCTGAACGCCATCATCCTGCTTCCCATTTCTCTTCTCGTAAGGAGTCGCTTCTTCCATTGACAGGTCGATGTCGTGTCTGCTAACGCTGATTTACAGGTCAACTACACCCTGTTCCACATTTATCCTGTCTTCGCCATCATTGAAGATGAGAACCCTCCTGCCTACGAGCCCCTCGCCATGCCCGCCAACGGAGATGGTCTTGATGAGGAGGCGGCCGCTGGTTCTACCGCGAAGCCTACCGATGGCGCCGGCCGGACAGTGACCTCCTCTCTTCGCTCCATTAACCGTCTTCTGACCTCGTACGGTGGATTCCGAGCCAACTTCCGTGGATTCATGTGCGCTCTCACCCAGTCCGTGCTCATCAGCATCGTCGCCTCCATCTTCTCGTGGGGACCTGTCCGGCCCTTTGCCGAGCTGCTGGCCTCGCTGGTCATGGTTCAGTTTGGAGCTGCCTGGGTTCACATTGTCATTTCGCAGCCCTCTCCTCGGAGGTTCTGGCGCCGCCTGCCTCCTTTCAAGCGCGCCTTCGATGCCACTTGGAAGGCCATCGTGCTCTACTGGGCTGCGACCCAGGTGCACCAGTGGGTTCCCCTCTTGCTGGCGGAGCTTATTGGCTTCGATGCCCCGACCATGGCCAACTTGACGTCGGGCGGCGCCTCGGACGCTATTCGCGACGGCGACATTGTGTATCTGATCAAAGCTACCGTCTACATCCTCCTCAGCACAATGCTGTGGGTCGTCGTCATCATTCCTGCCCGCGTCGTCGTCATCCGCATTCAGGCCTCGCTCCTCCCCGAGGACGAGGACCCCATCATCCCCTTTGACCGATCTTTTACTGGCAAGGTCGAGCCCGCAATTGTTGGCGGTCTCGGCTATGCAACCATCAGCGACGCTTGGTCCACCTTTTCAAAGGCCGCCTGGCGTCGGGTGGTGATCCTCTACGCCAAGATTGTGGCCATCTTTGTGGCCGTGTCTATCCTGTCGTGGGCCATTCTGCTTCCCACTTGCTTTGCCATCATTAAGGCCGGCACCAAGAGCAACTAATTGCTTGCCCACCAGCAAAACGATCAAATTCTCCTCGAGAATCACGAATTATGTCCACTGACGACTGATGCTGTGATTCTACAGCTGAAGCATCGTCGCCAGCCACTGAGAGATTGTCTGAAAGTTCACCACTTTCTTCATAGCATCGATACTCGTTACAAACAAGATTCTGTTGTTGTATCTCATATATCTTAAAGTCTTGACTCTTTACTCTTTCATGCGTGACGTCTTTATATCATATATATCCCTCCCCGGCCGCGTAACTCCAACTGTAGAAATCCTGCTTCCTGCCCAACGGCCCATTTCCCTTGTTCGTTCTTGACTCATCCCCACCTTTGTCTTTTAATTGCTCGTTCGTCGCCTTGTGTGTCAAGTCTCTCTCCCGCGTCTCTCTCCCGTCTCCCCCTCTCCCTCCTTTTTGCTCGAATACACAAACCATCAAAAGTCGTAAAATCAGGATCCAACAATCATCATTCGTCGCTCTTGAGCTCGCCACAATGCATATTGCACGCGCGAAACGCACGCACTTCTTCTCCTTCTCCTCATCCTCGTCGTTCCAATTCTGTTCTTTGGTTTTTTTTTTCTGCCCCCTCTTTTTGTTTCTTTTTCTTGGGTTCTTCTTCCTTTCAGAATGCAGACAGCGGAGAGGATGAAGCAGTCAGAGCAAAACATATAAAAAGATACAAGGCAAAGGAGGAAACCAAGAACGGATAAAGCCTTAACCAGCAAGTCAGCAGGGCATATGCATGGAAAGGAAGAGGAACATGAAAGAGAAGAGGAGAGGACTGTAGCAGAAAACGAGAAGAGAGAGACATGGAGAGAAAGACGGGGGAGAGAGGGGAGGGGGTATGTAGGTTCCAAAAAGTGTTGTAAAACCGCGTCTAGTGTACTCAAAACGCCGCCCGGAGAAAGCAAAAGCGCGCAGCAAATCTACGACTTATTGAAGAACCAACTACCGCGCTTGCTGCTGGTGGGAGTCCCGTCACCGCCTTGGATCGTGGGAGTCGCAGGGGTGTCACCGCCGCCGCCACGGAGAGGCTTGGCGATTCGGCTGCCAGCGCTGGTAAAGCTGAAGCCGCCGCCGGCACCGCCCAGGCCGCGGGTGCTGCCAGCTTTGGCAGCCTCAAGGCGCTCCTTGACGGAAGCAAGCTGGACCTCGAACCTAGGTAGAAGGAGTCTAGGTCAGCACCAAGATTATATGGTTTCTCGTTTGTATTATGCGTGGTGTCACGTCGATGACGGATGACACCACTTTGTTGAGGTGCAGTCGTGGGCAATGAAAGGAGGAAAGGGGACAGGGGGGATACATACTTGTGGTTGGCAGTAGCCATCTTCTCCTGGCTGTCTTGCAGCAGACTCTCGAGGCTCTGGATGCGCTCATTTCTCGCAATCAGCTTGCGCTCTGCAATGGCAACCTCCTTCTTCAGAGAGGAGTTCTGCTCCACCAGCTGGCGCTGGACCTGAGTGAGCTGCTCCAGGTTGCGCTCAAGGAAGGCCATCTTCTTCTGCTGAGCGCGGTTGTTGGACGACCGCAGCACGTTGTTATACTGCTCGCGGGTCTCGTCGAGCGAAATCTCCAGCTCGACGACGCGCTCGCAGCGGTTCTGCAGGTCTCGCATGAGGCTCTTCTTCATGACGTCGAACTCGGCAATCTGCTGCTGGACGGTCTTGCCGTTGGCCATGGCACCGGCGCCGCCGGCCTTGACGCGCTGCTGAAGCTCCTCAATCAGGGTCTTCATCCTCGCGTTCTCCGAGGCCTTTTGGGCCAGATCGGCCTTGAGCTCCTCGACGAGCTGCACCTCGGACTTCTCGCGCTTGGCATAGACGGCCTCGAGACGTGCCTTGACCTCCTCGACATCGGCCTCGCTCAGGTTGCGGGTCAGCACCTCTTCATACTCTTGCTGCAACGACTCGAGCCTGGCCTCGAGCTCCTGTCTCCGTCGAGCATCCAAGTCATTGGATGGCCCGCTGTACATGGACAGCTCTGCCTGCCTCACGATGCCCTGGGTCTCGACCATCTTCGCTCGGAGAGCCTTGAACTCGTCTGGCGCAATGTGGTCGCCAATAGTGCTCTGCTCGAGCAGGGCATCAATGTGCTTGATGGTCTCGGCAATGGACCTCTCGTTGTCGCTGAACACGTCGGTTCCGAGCTCGAAGCCGGCCATCATCTTGGCCATCTTCTCTGCCTTCTTCCTCTCCTTCTCGTCGAGAGCTGCGCCCGTCTCCTTGGCGCTCATCTTGGCGTCAAGCAGCTGCTGCTTCATGTCGTCCAGTTCGGCAGTGAGTTCTGCGTTGGCCTCCTTGAGGGCATCCATGGTGATTTGCGCCTCCTTGCCCTCAAAGTTAAGCCTCTCCAGCTGCATCTTGAACTCATTCACCTCAGTGATGAGCCTCTCGTTTTCCTTGCCCATCTTGCTGTCGTGTTCCTTCAAGTAGGCAAGCTCCTCCTTGGTCTCGCGCAACAGCTTCTCGGCTGCGGAAGCCTGAGACTCTTTCTCGGCAATTTGATCCTGTAGCTCATTTTCGCGGCGGAGGAATTCTTCCCGCTCGTCCTTCTCCAGCGTGATGCTGGGAGTTCCGGCGCGGTCAGAAGCAATGGGAGTCTCTGAGCGGGACTCTGTAAGCCGTGAGGGAGTTGATGGCCGTGGTGCTCTTGCTTCGGCCTTGGCTGCGGCAACTCCATCCGTGACGGGCTGAACCCACTTCTCCTTGGGGACAGACTCTCCAGAACGCCACAGCTGCACCTCGCCCTCGAGGTTCGAGATGTAACTTTCGAAGTTGGTGACCTGGCCCTGGACCTTCTTGAGCAAAGCCTTGAGCTCTGCAGGGCTGAGCTCGGCGTTGACCTTCGCCTTGTTCTTGATGGACTTTGCTCTGGTACCGAATCTCAGCGTGCCCAGGGTTTCAGCATCGTTGTAGCTACTCGGCGAGCAGTTGATGATGAGAGTGGTCCGACTGTTACCACCCAGGGACTCTTGCAGGATACGGGTTAACTTGGAGTCTCGGTAAGGGACGTAGTGAGATTTGCCATCTGTCAGGGCGTTGATGACCATGCCCAAGGCGCTCAAACTCTTGTTGATCTTCTTGGCCTCCTCGAGCGTCTGGCCGCTGGCGCCAGTCTTGCCAACCTTTTCACTACCGGCCAAATCGACCAAGAACAGCTGACCGCTCTTGGCCGAACCGGACTCGATGTTCTTCTGGGTGATGGTGACGACGAAGATGGAGTGGGATCGCGACGACTCTGCGTTCATGTTGGTGGCAGAGACCATTCGAGCACTTCCTCCCCTCCGCATGACTTCGTACACCTCCTGGACGCTGGAGACGTAGATTTCCAAGAGACCCTTGACGTAGATTCCGCGATTCTTCTCCTCGTGGATGGGGAGGTTGTCGTTCTGCGGAGCCAACAGATCACGAATCTTCTCCATGTAAATCTCCATGTAGCTGACGCGGACGGTGTACTCGATGGTGCTGGGGCTGGACATGATGCTAGCAAAGATCTGCTCGACAATGCGCGGAATAACACCCCTCTGCTCGGGATCGTCAATGTTGCTTCCCATCATGGTGTATGATTTACCGGCACCGGTCTGGCCATAGGCAAAGACGGTGCCGTTGTAGCCGTTGAGAATATCGTCGACGGTCGGGCGGATGGAGTAGTCGAAGATGTCTTGTTGTTTACATGACATGTCAAAGATTCGGTCAAACGTGAAGGTGCCTTGCGCCTCTTTGGACTATAACAATAAAACCAAACACGGCAATGGTCAGCATCGGGCCTTTCGCGTATCTGTATGAGCTCTGTAGCGAGCACGGGCAAGGGCGGAGGGAGAGTGTCATACGTCAAGAGTACAAGTGTCTTCCGAGTCGAAGCGGACAATTGGCTTGCCGCCCGACTCGATCTCGACCCGGTTCTGAGGCCGGAACCGGGCGACGACCTTGATGCTGTTGTTGGACATGGCGGGCAGACGGCGTGAGGACTCCGATTATGGGGAACAAGAGAAGCGGCCGTTTGGTTGGGCCTCTGCTGAGACACGGCGGTATCTCGAGGGGAGGTGCCTCTTCTCTTCACCCAAAAGGCGGGCTCCGATATATCGCCCTACCAGGAGCGAAGAAGAGTGGTGAGGGGCAGAAGAGGAGAAACGAAGCCAAACAGACGGTCGATCCAAGCCGTAGCTGGGAGAGATGCGAAAGAAGACGAAACCCCGCCGCAGGCTCGGTTGCAAGGAGAAGGGGGGGAAGGGAGGGAAAAAGAAAAGGGAAACAGAGGCGAAGGAAAAGAAAATCCAAGAACAAGACGGAGAGAGGTTCTAGGGATGCAAAAGGAACGGCGGTCTGGCAAGGGCTGGCGGGGGAGGGACCCCAAAAAGTTGAATCCAATGTTTTGGAGGTGACAAGCGCGCTAAAAGCAGCCGCCGCGTGGGTGGTGGGAAGGGCCCTGGAGGCTAGGCGCTAGAGGCCACCCAGAGGCCACTTGGAGGGGACTGGAGGGGAGGGGGGACTGGAGATCAGGCGCCTCTACCCGCTGAAGGAGGGAGGTTACAGCGCAGTGGCCACGCTGGACGTGCGTCGGTGGCCCCCTAAGAACTCCTGACTAGAGGGTTGGGTGAGCTTGAGCTCGGGCTTCGACTAAACGGTAGAGCTCCTTTGATGCTCTGCTACCTACCTAGGTCAAGCCACAAGAGAAAGCAGGCACTTTTGTTTGGAACGACTGGTGATGCAGGTCATAATGACTCTGCTGCTGTATGCTGCTAGTATTGATCTTGGTCGGTGCTCCTCTGTCGTTTGGGTCTTACTCGTTGACTCTGTTTCATTCTTCTGCCTTACTTGACAAATCGTTTTTGGTCTAAGTAGAGGCAAAAATATCGCCGAGACTCGCCACGCCAGGGGTAACTGGATTACTGCATATGGAGTCCTATCCCGCCTTCTGTCCTGATTTATATACGGCCATGGAAACATAATCAGGTTGGATGCAGTGCCATGAGGTGGGTATGTGGCGTCTCTTTGCTCTCTTGGTTTTGAGCCCAAAAGTCGCAATCCCCCTTGGCAGAATTCAGTCTCACATACTGTAGTAGGTAGTGCTCGGGATATGTAGATAATAATTGCTGACGCCGGCAGTGGATTGGATGCTGGCTCAACAAGGTCCCTCAACTGGGCATGAGAGGGGATGGACATTCACCGGAACAGCGGACGTTTGATTGCTAAATACACCATCTCTCTCACTGGCCTCGCTCGTCACTGAGCACGTCTTCTACAGTGTCCATGTAAGTCGTGTACACGCACGACTTCTTTGTATAATACAGTCGTTGGAAAGTGGGCAGTTTGGACTGACGACAAAGGCGGTGTATCACCGGCAGTTGCATCGCAAGGTACTTGCATTGGGTACCACCCACCAAAGGCGGGGACCGTGCCTTGCATCACCGTCAAATCAAGCACTGCACTGAATAGCGATGACCAACGCAGATGAGCAGAACATCAAAGTCATTTGCAGCTACTACCTAGTAAATCGCTACCTAAAAGTATCTGTCGTCCCGTCGGGCAGGTCCTCCTTCAGGGTGGTGGTGAAACCATAAAATCGACGCAGCTGCTGTAGGGCGAAGAGGACAAAGCAGGAAGAAAGAAGGAAAAGCAGAATATCATGACTCCCGTCCTTGGTATAGCCAGTTCAATCTCGTGCACCAAAACGCCTGCAATGAATCCATTCCGGCAGATGGCCGGATCCCATTTCCGTAGACAGAGCACCAAGATGTCGCTGGCAGCGTCCTGATTCCGCCTCAGTATCCTGACGGGAAGAAGTGGCAGCCCTAGATGCGTCGCCTAAACACCTGTCTTGTCCATATATGCAGTGAACGCGAGTTTCTTCTCTTGTTCAGTCTTCCCAGCTCCTCTCAACGGTCTCTCGGACGCGCTTCGTATACTCCTTCCGGTTGTCCTTGTAGAGGTTCGAGGCTTCCACGTTCGCTGGCGAGCCGGTGTTGGGGTCGTTGAGTAGACTGCAGTAGAGAACAGACGGCGTCAGCAGATGCACCATGACGGTAAAGCAATGTCATCCAATGTCAAGCTTCCATACCTCTGAATGCTGGTCAGCACAGCAGCGACATCATACGTAGGACTCCATCGATTTTGGAGAATGTCCAGGCACAGCTCGCCGGTGGCGTAGACGTTGGGGTGGAACATCTGGCTGATGAACTTGACCTGGGGCGGCTTGTTGGGGTATTGCTCTTCGAATTGCATGACGAGCCGAAACGTTCCATCTTCAAAAGGCGTATCGGCTGGTCCTATGATGACGGCATTCCTGTGAAGGGAGGAAGACAAGACATGGTAAGCATGCGAAGTCGCAGTGGTGGAGGCGTGAGGGGCTAAACCAACCAGGTCATGACGTTGTCGGGGATGGGAGATGCTGAGACTCCAGCGGGAGGATCAGTTTGCATACGCTAGGATATCTGTTAGACGGTGCAAAAGAGAGACGAGACGGACGATGCAGACATACCTTGAAGTCGCGCATCAAACGACGACGGGCAGCCGTTGACATGGTGATAGTCGGGGGACGGGATCGTACGAGGATCGAGTTGGGCACGGCAGCAGCGTGTAAGGGGCCTCAGGGGCTTGCTGTTCTTCGGTCGGATGTATCGGTTCGCTGAGTAGAGTATGATAGTAGGAGGGAAAGCTGGCAATATAGGTGCAAACCAGGTCTGCTGTTCTACTCTTTTCAGGATGCTGTATAGAAGTTCAAAGACAAGATCGGAACCTGCTCACGAGCCAAGAGAGTGATGCCCGCACTAGCAGCCAAATGGCAGCGTTTGATAGCCAGCCGGTACGGGCGAATCGGCGCCAGGGCACGGGCCAATGACGGGGCGAGAATTCGCTAATTAGTCATGGTCATGTGATACCGCACCAGCATCGCGCAGAGGCGTGGCGGATAAGACTCGTGGCGGCCATTGGGTGGGGTGACGCCACAAGCTGGACGCGTTTGGGGGAACATGATTCGTCAGACGGCTCCCGCCTCAATCGCTGCCGTAGCCTCGGCATGATGACGTGAGTTGCGAGTTACATACCTTCACTGAGAAAGAGGAACAGAAGATATAAGTTTACTGTAGAAGTCTGGGGTTACGAAGCTCTGATGAAGGAATTGACACCAAAAGCAAAGTCTTCACAGAATAATCTTGTATGTAGCCTGTTAACTTCCCAGAGGTATGACAGCTTTTCCGCCGCTTCTTCCATCTCCCCCGCAAAGAGCATCGCAGGCCATAATACTATCGGCTTAAACGGCTCGGCTGATTCTCCTCCCGCTCCAAGCCGAAGCGTACCGAAACGGCCCATACGCTCCTCTTCCAGTGCACCTCTCCTGCCGACTGTCTGTATAAAATACCTACAATCACAGCCCATGCGTTGCGTCTGAATATTCTGAGTCTTCTTTCTGGCTTTTGGTCCTCTTCGATACCCCTGATTGCAGTCGCCTTTCTTTCTTGACCTCGCCATCCTTCTCGTCACAATGTCCGAGGCTCAGCTCAGAACCGCCAGGCGACTCGGCCAGTTGGCCAGCCATGTGAGAACGGCTCGCCACTTCTCGACCAGCGCCGCGATGAGAAAAGAGATCCAGGACGCTTATATTCTCAGTGCTGCCAGAACACCCACAGCAAAGGTACACCTACTCCATCTTTCGGCCTAGGCCTCACCACTCTGGTGTGCATACGTTGCTAACACACTCTGCGTCTCTGTCCAGTTCAACGGCTCCTTCACCACCGTTCCCGCTCCCCAGCTTGGCGCCACCGCCATCAAGGCCGCTCTCGAGAGATCAAAAGTCCCGGTAGAAAAGATCTCCGATGTGTACATGGGCAATGTTCTCGGAGGATCCATTGGTCAGGCTCCGGCCCGCCAGGCCGCCATCTTCGCCGGTCTTCCCACGTCCGTCGAGGCCATCACCATCAACAAGGTCTGCGCTTCCGGCCTCAAGGCCGTTGCTTTTGCGGCGCAAAACATCCAGCTCGGCCTAGCCGAGGCTCAGATCGCCGGTGGCATGGAGAGCATGACCCGAGTGCCTTACTATCTGCCCCGCGCCAGCGGCCTGCCTGCATTCGGCAACGTGACCTTTGAGGACGGATTGATCAAGGATGGTCTGACCGACGTCTACAACAAGTTCCACATGGGCAACTGCGCCGAGAACACAGCCAAAGTTCACAACATCACGCGAGAGCAGCAGGACGAATACGCCATTCAGTCGTACAAGAACGCGCAAAAGGCGTGGGCTGACAAGGCATTCGCCGACGAGATCACCCCCGTGACCGTCAAGACCAAGAAGGGGGACATCGTCATCGAAGCGGACGAGGGCTACCTCGACGTCAAATTCGACAAGATCCCTACCTTGAAGCCTGCCTTTGTCCGCGACGGAACGGGGACCGTGACCGCCGCCAACGCCTCGACGCTCAACGACGGTGCCAGCGCTCTGGTCTTGGGCAACAGGGCCATCGCACAGCAGTACGGATCCAGCTCTCGCGTCCTGGCTAGAGTGGTCTCTCACGCCGACGCTGCCGTCGACCCCGTCGACTTCCCCGTTGCTCCCGCCAAGGCCATTCCCCTTGCCCTCGAGCGCGCAGGAATCACCAAGGATCAGGTCGCAATTTGGGAGATCAACGAGGCCTTTGCGGGCGTTGTTCTGGCCAACAAGAAGATCCTCGGCATCGAGAACGCCCGCGTCAACCCTCTGGGCGGCGGCATCTCTCTCGGCCACGCCCTGGGTAGCTCCGGATCTCGAATCCTCACAACGCTTCTGCACCAGCTGAAGCCTGGTGAGTATGGTGTGGCGGCTATCTGCAACGGCGGAGGTGCTGCCACGGCCATGGTTGTGCAGAGAATCGAGTCTGTATAAATTCAAAGGAAGTAAGTATGGGACAATCAAACCATATTTGTATATATAGCGAAATGAAGCAATATGTAGCTGCGTTCCAGTAGCTTTGCCATGTATTTTAGAGTAACGAAATATGAGCCTTTCGACATTGATCCTATGTTCATGATGGTATTGACTTATGTCCAGTAACACGAACAATCTTGCACTGGCCAGAAATAACACCACAATTAGAGATTCGAGATAAAAGACCCGACTTTGAAGGAGAGGAAGAGTTTCAACTGTCAAGGATCAAGTCGCAAGCTTGGTAAAGGTACCAGACACGCGCCACACAATCGCCGCCACATCCAAACCTGCGCCACACGCGTCTTCAACAACCAGCCTCGCTCATCCAACGCGACTTGTCATTCACTCTCATTTTCTCCTTGTCTCACTACCCAGGTCTCTCCAAAGAGTTCATTCGCCGCCAGACGGTGAAAACTTTTTTTTGTTTTTTTGTTCTTTTTTTCATTCATATTTTCTTCTTTCACTCACTATATATCATGTCTCTCGTCACCCAGTTTCTCTCCCAAATCCATCAGCAAGTCTGCAACCAGCAAGGCAATCTCCTCCGGTCATGGCTCCAAGTAGAGCCAGAATCACCAAAGCAGTATCACGACCTGGCCGCCGAGCTGCGCGCCAGATACAGCCGCCAGGACGCCATTGACAAGGTGGTCGAAGATGCACTGCCACAGGCGGACGACTTGCCAGAGGGCCAGGCAACCTCTTGGCCCGGACTGTTGGCCTTCGTGAAGGATTACTTGACGTATTGGCGGGATGTCGACTTTACGGATTTGCTGGGGGCACACCAGCTTCTCAGCGGGCTTGTCAAGTGAGTTTCTTTTTTTCTTTTTTTTTCGTCCGATATCGAGACACTGTAGAAAGACGTAGTTTCAACAAACAGTCTACAGCCTGGGTCAACAACAGATAAAACCACCCATCTCTGCATTAGTATTTCCATGTTAAACCATTCGCGTTACCAGCTCTTGTTCCACTGCATTCGCCCATCCCACCTACGGCTCCATGCTCCTCCAGGTCAGCATGTCCCTGTCCGAGACTCTGGCTCGCCTCACCATGAACCTCAACCGCCGGCCCGACCTCACCCGGCGGCTGCGCGTCGTCGACGACGACAACCGCAAGTCTGTGGCCGAGTCCTCGGCCGAGATCATCCAGAAGATCTTCACGACGTGCCTGACCGACCGGACGGGCACCCGGACGAGTAAGCCGGAGGGGAAGCGAGTCGGCGTATACATGTTTGCCAACCTCGTGCTCAAACTTCTCTTTGCCGTATGTCTCTCCTTGCTTCACTCGCTCTCTGCTTTCCCATACTTTCAAGGAGCAGCAACTTATCGTGTTATGTGTTACAACTTATATCATCATCGTATCTCTAATTACAACTTCACTCCCTAGTGCCGAAGAACCCAACTTGCCAAGATGATATTTGTCAACATCGAATCTATATCACCTCCGCTCTCACTCTATCCCGCCGCCCAGCGCGTCACCTTTCTCTACTACCTCGGCCGCTTCAACTTCTCCAACCACCACTACAACCGCGCCGCCCTCTGTTTGCAGGAGGCATACCTCCAGACTCCCCCTCAACTCGTCTCTCACCGCAGCAACATCCTCACCTACCTCATCCCCTCAAACCTTCTTCTCGGGAAATTCCCCTCGGAAACGCTCCTGTCACGGCCCGAGGCGCAATCACTCAAGCCCATCTTTCTTCCCATGTGCATGGCCATCCGCTCCGGCAACTTCATCCAGTTCCAGTCCCACCTCGCCGCGCACGAGGACTGGCTCTTTGAAAAGGGCCTCCTCCTATCGCTCTCCAACCGCCTCCGGCCGCTCCTCTGGCGGAGCCTCGCCCGCAAGACCTTCCTCCTCACGTACGTGCCCCCGCAGGACGCCTCCTCCCGCAAAGCAGCAACGCTCGACCTCGCCCACCTCCTCACCGTGGCGACCTACATCCAGCGCCGCCTCGAGGGCTGGCTGCCCGGCAACCCGACCGCCCTCCACCGGCCGTCGTCGCAGGCCAACCCGCTCCTCATGCAGGCCCTTCGCAACAACGTCCAGCCCTCTGCCGAAACGACGCTCGCCCCTCCCCCGGGCGGCCCCAAGAAGCTCCGCCCCAACGAGGGCCTCATATGGGGTAACGCCCTGGTCAGCTACGAAGACATCGAGATGACCGTTGCCACCCTCGTCCAGCAGGGCTTCATGCATGGATTCATCGCCCATAGCCAGGGCCGGTTCGCCATCATCGGAGCAAAGGCAAAGGGCAGTCCCGTACTGGCGGGCTGGCCGAACGTCTGGCAGACCATTAGAGAGAGGAGGCACGAAGACGACTTTGATATCGACCAAGTTCCCGGCTGGGTGACCCTATGAGAGAGAGAGAAGAGTGAGGCAAGCACAGGCTCAGAAGGGGAAGTTTGGAGTTAGTGGATGCATACCAAGCACGCATGATATTGGTTAATTACGATGAAAATGCAACATTGGATAAGAAAGAAGATGAGGGCAAACACATCCTGGAGGCAAAAGTCGGCTTGAACTACCGGCGCTAGAATCACTCCACGGCACGGCTTTCGTCTAATATCAGGAAAGCTAATTACTCTTTGGAAGAAACCGAAATGATGGGCCCCCTGAAACCAAATATCGCTAACTGCGGTAACACACATGTTTGGAAACTCTGGGAGATATAAAATGACAGACCTTAGATTTCTCTTAGGATTATACACTCACGTAGAATCCATAACTCGCGCTAAGCTGTCTCATCCATTTCCTTCTAAGCTTTCTCTCTCTTTCTCTCTGTCTCACCGTGTGCATGTGACTCATGGGCTGTTTTGGTCGAAGAGTGCAGTAAATGGTAATCTTCCGCATCTTAAAATCAGCATAGATGCACATCACATCAGGCAAAGCAAAAAGGTCAATAGCCAACACAAACAGGCACTGCAAACAATTAAACAATTATTCGTTCCATTCCCACCCCTCCTTATTGGACATACATCGTAAAATAGGTCTGCTAAAATGAAATATGTAAAGCCAGAAGAGTTTCGCTCGCTCTTTTCCGTTCCACTCCCTCCCCTTTGATGTTGCGTTTAAAGTCCCGACTCGCTGTGTTTTTTTCGTGAAAAGCTTTCTCTTACCGCTTGAGAGGGGTATCGACGACAGAGAAAGGCCAACAAAAAATGAAACAAAAAAAAGGTATAAGACAAACAAATAATAAAAATCATAGTAAAAGATGAAAAGGAATGCCACCCGTGTTCTGACATGATTGTAATCCAAGAAGGGAAAGTAGAAAGGAGGGGACGAAAGGTGTTGAAGCCGCAAGAGAGCCTCGTGTCCAAGACACATACAACTTCCAGAAACCTCCAAAGACAATAAACACTATCGCCGACAGGGCATCTTGGCTGATATGTAAAGCATATAATAAGCGTTATGTAGATAAAAGTATAGCCATATACAGATACGGCAGCATAGAATATCAGGTCGAAGAGAAAAGGGTGCGGCGAGGCGAAGGGAGGGAGCGGCCAGGGTAGGACAGCCCGTGTATGCGAAGCGGAAAGAGCGAGAGCGACAGTGACAGAAACCGCGTCAAGTGATATAAAGCCTAGAGCAGCATATGAACAAGAATATGTAAGCTGCAGCTGACAAGAGGTGACATAGACACTGAAGTAGACGTGAGAATACAAGGTCTGCCAGAGATACAATCAACGGGGCCGCTCGCCATCATCATCATCATCTTCTTTCTCAAAGGAAACAAGCCGCAGCAACAAAGGCGACAATAAGGCCGGCAAAGGCTGTGCTGCCTTGCTGGCGACCAGCCTCGCCCTTCTTCGTAGTCGTGGTGACGGGAGCAGAGTCGGCCTGGGTGGCAGAGGGTCCTGAGGGTGCTGCGGTCGTCTGATGAGGCGATGTGCCGTTCTCGTGGAACATTCCGGGGTTCACAGATGGGCGGGCGCGGGCCGTTGATGAAGCCTTGCCGCCGGTGGTGGAGTGGGCAGCCTTGGTCGTGGCCGTGGCCGATGCGTCGGTCGTCTCGGCGGCTGTTGACTCGGCAGCTGTGGTGGTCGACTCGGCAGCGGCAGTGGTTGATGCGACTTCGGTCGTGGACGCAGCGGCAGTGGTGGACACTTCCGTAGATGATGGCGCGGCCGTGGTCGAAGTAGGCTTCTCGGCCAGGGCAGCAAAGCCACCAGCCTTGAGTCCGTGGGCAGTGGAGCTGGGTGCTGCTGACGAGGAAGATCCAGAGTCGGAGTCGGAGTCGGAGTCAGAGCCGCCGGAGCTGCCGTCAACGTTGTAGGCGACAATGTTGGCAACGCCGCCCTTGGGAACCGTGACAACGCAGAAGGCAGCATTACCGGCGCCAACCGCAGACTCCTTGCTATCGACGCTGCCGTCAGAGTTGGGCGAGATCTCGCAGGGCAAACCGTTGCAGCCGCCGTCGGGGCACTCAATCTTGACACCAAAACTGGGCAAGGTGCTCTTCAGCGCAGAATCCTGCCAGATAGGGTTCCAGCCCAGCTTGACGAACGTGTTGCCATCGCCATCGGTGTTGGCGCCAGCAACATAGGGGCTCCAGTTGCCGACGGGCTTAGATGAGACACCCCAGACACAATCGGCGACAGAGCTTCCAGGAGGATTGATGTAGTAGCTACACAGATAAGGTCAGCTGTGTAAGTGACGGGTGAGTTTACTGGGAGCCTCTTACTGAGCTGCGGTTTCACACCAGTAGCTTGTATCCGGAACAGCAATCGTGGCCTGGTCTTCGACAAGAGTCGGGATAAGCATTGCCTCGTTGCCAGGCAGCACGGTCTGGCACCACGACATTGGTTCACCGCACTTGTTGACAGCTACGACAGCGCCAGTGCCTTCAACACAGTAGGGCTTATTGGGGAACGGCTTGTGCACCTCGCCATCCTCATCGCAGTACAATCCTCCGTCCTGGCACTGTTAGCAGCTGAAACTTGGAGAGAGGGTGTGCATCTATCTTCTCCATAACTGCACCAGTTACTTACCATGGAAGACGGGTAGGAATATGAAGAATCGGGACTCCATTGAGCCATCACCATGCCGGGCTTGCAGGCAATGGGGCAGTAGTGGCCCGGCTTGCAAGGCTGGTCAGGGCTCATAGCCCAACCAGCATTCTCAGCATCGGGCGTGACAGCAACCAGGTTGGGATCGTCGGTCGGGAACGCGCATGTTCCTCGCTTGACGATGGAGTTGGGGCTCTCGACTGTGTGGGAGCGCAGGTGAGTGTGCTTCTTGTTAGGAAGCTGGTGAAACCTCTTGTGCGACGAGGCAACTGAGCCGGCTGGCAGAGAGAGAAGCACAACCGCCGACGCGAGGGCGGCCTGGACGTCTGTAACCTTCATGGCGCCGCGTGAAAACGAGAGTGTGAGTGGTATTAGTGGTATTTGCGATATAGAGAGAGCGAGTGAGGTTGCTCGACCAGGACGAGTGCAACACTCGTGTTTCGGGATCCGAACAAATAGAACAAAGCGAGGGTCGTGTCACGGCGAACAAGCAACCAAGGAGCGACAGGAGCGACGAAAAGCTCGTCTATACAACACGGACACGACACGAAACGACACAGCGCAAAACGGGAAAAGAAAGGGAAGAGAGAGAGAGAGACGGCGGTGACGGTCGAGGATCTATGAAAAGAGTGAGATGGACCCGCGGTGAGCAGGGCGACAACAGGCTAGTAAAGGAAGGGATTGACTGAAGTTAGTTCAAGAGGCTGCTCGCAAGGGACGAGGTCCAAATGCTTGCTGCAACACCGCGCCGCACGCTCATGGCTGGTAATAATAATGCCTCGACCGCTCTGCTGAAGATGGGCTGTGATGCTTGCCTCGCTCTGTGGAGCTCATGGGATGAGCGCGTCGAAATTAAACAGACGGGAGCCAATCAGCAGGCGGCCCTGTTCCCCCCTGGGAAACCGTTGTCCAATCCAGCCACTCAAGCAGGGCCAAGGGAAATTAAGGCCCTCCTAGTCTGAGAGACGCATCGAAGACTGCATTAACTGCAAAGGGAACAAATCCCAGATCCACCTCAGCAGCCAGACGGGGGCTCGGTGTCGAGGCACTGTCAGTGCGTGCGGCGCTTTCTTGATGCTGTAGACGAAGCAGCTCCTGGCCAGACGAGGAGCCAACTGGTTGTGGTTGAATGTATATTGTGGTGGGAATCGCCAACAGTACAAGTACGGAGCAAGTCCTCGAATCGGTCGTAGTGGCAGTAGCATCAAGCTCGACTTCTTGTTTGTTGGCGGCGCGGCGTTTTCCAATAGCAACTAGTAGAGAAGGACATTGGTGACCCCCTGATATCGACATGTTTGCCATCTGTCGCACCACAAGGGGGCCCTTCGCCATAATCCTACCGGCTTGGACGAGAAGCAATCTTTCGGACATGGTGCTCCTACAAGCACATCACCGTCTTGAAATGACAACGTCGAGAGCGAGAAGAAAGAATTGATCGGCAACACCAAAAGACGAGATTTGGCGGAACGCCCCGAATCGCCGCGTCTTGCTGATCCCCCAACCAACTTCACCGTTTAGCACAGCTGAGGCTGAGGTGTCACCCCGCGATCATAAATAGAATTCGAATTAGCATTGAGGGGTTCAACGGTGCCTTGCCACAACACCATCCACTAAGCCACCCGTCGCTTGTTCCTGAGAATGTCATGGTAATCCTCGCCAAACTGGCATCTTGCGACACTCGAAGCGAATCTGATGAGACAAGTCTTGCTCATCAGCATCTGTCCATCTGCCGTTGCCATAGAACATGTGGCGGTCGAGCTGTTCTCCCTGGAAACGAAACTAGCTGGGATCGGACATGGGGGACTCCTTTTTTTCCGCACGGGGGTGCAGGGAGAGAAATTTTGCGTAACCGACATGCTCCACTCAACACGAGCATGAACGCCCACGAGCTTGTCATCCACCGGCTGAACCAAAGTCCCTCTGTTCCTGCATTTGTACGGAGAAGGCCAGGCATGAAAAGGCTAGGCTCAATCCAACCCCAAGCAGCAGAGTGTTGCCTGGCGCCGACCCTGGCGACGACGTCTGTGCTTCTGCACACAACAAGGAGTGCTTGTTGGGCAAGGTGGTATTTGCACGTAATGCTGCCAGCAAGAACTTGGCGAGTTCTGGAAGAGAAAGCCGTCTCAGCTCCATCTTTTCTCCATCTCAGTGCGCTCTGCCTTGTGTGCTCCATCAATTCTTCAAATCTCGGCCACCCATCGTCGCGAGATCATGAGCTCCGCCAGTGCCGCCGCTGATGGCTATGTTCAGGCAGGGAACAATAATGACATGTGATATCTTCTCTTGTCTTGCATATTTGCGTTACCTGGTCTCGACTGAAATAACTGGCACCATGCGAGACTTCATCTGATCTTGTCCCCATGGCTTAATATCAAATTGCGTGCCGCCTTGGCAGTGAGGTGATCCGTCAATTCGAAGATAGATCTCGTGGACCGAATGCCCGATCCGTAGCCAAGACAAGTAACCTGACTCACACCCTGCAAGACTCTGCCTGGCTTTTCCTGTCACTGGTGAGTAATATACTCTCTGTGAGCTATGCTTCAGTGACCTTCATGCTCGGTGCAGTGGCGTGCTTGCTCCAAGTGCGTTCAAATATCCTTTTCCCGATGGCCAACCACTCTTGCGAACGAGTCAAACGACATCGTCATGGAATGGCGACCTGCAGTTTTGCTTCGTAAATGCTCATCATAGTTGAGCATCTCCTTGTAAGGAACCTTTGCAATGATCTCGACCATCCGAGCAGTTGACTTCTTGCCTCTCAGGGAAGTGATAGAGTCATAGGGGTCGGGTGGCGCATATATCTTGGAGACATCAATCAGCTCCTCGCTGGCAGACTCTGCAGAACGATCGTTGACTTCGAGCACGTGGCCGCCTGCGCCGGCTGTTATGTCATGCTGCACTGTTCCGGCGGCTGCCTCGGGGCAGACGATGTGCGTCAACATGATGGGTTCTAAGACACCAATTTGACTTTTGTCGAATGCCTCCCGAAGAGCAGCTTGGACGGCGGTCTTGGCCGCACCACTGAAATGCCCCCCCGTAGGTGATTCTAGCGCATCGCGAGATGTATCGAGTGTGATGTGGACATGGCAACCGTGGATGGGCGACGCACGGCGAGGCCCTCTTGCCAACCCAGCTATAGCTCCATTGAACAGCTGTTGACGCGCCTCATCGGCATCAACCAGCACGGCGCTGGCTTCGCCGTGCATGGGAATGTCGACCTGAACGATATTCCCATCCTTCTCAAGACCGGTTTCCATCAAACTGTCATGTTCCCCTTCCTCTATCGGCCTGAGGGTGACCGTGCAGGTAACCTTGCCAGATTTACCAGCCACTGGGCGGTCGAAGATTGCTTTTTGAGGAGAGGTCTCAGCAGTGACACACTCCTTGTAGTCAACTTCGATAGGACCAAACTCGGCATCTATCTTGTGCTTCTGTCGCATGTTGTATAGAGATACATCCAGGTGAAGCTTTCCCATACCCTGGATGGTGAACTGATCAGTCTTTGGGTTTCTACTCCACCGAAGGCTAGGATCTTCTCGCGAAGCACTCTCCAGGGCGGCCTCTAACTGCTGGGCTGCCACATTGCCATACGGGTCAACTTGCAGGAAAGCAACCGGTGGTGGGATTTCCGGAGGCCGTATTTGTATGTGCCGCAAGTGCTCCGGAACTGCTTTGCCGCTTGCCATGGTGATCAGGGTATCTCCAGTGCGCGCCTTCTTGAGGCCCCTCAAAGCTCCAATTTGGCCAACCGAAAGCTCCTGAATATCTTCAGTCTTGGACGCTGATATCTGCAAGATTCCCATCGGACGTTCTTGAATAAGCATATGGGTGTTGAAGCTCGGCGCATTGCGAGTCAAGGTGCCATGGTAGACTCTCACAAAGCTGATGACGCCCTCTTTTGGATGGTCAAATACTTTGAAAACAGACGCCACCGAAGTGACGTTCGGATCAACAGCCTTTTTGCCTTTCCCTTTGAGAGCTTCGCGAAGCTCACTCTTGGTACTCCCGATCCTGACCTCCACGTCGGGCCGTTCAGCCGGATTGGGAAGATAATCAGCAATAGCATCCATGAGCGGCTCAACGCCAATGTGACGAAAGCTGGAGCCTGCGAATACCGGTATGACACGGCCATCGCCAAGTTGTATGCTTCTCCTGATGGCCTGCTTCAGCAAGGGGGCAGGGATATTCTCATTTTCGGCCAGAAATTCGTCCATCACAGCCTCATCAAAATCCGCCAGGCCCTCGACCAAGCGTTGGCGCGCCACTTGCATCTCCGTCAATAGCGACTGGTTTGAGGTTGACAGTAACTCTTTGAGTTCAGCCGGCTCGTACCGAGCTTTCTGTCTTTCGCTCTTCCAGCGATATCCTACGCCATCGATAACGTCAATCACACCGACAAAGTCCTCCTTTTCCCACCACGGGATTTGACAGACCAATGGCCATCCTTTGAGTCGAGAGCCGATTTCCAAGACGGATTTTCTAAAAGATGCACCCTCACGATCCAGCTTGTTGCAATAAACAATTCGCGGTATCTTGAACTCTTGTGCAGAGGCCCAGACTCGTTCTGTGTGTGCTTCCACGCCCTTGACAGAGTCGATGATGCAGACAGCTCCGTCGAGAATTGGTAGGCATCTGTCGACCTCGAACCTGAAGTCCTGATGACCGGGAGTATCTATGAGGTTTATGGTCTTTGGTGATGTTCCAGGCGGGCAGTCTTGTTGTAACGGCCAGTGAAATGTGATGGCCGCCGACTGGATGGTAATTCCACGCTCCCGCTCGAGCTCCAGAAAGTCGGTAACGGTGTTGCCAGAGTCCACATCTAAGACTGTCAGCTGGGCTGTTCTGAGTATGAGCATGAGAACCTCGGCTGCAAACCTCCCACTCGTTGTGTTACGCCGCTATAGTAGAGCATGCGTTCAGTTGTTGTTGTTTTGCCCTACACGATGGGTAAGCATCAAGGTCAGGATGGCTGAGGCACATGCAGGTGCAAAGCTTACAGCGTCAACGTGAGCAATGATGCCGATGTTTCGAGTATTCTCAAGCAGTGAGCTAATGTGTCTCCTGCAAACAGCATTGCCGTACAGAGGCCACTTTGTAGGAAGCGAATCCGCCACGGCCCTGTTGACCGACCGCGTGACGAGGCCGCATTGTCTGCTCAGTGAGGCTCGGCGAAGGAGAGCCACAGCAATCATGGCGAGCCCGATCTGGAGGAGACGCCCTGCGAGAATTGGCAGTAATAGCGGCTACACCGCAGAATCATCAGAAATATGCACTCAGCACTCGATTGTGAAGGCGAGAACAGATTGTAAGGTGTTTTGAAGGGCAGTTTTAAGTTTGGGAGAGCGTGAAGCTCGGCTTGGAATGCTATTGGTGATACCTGAGGTATCAAGCAGTTCCTTCCACCTTACATAGCGGGGCCTGGAGCTTTACAGACATCTCTTTACCCCAAAATATGTCTATATCCGGTGTTATGCTTCAACGAGCTTCATCATATATATAATATGTCAATCACTTACCATAGAGTAACAGTAACGGTTTTACTTGTTGCAGAGACAACATGGAGAACTGAAGCCCGTGTGTTTTGTGTCGAAACGCACCACGAGCGACAAATTCTCAATTGTGGGTGGCACTAGGTATGAAACATTGAAAGCCGAAGGATGAGCAGCATCAGGTCTAGGTTAGGGAACAAGGAGCTTTCGGTGGTACACCTCGGTGCCGCAAGAGATGGAAGATAAAATGGCCTGAAGGGGGTCTAAAAGACTCTCTATTGTACTTTATGATTTATGCTGCAATTCTTCTATTTCAGGATGCGCCAGGATCGTTCGATCTCGTTGTCAGATTAATGGGTTAAGGAACAACTTGAATTGTCGTGATAGGAAATACAGGATGCAGTCATAACAGTACGTCCCATGAAGACGAGAAATGTCCCCATCAGAGGTTGAAGCGTGCACCCTTTGATTATGAGTCGAATAAAGAAGTCATGACATATCACACATTTTTTTAACTTCTGTTCTCTTGAAAGATGTTGGATGCCGACCTGGTGCCTGACTTGTACTGTGCAGATTACAAGGTAAAGTTACCTCATAGAGCCTGCGCACTAAAGTCTTCCACCGTTACAGTTGAGCCTCCAAGGCAAAACTCAACCTCCAAAATAACGACCATCCACGACCAGAATCTCACACAGCCATGGCAAGAAAATTGCCCTGGAAAAGGCAAAATGGAGATTCAGGGTCCTCTCCAAGCAGCAGCGCGAGAACCACAGCGGCTCAAAGCCCTGCATCATCTGCTTCGCTACCAGCGGCGCAACCTGAGCGTCGGCATGCCGTGCGAACGCCTGTATCGCGTAGGCACATTCACCGCGTCTTGGATTCTGGTATGAAGGCTTCGAACCTGCATCTTAGAATTGAACAAGAATTGTGATTAAATTACAAACTAATACGATGCAAAGATCCCGTCCGAAGTCCATCTACTTCGCCTCCACCGGAGAAACCTCATGAAGAGTACATACACACCATCTGAGATACTGCCGTCGATGACAGTTGCCCAGTTCAATATGCGGCTGCCTCTCACGAACTCTCAACTAACTGTTGCTATCTCTCATAGATTCATGATCCCAGGGGTGCTCAACGATGACAGATACAGAATGGTCGAAGACGAGTTTCTGCACATCGCCCAGCGCTTCACAGCGCATCTCCACCGCGCAGAATACGATCGTCTCAAGGCCCTCGCCAAGGCGCAAAACGCGGACACCATCCGCGAGATTGAGCGCCCAATCGTGCCGGATACGGTGCCGACAGCCAGGACACGGCAAAGGAGTGCGTCGCGCCAGCGGGCTCTGAAGCAGCGCAAGGCGTTGGCAGCGGCTGGCCGCGGCGAGGAAGACCGCAAAGCGAAAGACGATGGAGCAAAGTCGCTGGTGGCGGCAACAGGTTTACGAGGACTGATGGAGGCGCCGAGGCATGAGGGTAGGTCTGTCATGCCGGCTATGAGCGCCTCGTTTGCTTCGTCTAGGACGAGAGCGGCTGCGGGATACTCAAGCAAGGCATTGCCACGCCAGGACTCTCGAAGCCGAGAGCCGTCGCCATCGCTGCCACCACTACCGTCGTCAGCAAAGAGGGTCAAACTCGAACAACCCCCGAGTTCACGCTCAGCCTCTGCGCCAAACAGAAGCACGTCACAGCATCCTCGCGGTTCAAATTCAAATGCCCAAGACACGTCTTCACCGGCCACGGTCTCGAAGGAAACGCCTCCAACAGAGCGCAAGATTCCCGAACAGCGACCAAGAGTCCACATTCTGGACGATGACGACGATGATCTCTTTGGCTTGCACGAGCGTAGGATGAGCAGAAAGAAATCCCGAGAGCAGTTCAACCGACCGAGCGCCAAACGGGACATCAAGGATGAATCGAAGACCGTCGACCTTACCTCCATCCCTTCATTCTTATAGACGTCTACTGGGAGCTTGACCACATGCGGAATGATTATTATTATGACGTATCACGAGAACTGATTTGATGCTCCAAGGCATATGTGCATTGCTGGTGGCAGCCAAACATGACGTCGTTATATTCATCGAAGTGAGTAGTCATGAACTCCTCTAATCCTCCATCGTGAGCTCATCAAAGTCGTCTAGCAGCTCATCCATATTCACTCCAGGAACGCCATCTTCTTCGTCGTCCTCCGTCTCGGCTATGCTCATCTCCTCATCATTTGTCTTCTTGGGGTTCTTGTACAGCGCCAAAGCCGCACGAAGTTCCTCATCTTCCTCAACGTCACGCAAGAACATCTCGTATTCCTTATCCATACGCTCCTGGTCTGCCTTCTTTGGTAGAAGGTCGCCCTCGTCCTTGTTCATGCGCTTGAGCTTCCAGTTGCGGCGACGGTTCCTCCTGCGGTTGGGGTAGTGTTTCTTCACCAGCACCACATCCGGAACGGTCGATGAATATGTGTTGGACTCTTCTATGGCATCAAATTCCGGGTTGTTGAAGTTGGTGCCGCTCAGCATGTAGCCCATTGCTGAGTCTCCCGGCTGCAGCAGGTTTCCAAGATGTGTCCTGGTAAAGTATGTCTTGTCGTTGACACCTAGATCAGAAGCACGGGCAACGGTTGCCTCGGCGAGCACCCACTTGCCCTTTCGAGTGGGAGTGGGCTCAATGTCCATGATGATGAACTCAACCAACTCCATGGCGTCGGCGAGGGCTGTGAAGGGGGCGCGCCAGTAGATGGACGAGCTGACTTCCGCCGTTTGGAGAGTCTGCGGGTCCATGAGGTAGACTGCTGTGCCAATCTTGTGGCAGAGGACGAGGGGGGAGATGTTGCCACTCTGTTTCGCAAGCTTTATCGGCAGCGCAACCAGGTCATCTCTGCATACGGGGACGAGTTCGGCGGAGAAGGTGAATTTGTATGATTTTTTCGAGGTGTGTGTATCCATGGAGATCAGTTCTTGTGAGGACTTGACTTTGACGGGAACAACCGAGTTGAGGAAGTCGACAAACTTCTCTGCCTGGTTTCGCACGGAGAAGAAGAAGTCGATGCCGTCCTTGGCTTCCTTGATGTTGAGCGTCTCTCTGTGCGCACCATGTTTCAGGACGAGCTGCTCCAGGAAGTGGAACGTCCTCTTGTGGAGGACCTTCTGTCGGACTTGGACGCAGGCCCTCCAGTGGTTAGGGGTGAAACTCTTTGCGCACTCAGGGCACTGCTGATGCGCCACAACGTATACGACCTCGAAGCTCTGCTGCAGCAGGACACCCTGCTGGACGGCGTCTTGGACGGTCAACTTGACCTTTACTCTCCGGGAGTGAGGCTCCGTCCAGATGAAGCTCGCATCGACGATTCGCACTTTGTTCAGGCCCCTCAGCTTTTTGAGGCAGAGCGCCAGGAGTTCGCGGGATTCGGGCATGGCAGAGATCCAACTTGAGGGTGGCAACAGCCATCTCTCACAGTCTCTGCATTGCTGGATGGTAGCCTCTCGCTGGATTCCCTGGGAGATGTCGTTGGTCAACTTGATGCAGTCATAGCAGGCAGCGCCCGTGGCTGTTGTTCCATCGATCGGAGCACCGCAGTTGTGGCAGAGAATTCTGTGGACAACGAGTCTCAGCATCGTATCTTTCACCGGATATCATGGAGGGGCTGTCTGTCGCAAGAAGACGACGAAGCGACGAAGTTCGTCGGCAGACAAGCCGTGGGGAACTGCAGGAAATAACTTACGTTGCTGCCGTGTGCATCTGCTGCGACACTGGCGCAATGGAAATGGCATCATCCAGGTCCATAGACATCTTGTTTGATGAGGCCAATGGCGATATGGTGTGTGTTTTTGGTATGGAGATGGATTAACCAGGCGGACTCGCCGCTGATACAATTATGGACGAAGAAAGTTCGAAAAATATTTTGCCCCGCTGCTTGATAAGCGACCTGGTTGGGCTTATCGCTGGCAATTTTGCCTGCAACGCTTGTTGCCGGATCTGTCATAGTGGGCTTACAGCAGTGAGTCAGTACCTAGCGTGGGCATTTCTACAGCATTCAGGTTTCATGGAGGGATAGAAGGCAGATATCGGACAACAGCATCGCTTTTCAACGGTTAATTTCGAAATACATTTGGGCTTGACAACTATTATGCTTGGCTTTGTATGATTCAAAAAGTTCTATATGTACATACACCCGATGCAAGGAACGAGAACAAAAGACGGTTACCCTGATTGAATCCAACAGCTAAAAGATCTTGCTCAGCACTCTGCTCACCCGCTCCGGTTCCGCGGTGGTATCCTCGCCCTTGGTGATCTTGGGTATCTGTTTGAAGGTCCGCACGCTTGCCTTCGGCTCCTCGCCCTCCGCCGCGTCGCTCGCCTTCCTCTTCTTCGCCTTCGCCTTCGCTTCGATACCGTTCAGCATCTTGGCCTTCTCGACGTTCCGGACGAAGAGCTTGTTCTCCCGTGTCGTCTTGCTGATTTCGGCCCTCATGCGACTTGATCTCTCGGCATCCTCGGCGGCAATCTGCTCCGTCAAGTTGTGCCATTTGAAGCCCTTGAGATAGAGCAGGTTCCATATATCGTCGTGGTAGTAGCTCCCCTTCTTGCCTCCGATTGGCCGCGCGTTCAGAAGCTCGCACACAGCCTTTGCGTCCTTTTTCTTGACAAACTCCACCCAGCCCTCGGTAAATGTCTTCTTCTTGTTGCCGCCTCCCTTGACACGCCGCGCTCGTGCGATTGGGTCTTCGGGAGCGAGGAATATTCTGTTGATGGCTCCATAAGGAGAGAGGAGAGAGCGCAGCTTGTTCGGTTTCATGAATGGCGGCACGCGCGAGATGTATACGACGCCGGATTTCCTGATTGCTTCGTCTGTCGCGACAAGGTTTTTCTTCGTCAACGGCCGGGCAACACCAGGCAAGTCTTTGGCCCTCAGCTTCTTTGCCTTCTTCTTGCCGCTATCTCCTTCGCCTCTTGTGGACTCTCCATCTTCCTTCGGTTTTTCTGAGGCCTCCTTCTCATCATCGCTGTCGTCTTGTTCCTTGTCGCTCAATTCAGCATCGTCGTCCTCATCGTCGCTGCTAATCTTCCGTCTCTTAGGACCGCGGCCACCCTTCTTCACTTCGTCATCCGAGTCGTAGGTGTTCAAACGCTCGTCTTCGCTGTCGGACGCATCCAAGAAATCGTTGGCCTTTGTGGCAGCCATTGTGTTGTGTCGCTTTTTCGTGAAGAATTGCCACCAACTTGATACTACAGTATGGGCGCAACTCGGCTCAGAGCTCAGCAGGTGGCTGCAGCGAGAAGAAAAAGTTCCTTATCGATAGAGCATTGGTGTATTGCATTTATCGGGGTATATGGCTCAAACAGGGAGATGGGCCAACCACTGGTGGGCTGAGCGAGCCTATCTGGTTATGTACCAATAAGCCTAAAGCCATTAGATGGATCAACCGCTCAGGTGGAAAGGAAACGCTATTGGTTTTGAGCCTCTTTCAGAGACCACTCCTACATTTGATCTGGTCCAGTTCAACGAGGCTTTACTCATCATTTGCCTCATCGAACGTGCCAAGTTCATCTTTTATTTACGGACACTCTTTATTGTATATCCAATTACCGGGTAGGTACCTTAGCTTTTGAAGACAGGCGCGCACTACCTATCCAGTAACAAAACGTCTCTGGCGTAACTGAGATGGATATGGCGGGGCAACGATATCGGTGACGTGGGGCAAGTGATGATCGGGCAAGAGCGGCCTTGAGACCGGTATTACAACTTCCCCTCTCCCTCTCCTCTCCTTTCAGGTTTCACATCCTTCATTCTCCTCTCTTCGTAATTTGAACCCTCGAAATATCGTTCAAGCAAATAGAATCACGGTCAAATCAAGAAGCACACGCAAAGATGTCTGTCGAGGTGATCAAGACCATCTCCCCAAACACCAACGAGGTGGTCATCACTCGCAATGGCGCCTCGGCTGCCGACCTGGAGCTGCTCCCCAAGGTCGCCACCGAAGCCTTTCTGGAATTCCGCAAAACGACGCTCAAGGATAGGCAAGACATTGTCCGCAGGTTCCTCGACGCATTGGACAAGCACAAGGACGACCTCGCCCTGGAACTGACCACTCAGATGGGCCGCCCCATCGCTTATACGGCGAAAGAAGTCGCAACGGCCATCAAAAGGGCGGAGTATCTCCTGAAACTCAGCAACGAGGTCTTACAGGATGTCGAAGGTGAACCCGAGAAAGGATTCAAGCGTTTCATCCGGAGAGCACCCGTCGGCCCTGTTCTCATCATCTTTGCCTGGAATGTAAGCAGAACCACTGCCCTGTGCCAGCCACTGCTACACGCGTGCTATCTCTCTTTGTCTCTCTCTCTCTTAATTTCCTCTTATTAACCCATCTATGTCTCAAAGTATCCTTATTTGATCCTCGTCAACGCACTGATTCCAGCGATCTTGGCCGGAAACAGTGTGATTCTGAAGCCATCGCCGCAGACGCCAACTGTTGTAGAACAAGTGGCCAAGCTCTTCTCAGAGGCCGGCCTGCCCAACGGCGTTCTGCAATATTTTCACTGCGGATCCCCTAGTCTCATGGAGACTATTGTTCGAGACCCCAGGGTTTCGCTCATCTGTTTCACGGGATCCGTCGCTGGCGGCTTAGCCGTGCAACAAGCCGCCGCAGACAGGATCGTCAACGTGACCCTCGAACTAGGCGGCAAGGATCCCGCATACATCAGAGACGATGTAGACATCGACTGGGCCGCCGAAGAGATTGTCGACGGCGCCATCTTCAACTCTGGCCAAAGCTGCTGCTCCATTGAACGAGTCTATGTACATGAAAAGGTGCACGATGACTTCGTCGCGGCCGTTCAGAAGGTGCTGAAGGGATACAAGCTGGGAGACCCCTTCGACAAGTCGACCCATATTGGACCAGTCGTTTCAAAGCGCTCCAAGGAAACAATAGAGTCACACATTCAGGACGCTCTGAAAAAGGGAGCCAAGGATGTGACGCCGGAAAATGAAAGCTTCCAAAACCCTCCACCCAAGGGCAACTTTGTGAAACCAACCCTATTGACGGGTGTGGATCACACAATGACGGTTATGACGGAAGAGACATTTGGGCCTGTGATTCCAGTGATGAAGGTAAAGGGCGACGACGAAGCCGTGAAGCTGATGAACGACAGCGAGTTTGGACTCACGGCTAGTATCTGGACCAAGGACGTTGATCGAGGCTACGAGCTATGTGAGCAGGTTGACGCCGGCACCGTCTTTGTCAACCGCTGCGATTACCCCAGCCCGGTAAGTCAACGACGACGCGTGCACCCCGTTAATAACATCGCATCCCTCCCCTCTTCCTCTCCCTTAGTTGGCCCGTGGTCACATCGCGCCCGCCCAGCCAGCGGCTTTGGGAGTCGTTCGCCCCGTCGGGAGCCATTATTGTTCAATCATTCAATCGCATACGACCCATGTGCTAACTGTACCACCAACCGATAGGACCTCGCATGGACAGGATGGAAGAACTCGGGCAGAGGTCAGACTCTTGGCAGATTTGGCTTCGATGCTTTCGTCAAGTCCAAGAGCTTTCACATCAAGGACTATCCCAAATAAGCGTCAGACGAGCGCCCTGTGGCTCTGATGTTTAATTTAAATCAGGTACATGAAGAAAGAACCTTGAAAAGCAAAGACCGTTCCCATCACCGAATTGAATCTAGTGCCAGCTGTGCCTCCGCACCAGCCCCAAAGATTAGCGAGAGATCTCCCTTTGGGCTCCTTTGAGCGTCGAAGCGTTGGGTCTGTGATTGGCTCGCCCGCGCGACGAATAACGCGAGGATATTAGACTTCACTACCTTATATCAGACAAGGGTTTCCCATGTTTCATGGCTCCAAGGTTCGATTTCGATTCCTGGCGAGGGAACACGGCAGCATCTCACGTTGTGCATGCATGTGCATGCAGACGCGGGCGATTTTCCCCACCGCGGCCTGCAAATCGAAGCCCAGGTCCCAGCCAGAGACGAACGGGAAGCCGTGTTGATATGAAACAAAAATCGTCGTCAAGGCAAGGAGGCTGTGAGGCTGGCGGATCGGCCAAGCCGCCGGTCGACCCCATTCGTTCTTTGCGGGAAAGGAAGCAAACAAAGGCCGTGCACGTCCTCTCGCTGCTCCGCCCGTTGCTCCGCCCGTGACATGACGGCCTCATGTCGTTGTCGCCGCGCTCGCCTACCGACAGCTCATTAATCTGGAGAATGCCACGGCATACGGGGTGCTGCGGCAGGGTGCCGACATCTGGAATGCCAATTCAGGCCTCACGCATTCCACCCGGAGCCGTGAGCGAATGCACAGGTTTTGCCTCTAGCCGGCATGTGAGACAGCAAATCTGCAGGCAGGCATCTGTTGCTCTCCTGCTGCCCTAGTGTTGTTGCACTCTGCGCGGCCGCGTGCGAGCGTGTGTGAGTGTGTCTAATGAGACCCCGTGTCGACAGAGGCCCATGAGCGGCACCGACCGAAGGGCTGTCGAATCATGGTGCTGAGACACGCATAGATGCCGATGCGAGGTGATGGATATATATCTGGCCAGCGCCGCATCCGTCGGCAACGTGCTGGGTTTGTGATTCTCAAGCCCGTCACCTCCATTCATTCTGCATCCAGGCCGCTCGGAGCCTCATACGCACCAGCCCACACACTCATTCACCCCCTGTCATTCCTTCTCTCGTCCCTTTGCTCCCCTTGTCTTTCCTTCGGCAGTGTGCAGCGACAGCCGCATTTAATTGTTTGTTCGTTCTTGTGTGTCTTGCTTGTATTCTCGCAGTTCTTCTCTCAGTCCTCTCTCTCCTTCTGTTCTAATTGAAAAAGCCCACTTCGTCTCGACCCAATCGCTCGGATCTTCATCGAACTGGTTCCTCCTTGCACCAACAACAACACTGAACCAACAACATCCGGTAGAGCAAAAGAGAGGAATACGGAGCCACCGCACACGCACTTTTTCTCTCATCTATTTTCCTTTTTCTATTTTTATCATTGTAATTACGGCGACAAGTTGTGAAGCAAACTTGTGCCTATTCAATTACACAAACAGCCACTCCTGTCGACGTCTTCTTATCCTCTCTTTATTCTCAGCCTTCCTTTTCTTGTCATTGATCTACATCCACCAAAAATTACTCTTCAGTCGGTCTAGCGTTCATCTTCGGTTATCATAATCATTTCTTCTCCGTCGTTTCAGTTTCGTTCCTCCATCTAGTCAGCAACTTCGTCTTTCCTTCAACCAATGGCGCAGTTGCCGAGAAGTGTTTCGCTGCTCAACCTGGACACCGAGAGCATCAGTGGCTATTCCAACACGACACACGCAACCTCCGACATGCGGCTCAGGAACAACGTCCGGACTCTGTATGAACGCATGCAGCAGGCTTTACGCCATGGCAGGCGGAAGCCGAGACGCGGGTTAGAGATTGTACGTTCTATGTGACCTATGCCTCACCTTACGAGCGAGCTTCTGACTAACGTCTGTTCCTGTAGTCTTCCCCTTTTGGGCTCAAGAAGGAACCTGTTCTGCTTCCTGGAATCTCTCAGGAAGAGTGAGTTAGCCCAAGATGATCTTACGTATCTGCACTGCATGCTAACGATTTGCTCGACATAGACTGAGCATACTTCGAGAGAAGGCTGCCGCTAGTCAGATCGGTATTGCTGAGGATTCCATGTATATCGACCCAACGGCCAGCCTGCCGCGATCACTCCGTTCCCGATCCCCTTACCGAAGCCCTTCGCCTTTCTCCATTGCCTCTGCCAAGGAGCAACAGTCCAATTGACCGAATTACTGGACGCAAATCTCATGAACGACACCACAATATCACCATATCCATGACTGAGGACTGAACGGATATTATTATTACTATCTTTTTATTACTGATGCTTTTCCTTCACTCTTTGCTCTTTAATTTCGCCCTTTTCTTCTACTTTTACTTTTCCTTTCTCTCGGCTTTGCTTTTTTGGCGCGGTGAATAAGGGGCGAAACAGACTGGCTAGATGGTACGGACTGGTTGGGACCTGGAACGGACGCTTAATATGGATTACTACAGGATAGATTGGACAGGACCGGCGAGGGATTAACGGGAAAACATAGACACTTACTATTACAATGGCGATCCCGTTTGCTCGCGACGAGGAAAACAACAACAGGGAAACACAAACAGACTTAATTCGGTAATGATGGATGCAAAGGGGGTTCGGGCGGCGGGAAAGGGGGGAAACAGCGGGAGTCAAGGCGGAATTCGCTTTTACTACGACCTTACACTAGGTAGCTACTAGAATTGATGCAAATTGATGCAGGAGAAGAGCACTCTGAGGCATTCTCTACCCACCTACATTGGAATGAGTCGTGTGGTTCTGGATGTTTTGACTGTGATTCTATGCACTGTTGATTACCTTGTGGATTCTTGGTACTGCGTGTAACCGAGGATATCGTTAGCTCCCGTTTGTGCGAGCGTTTCATTTCGCTGTGGTTTTTTCTCTTGGGGGGTTCTGGAAGTGGCACGTTGGCTTCTTTTCTTTTTCGTTTTTCTGTAATGAGATGATGCTTCGCTTATGACAAGGTGATGCAAGCCGAATTGAGTCGCTTAACGTGAATACGACAACGTATCATTAAGAAATTCCTGGCCGACTTGGAAAAAAAAAATGTATGATGTATTCTGGATGGAATAATAAGTCTATGTATTAATCTGCTATTTTGTGTTAGAAAGTAGTAATCTCTTCTCCTTCTTTGATACCTTTGGGGGGCACGGACGGACAATTGAAATGACCTCCAAGCAAGCCTTTGCCAGGGGATATTAGACCACCCCGCCGATCCGAAGCAAAAGCCGGGAAAGGAAAAAATGTAGAAGAAGAAGAAGAAAAGAAGAAGAAAGAGCGAAAAAAGAAAAGCTACAGCCACCCGTCGTACACGTCCAAGCTCTCCTGGCGAACCCCCTCCATCTCCCCCTTGACCCCCAAGAGCTTCACTTTTGCGTCCTTTTCGCGGCTCCAGGCGGCGAGGAAGTCCTGCACGCGGGCCAGCGTCTCGTCGTCGTCGCGCATCAGCAGGGCCAGCGCGTCGAAGCCGCCGGCGCCGGGCACCACGCCGCCGTAGACGCCGTCGAGGGCGCTGATGGCGTCGAGGAGCTCGGTCTGGGAGTCCGGCTCGATGGGGACGTCGGCCTCGCGTCCCATCTGGCGGATCAGCTCGCGGACCTGGCGCAGCTTGTCGGGGAGCTGGTCGAGGTCGCCGGCCTTGAGGGTGGCTGCCAGGGCGTCGTTCCTGGCCTGGAGGTCGTTCCAGAGGGCGGTCGAGTGCTGCTCGTCCTGGGCGCGCCAGGAGAGGACTTTCTTCACCATGCTGACGGTCTGGCTGCCGCAGTCGACGTCGCACATGCGCAGGACGACGCCCGGTGGCAGGCTGACGCCGTCGTCTTGGACCTCGACGTCCCACTGATCGCCATCGACGACGGCGAGGAGCTTGTCGCTGAAGCCGGGGGCGCCGGGCTCAGGCAGCGCGCTCAGGATGCCGGGGGAGAACCTGCGGTACGTGCAGGACCCGTACACGGCGGCCGCGACATCGAAGCCCGAGCCGACCTTGCCCTGGGCGGCGCAGTGCGCGGCCTGGGCGAGGTTGTGAAGCGTCCTCTTGCCCTTGGCGGAGGAGAGGTCGAAGACGCTGGAGGGCAGGTAGTGGGTGAGCAAGGAGGCGGTTAAGGAGGTGACGAGTGCGGCTGAGGAGCCGAGGCCCGTCTTGTTGGCGCCCTGGAGGGTGACGGGGAACTTGGCGAAGCGGCCGGAGGAGGACGCGTGAGAGTGGGAATAGTAGTCGTTGTCGGCAAGGATGATGAGACGTGAAGATTTGATGGCATTGCGGGAGCGCGTGGACGACACGAGGGCGTCGATGTAGGTCAGGGCGTAGCTCAGCGTGGTCTCGACGAAAGGGTTGGCCGAGATGGTGGGACCGCTGAGATGAGGTACCAAGACACGGCAGGTGTTAGTAAACAGGGCTGCGTCAAATCAAAAAGAAGCAAGAAAGAGATGAAGAACTCCGAAGAATGCATGCCTTGAAGGACAAGGCAAGAAAAGCTCGCGTAAATTGAGTTGAGAGACACTTGTCTCATTGAGGTGAGGGAAACTCAAGGCAGTGGAATTTCAAGGGTCTCTCCTCTCTCGCTCTCTCTCTCTCTCTTTTTTTTTTTTTTTTCTCTTGCTTTTGTCAACTTGTGTCTCGCACTCCCTGAAGACGTAACAAATGGTTTCATTCTTGGAAAGCAGAGACAAACAGGGTCTTCGGCGTCTCCGCCCCGTCTCCATCTCCCACCCTCTCAAACGCGGTCAAATCCATATATAGCAAAAAACAACAAAGCAACAAAAACAACAACAGAGACCAACAAGTCACACATGAAAGAGACAATAAAAAAGAACAATAAAAGGGGTCCAACTCACACCTGCAGCTGAGTAACCTTGATCCCCCCCTTCTCCGGCGCAAGATGGTACCCGTACCGCCACTGCGCGTCCAGGAACTGCGGGCTGTCGACGACAATCTCCCTGAGCTCGACGCCCTCGGCAGTCGCCAGGATCTCGCCCGCGACCACGTTGATGCGCGCGCTCAGGCCCAGCACGAGGCCCGTGTAGGCGCGGTCCAGGACGAGGTAGCCGCCGGCCAGGAGGACTTTGCCGGGGGCGGAGACGGCGACGGAGGCGTTTGCGGTGGGCATTTTTCTTGTCTGTTTTTTTTTTCTCTTGTGTTGATGACGATGTATGTATGCCAATGCTTGTGAGCCGAAAGTTGATAAGAGGCGTATATGTGATGGGAGGCTCAGGAGATGGTGATTATTTCGAAGAATGATATGGGATGTTGATATGAGATATAAGATGAGGCTCCAGCTACCTATCAAAAGGAGAGAGGTTGAAGCAAGGCTGCCGAGTTGACAACAGGCAAAAGAACGCGCTCAATTGAATAGCACCAGCCCGTAAAGGGTATATAACAATGTAGACTGCAGGATTCAGATATACAAGAACAGCCAGAGAAGGTCGGTTGAGAATCACTGCCCAGCCTCGTCTCTTGTTCGTGTTCGTAAAAGTCGAGGGTTGAGGCTGGTTGAGTGACCAACTTGCATCTTGGACGTCGGAAATGTGGAGCGGGGCGATCTCGGTATGCGGCAAGTCTTCACAGTGCAAGTTACTGTATATGTACAGTACAGACACTGTATCAGTATCTCTGTCGGTGTGGTAATAAGGTAATTACTAGTACCTTGCTAGTTGTGACATCTACAACTGCTCTCATTGCTTCGTCATCAATATCACCATGGCACAAGTCGCTTTCTGTTCAAGGGGCATCTCTTTCATAGATTTGCTGCCCTATTGTTTCCTCCTTTATATGCGTCCCAGCTTCTTGATATGATACACGGTAGCAGAAAACCCAGACCAGTCCAGATGTGATAAAGGCACAATTCCCTCCGATCCTTTATGTACCTGACCGTCATGCGATCCCAGATGAACACCCAAAATTCTGCTACTACCGTTTGTGGCCGTGGCTGTTGGCCTATGCCGAGTGGAGATTTGTCTATCAGCGGCTCTCAGAGTCCGCAACCCATCCGTCCTTTCTTCCTCCCCCCCCTGATCCAGAAACCAAAAAAATTGCTTTCTTTTTTTGTATGTGCAAAATGCATTCATAGACTCCATTGCCATCCCCGAGAACGCCATGCCATCCTGTAGCCGTAGACAAAGGGCTGTGTGCTAAACAGGATATAACAGAATGAGAACAAACGCAGAAACACCACGCAGAGCCTCGAATATTAGGACGACACCCCGATAGAAACACCGTCCAACCTGCATGCCAAAGGGGTATCAAAACACGTCGAGGCTTTCAAGTAGAATGAGAATGAAAAAGAACAGAGGAACAAACAAATGAGAAAAAGAAAGCGAGGACAGAAAACAATCGCTTCACAGAAAAGTTGAAAATGAAAGCAGAGTGGATGGAGGATTGAGAATCACTCCAGGCTGACCTCTTGGCCTCCACCGAGAAGCTCGAGGACCTTGTTGACCACGGCACTGGGGTAACCGCGAGTGAGCATCTCTCCCACCACTGCCTTTGCCTCGCCCCTCATCTCAAGGGCGAGGAACGCTCGTGTCATGGCCTCGTACGTGCTGGGTTCGCGCTTCTCACGAGCCACGGCATCGTAAATCGCCCGAGCGTTCTCAATCTTCTTTTCAGCAGCCCAGCCATGGATCAGCGTGTTGGCAATGTATGGAGTAAGCTCCACATGCCTGCTTCGCATTTCCGCCAAGATTGGCTGTGTTTCGGCAACTCGGTGGTTAGCCACCATGGCCTCAAACAGGGCCTGATAGATGCTGGCATTGACAGGAACCAAAGACTCTTCTACGACCGAGTCAAAGACCTTTCGCGCACCGTCCATGTCGTGCAGGACGCAGCCTCTGGCGTGGATGAGCGAAGCGTAGTGGACCGACTCAGGTTGCTGACCAGCCGCGCGCATCTCCTCCAGAACCTTCTCAGCGGCTTCAAGATCGACAGTCTCCAGCGTAGCGTGTGTGTCAATCAGGAGCTTGTAGGTGTGAGAAGTCGGGGCGATGCCCTTGGACATCATACGGTCGTAGTAGGCAAGAACCTTGGACTTGTCTCGCTTTGTCGTCAGGAAGAACTGCATCATGCTGTTGTACGGCGCCGGCCTGGCCTTGTAGTTGGGCATGGACTCCATCTCATCGAAGAGCTCTTCCGCAAATTTCTCGTCACTGACACGGCACAGCGCGTTGACAATGGTGCCGTACGTTACCGAAGTCGGCTTGATGCCAAGCGCTCTCATCTCAGCAAAGTAGAAGAGGCAGTCATCGATGCGGCGAGCCTTGCCCAGCTTACCGATCAGCGCATTGTACAAGAAAGAGCTGGGCTCAACACCCTCGGCCTTGGCGCGGAGGAAGATGCGAACGGCTTCCGAGGCTTCGTCGAACGTCTTGGTCGAATCCTTCAACGTGGTGATGTACAGTCCAAAGGTGTTGGCAGAAGGGGCGGCGCCCATTTCCAGCAGCTCTTGGTGATACTGCTCAGCTCGTCCACGGTTGCCCAGCGTCAGGCAAGCACCAACCATCGCGTCGAGGATTGAAGACCAGCCATAGCGTACGACGGCGTTGTGAGCAATCGGGGGCACATCAGAGCGAGCCATGGCGAGAATATCTTGGCAGAGGTCCATCTTGCTCTCGCGAGCAGCGGCGGAAATCAGCTTCGCATACGTAATGTATCGGGGGTGTCGGCCGGCACGTCGCATGTTTCGGAATCGGTTGAGAGCTTCATTGAGACGAGGACCCTTGCGACCATGGCTGCCCTCCAGGTCATCGGCGATCAAAGAGGAGCCCTTGAAGTCGGTGTTGTGGGCGTACGGGTCATAGTTGTCTTCGTAGCTGGAAACCGTAGGGGTGGACACATAGGGAGAGCTGCTGCGAGCCTGTGAGGGGATTGTTGACATTGGAGAGGCCATCTCACGCGGATCAACGATGCCACGGGATTCCATATAGCGGGCGATGAAGTCGGAACCTTCGTCAATCTCTTCGAGAAGCTGAGCGCGTGCCTCAGACTCAGAAGCTCGGATCCTCTGGAACATCATCTCCGACTGAGCCAAACCCTCGGCAACCTGACCGGAACCAATAAGGGAAACCGCGTACATGGCAGTGGGCTCGATGAAGGCAGCCGTGGCGCGCATCTCGGGGTTTGAGAGGACGTGCCAATACTTGGAAGCCGAAGCAACATCGCCGAGCCGCACACTCATGGCCAGGAGAGCAATCGAAGGGTTAGCAAGGTCCTGAAGGTCCGCTGCCTGGATGTTAGCATAGGCCTCGAGCGCCGTGGGGGCATCGTTGTTGTCGGCAGCCACCGTGGCAATCTTCATCATGGCCGCATCGCGGGTGCTGGTATTGAGGGATTGAGCCCACTGGAGCGCCTCCTGGTAGACGCCTCGCGCGATGAAGCCCTTGATGAATCCGAGGTCAACCAGGGCATCCTTCATGTCGGTGACGGAGACGCCATATTCGTCCACAATCTTCTTGAAGAACTTCATGGCACCCTCAATCTTGTCGGAGATGACATAGGCGTTGATGACCGAAGCATATACCTGGGCATCGAGTCGGTCTTCAAGGGTCGAGCTCCCAGCGTCGTGAGAGATGGCGAGGCTGCGGTACTCGTTGTAGCACTCCACAGCGCTGATGAGGTTTCCAGACTTGGCATACGCAGTGATCATGGTAGGAAAGACGTCGGCAGAGGGCACAATCTCACTGAGCTCCATATGCTCATAAAATCGCAGCATGTCCGACACTCGGCCAACCTGAGCACAGGCAGCAATCAGTTGTCGGTAGGTCTCGGCTGAATAAGAAATCATGCCTGCGTCATAGGACATGTCAAACAGCTTGACGGCCAGGTCGAGACGTTCATCCTCGCACAAGATGGCGTGCTCCAGCTCGTGGGAGGCAAACATGAACTTGCCGGGTTCATCCATTCCGCCAAACCGCAGACGCTTGTCCTCGAGAAGTGACTTCATTTCTGAGACTTCCAGGGACCGCGTAGAAAGAAGGTTGACGAGGATGTTGTAAGTCTGGCCATCAGGAGACACCCTGCGGCGCATCATGTCGGCATAAACATCCAGTGCCTTGGAGACGACCTCGGTTCTCTGGGTAGGAAGGTGAATTGCGGCCAGCAGCAGAGCGTTGTAGGCACTGGCAATGGGCTGGACGCCCGTGGCCAGCATGGCCTCGAAAACGGCCGGAATCTCCGCATACCGAGAAGCGTCGGACAGCTTCTCCAAGTGGTCGGCATACGACTGAGACTGGGCCTGGATGGACGGCGAACCAGTGCGGGCGTCTTCATCTGTGACTTGCGATGTTTCGATCGCAGGTACAGGTGTGCGCGCACGCGAGGGAGGGGCAGAGAGAGACAGCCCTCTAGCGGCAGCTTCTTCTACAGCCGCCTGGAGGTTCCGCGCTTGGATCTCCTTTTCGAGTGCCGCGTCGATGTGTGCAAGCGCTGCTTCCTCCTCCGGAGTCATCAGATGTTGAGATTCCTCAACCTCTTGGATAGTCTCCATTGCCGGAGCAGCGCTCTGCTCGGCGGCCTCTGCGCTGGCCTCGACTCCATTTTCGCCAGCGAGGACTGACGACGCATTGGGCTTCCACTCAATGCGCTTGGGAAAGTCGAACTGTGTCCATTCCTTCTCTTCCTCCTCCCCGGTGGCCTGCTGCTTCTGCAGAGCCTCGAAGTAGGCATCTAAGCCTCCATGATTCGAGACATGGCGGTGGTCGACCGGGAGCCCGGCTGATGCCTTTTCGCTCTGTAAAGCGGAATAAAGAGGGAAAGCCGAGGCACGAGTGGACCGGTTCGAGAGTCGGCGAAAGACGGGGCGGTTCTGCGAGTTGAGAACGTGAGGATGAGTAGCAGCTACGACGGATTGCGCGTAGCCGTGGGCGGTAACGGATTTGGCGAATGTAGATCCTTGACGGATAAAATTCGAGTACAGCGAGGAGTAGATGGGCATTTAGAAGGCGGGAGGATGAGACTATACGAGACGGACGTGTTAGTGGTCAATGTCGCATAGTAATGAACTGCCCAAGACGACGATGAGTCGGGTCGCCAAGGCTGTCTCTGGCACTGCAGTAAAGACACATCTCGACGACAAGCTTCACCAGACGGAGAAACAAGCCATGCGACAATGGTCAAGTCGCCGTTGTGCGCACAAGCAAACAAGCCTAGGTGGAGGGCTATGTTGGGACCGGACTTACGGGGAGGAAAAAGATAGTGGGCGATTGCAGGTTCATTTGACAGCCGAGGAAGCCGTCAAACAAACGCGCTGTTTGAAGGGAAGAATGGTTGGGTAAAGAGAACAGGAAGAATGGGAAAGAAAAGAAAGAAAAAGATCCCAAAAATCGAGAACCGGAACGAAAAGAAAGGAACCGGCCTCGACTATCTTGTGTATTTTCTTCGTGTCGTTTGTGTGCGCTGACTGGAGAGGTAGGAAAAAAACCAGAGAGAGGGAAGAAATAGAGCCGGGAGAGAAAAAAATTGGCGGGGGTCCGCGCCGGCCTTATTGTCTCGGCCCAGGCGCTGAAGGAAGCCGTCCGGTGGCTTGGAGCAGAAGGAGGCCGCTAAACGGGACCAGCGACAGCTACGTAAACAGCGGGTGGAGGCGTTGAAGGCCGCCTAGAAGGTGAGGGCTGCCACAGGTGCAGTGCAGTGCTGTGCTAAGGCGGACTAGCGCGCTGGGAACTGGACACTCTGTCGACGACTTCGGGATTCGATGCTATGGGTGGGATCGGGAGGCACGAGAAGATGACTCAGGCTGAATGACAGGCGGTGCCGATATCAAGTTTTTTCTTTTTTCTTCTTCTTTTGTTTGAGCTGTGAGTGGTTTTCGTTCTTGTTGCTGCATGCTTGGTAATGCAGGCCTGTCTTCAAGCCAATGCGATGTGATGGCATATCATGCAGTACCTTGTACTTGGACTTGGCCTGCAGATGCCGCTACTGCTGCAACGTCTTTACGAGCTATCGCGGTTGGACAGATGAAGGATTTCACAACCCAAGTCAATGAAAGGACGTGCATTGCCTCTCGTCTTGTCTGTATGGTACTTCTCATTTCCCTTACTCCATCAGGGCAAATTCAGACCGAGACGACGGCAAATAGCATCAGCTAGAACGCAACGGAAGCCTTCATTTCCTATCCGTGTCCCCTCGAGTCATCGCGTGCGTCATAGCCAAATGCCATCTAATACAGTGCACGCATCTTCTCAGAAGTCTGGGGTCTGCAACTTCACACACGACACCTCAAGAGCCGAGCGGAGCCTTACCCAAATCTGCCTCATCCCGCCCACTCAGAGGAAGGAAAAAAGAACCGAGAACCGTAACATTTCTCTCTGTATGCACATACTACCTCTACTAGGTACCTAGGCGGCAAAAGGCATGCGCGTCCCACCAGCAAGTAAAAAAGTCGAGAGATGAGCAAAAGTTGAAAATTGAAGCTGACGCCTGCGTCTTGATTGGCCGCGGCGAGAACAAACCGGCTCCCATTCGCTGGGACTCCTTGTCCGAGCCGTGGGGATCCAAGGGAGAAGCCGGAACCGTCGGCGGTCCCTGGAGATGCTCCTTAGGCTTGCAAGGGCTCAGGTAGGTTCAATGTTAGGGTCCGGCTGCTCAAGGCGCGAGATGGGGGCCTCCATTGCTCCAGTAGGCCGAGAGGCTGAAGCCCTTCAGCCCGGGACGGCTTTCCTGTGTCTCCGTCCGAGGCGGGCTTGTGGCTCAGGCTTCATCATGGAGTCGCATCGCCAACACGGGTATCTGCAAAGGATTGATCCGGCGTCGTCTTTCTGATATCATCACTGGCATTCAACATGCAGGTTTCTGACAACCACTACCACAACCAGGCAACACGGATGGTTTAATTCCCTCAGCCGCATCCTCCCAAACAATTGATGCAGCAGGATTACGTGGGCTTCGACCTCTGGAGTGTGCGAGATAGTCCTCTTCATGTGCGTCGCAGTAGTCAAAAGACACACGAGGACTATATCCGTGATAGGCAGCCCGCAACGATTACGCACATGCGGGCTGGCTGCGACGCTCTTCATATCAATCAGTATTAGTCTCCGGATCTCGAGGCACGGCTAGCTGTCCCGAATAGTATGCAGAGACGCAGTGTCGGACAACTCAAGAACCCGACACCAGCGGTTTGTGGGTGTGTTGTGTTATTAGCGATGATGGCGGTTCATCCACCAAGCATCGAGCCCCCCCTACGGGAGTCGGGGCATCATACATTGTTACCATCACAAGGAGATTGCCTCTGGTAGGTAGGAGCTAACGGTACTTCGTATGTGTATTCAAGGCGGTGCGCACCGTCTCACACGATTACCTCAGGTGAATTGCAGTCTTTGCCATCGGTCTGTGCCACTTCCACTACCGTCTACTATCGGTGGCGATAGGTTTAGAGAACGCCTCATTCGTTTTATTCTGTCATACTAACAAGCCACCTCTCTCATCCCCACAGTCAAGCACCTTTCTAGAAGGAGGCTTTTCGCCATAGCAACTTGATTTCCCTCTTGGTCGCGAACCCTAAACTGAATCCCGTCCCGTAACGTGGATCCCTTTTCAAGGTCCTTTGCGATCCGCCTAGAAAATGTGCCCCGTCACATGGCCGGGTCTCGACGAAAAAACCGTCCCGTCAGCACCCGTACAGTACAAATTGATGGCTGCTGTAAGGTAGCTCACGGCTCGGATGCCACGGACAAAGGACTTGCATCTCCGAGCCGCTCGGCATATTATCTGTGTATCACTGGCCAACCTCTCCGTTACTCTGTTCGTTATTTCCGTGACCTGTTACGAGCATAGTACAGCCTCCAGAGTAAAATTGAAGCTTCGTCTTAGAAACGGGTTTGCCTCACCCCCGGACCTTCTCATCAATAGCCGAGTACGTCTGCTTCATAGTCTATGGCATAGCTCATTCATCTGCTTCAGGCGTAGTCTCCTCTTCGCCTTCTAAGTGTCGAGAAATACAGTGCCATCGAACCGCAAGCTTGCATTTTCAAGCTTGGTCCGTAAACCCTGCTGGACCAGCCGCTCGGTGTTTTCTTCTACGCTCTCCTCCAGCTGCTCCAACGTCTCCTTTACCTCCTCTTGCAATTCCTCTAGTGCTCTTTCGGCATCCAACTCGACTTCCTTCAGCTTCTCCTCACAGTCGAATTTCATGCCCAGTGTGCAGTCCTCAATCTGCTCGTGTATCTCCTCAAAGATCTCCGTTCTCTCTTCTGTGCCGAAGCGACAAGGGCTATAGTTGGACTCGATTGCACCCAACACGTTGCTTTCCAACTCTTCGAAGCGGCTTTCCATACCGTCTAATCGGTTGTCCAACTGTCCAAAGTGGCCTACCATACCGTGCAGTCGGCCTTCCATACTGTCTAACCGGCCTTCCATGCTATCTAGCCGGCTCTCCATTCTGCTGATGCTTGTGTACATGGATTCGAGAAGAAGTAGCATGCGTTCATGTGGTGCAGGAGAGCGCGGCCTGCTGGGACTGGAATCCTTGCGCTGGCGTTTTACTGAAGGTTTCGTCGGTTAGGCTTTGAAAAAGGCACAAACGTCTGATGTGATTGAAGCAGGCTGTGATGACACTTACGAGACGCTTGGCTACTTGCCGATGCAGTATATGCAGGCAAGCATGTGTCTTCTGCTTCGTCTGCTTCTCCTGACCTGGCGGCAGCCGCCTTGACGTCAAGGATCTTGCCTCCCCTGCCACCGTACAAGGTGGCAATGCTGGCATATCTCACATTTGAGCGCGGACGATCTGTAGGAGCTGAGAAGAGATGGACGATTCGCTCCAAGGGTGGTAGTATTGGCATAGTCATGAGCGAGTGATTCAACTGGATGGTGAAAGCGGTGACTTCGGCCAGAGAGTGCATCAAACCAAACAGACCTTTGATCTGCGGCTTACATTGTAGGACGTTGTTGGCTGGTACGATCAGAGACGGAGGTCGCGTCAAAGAGAACTGAAGGGAATAGGAGGGAGCAAGCAAATCAACGTTGGACTTCAACGTGAGAGTCCGAATTGTCTCAGGGTATATAAACAAATAAACAGTATGGATTTTGTTGCTTTTGTTGCCTTTGGTGCCTTTGAAACGGACGTCGCAGTGCAATTTGAACATCGCCGTGTTGGTCGAAGCATCCGAGTACATATCAAGGTTGACGTGATCGCTGTGTTGCGCTCGGTCGTCCACATCCCTCCACGTCACTTTGTTCTTCAAGCAGGATATGTTGATCTCTGAAGCCTGCGTCTTTTCTTCAGGTCTGGCGGAGATCATGGCATTGTCATCGCCGACATCAGCGGCATTGCGTGAGTCATGCGAAGGGGGAGCGTCATGATCTGAAGGCTGATAGTAGTGGCTTGGGCTATCAAAGGTCAGTGACTACACAGCTTAGTGATGCGAGGCGTGTGAACATGATATAAATATAAGGGGAAGACGAAGCCAATGAACAATTCCATCCACTCCACCTCATGGCCGCCATCCCATGACTTAGCGCCGCTGTCAACAGAGATGGAATCTACTTCACCATTTCAACAGGTTATATTGTAACAAGCTTGTTGAATAAATGAAGGAGAGTTCCCATTCTTGCCGACAGAGACAGCCAGTCTATGGAACTCCACTAGTAGAGTGGTACCGCATACCCGGCTGGATATGACAAGAATTGTTGCACTGGAGGGGAAAGCAGTAAACAGTTCCATCCACTCAACCACATGGCCGCCATCCCATAGACTACCGCCACTGCCAACGGAAATAGACAAGGTCTACTTCCACAAGACCCCTCCCATTTTAACAGGCTTCATGTACCCAATGCAGGATAAGGTACACAAGCGTGTTAAGTATGTAAAGGATAATTTTTCCGGTCTTGTTTGACAGAGACAGCCAGTCTATAAAACTCCACTGAGTCGAGAGGTACCGCATATCCGGATGGATATGACAAGAACTGTTGCACTGGGTGAAGTGTAGTCGAAGGGAAAGGGGGGTCAAGGGGGCTCTCAGTTGGGAGTGAACAGTTCCATCCGGTCAAGCCTCATCGCTGCCACCTCGTAGAGAGTGTCGGCGTGCTTGACGATAACAGAGATCTAAACCTCAACAGAGTCTCGCGATACACCTCAATGATCCCGGCTGGGCGGACAGGAACTGTTGCACTGACCCAGGCGAAGAAAAAGGCTGGGTCGCTTCATCGTCGGGATCTGTGTCGGGGATGCGTGTCATCGTATCGTCAATCGGCACTCGCGGAAGGGATCGCAAAGAAAGAGGGAAAATAAACTGGATGATTGAAGTCAAGCGATAAAGGAAGAAAGACCGGAATACAACGCGTTAGTGCATGGCGCAACTGGCGATGGAAGAATGAGTGTGGCGTGGGCGTGGGAACGCCAAACGGATATGAGTGGGTAGTGTGAGATGGGAACAGAAGAGGAGAAGAGAAGAAGAATGGTCAGCAGGCGCTAGATAAGGTATTAAGGAGCTCGCTTTCTGCTTGCTTAGGTCACGGGATACTGAGACACGTCAGAGATGTGATCAGCATTTTTGGCCAATGAGGGAGGCCAACCGACTGCTTAGGCAGCACCTAGTATGAGTGGAGCTTCTTCGCATCGACCCGCACTTATCGCCGATATCTACCCGCTTTATCGATTTTATCTTATCGATAAAGTTTTCTCTCTGAAGCGAAAAAACCAATTGCACTTCGATGGGGTCCGGACCACTCAAAGCTCGAGTTCCAACTTGATCAACCGTCATAGCGACAAGGCCACTCCCACAATGGCTGACGATGGAATGCTTATGAACTTTGAGCTGGGAGGTGGTCCGCTCAAACCGCAAGTCAAGTTCACAGGTGGAAGCTGGAGAGATCGGAAGCGGGCGCAGAAGAGCGCAAAGCTTGGCTCACGTCCGACAGTCGAGAGAGCAGGGCAGGACGAAGACCAGCGATCGGCAAAGCGGCAGAGAGTGGACGGTCACGGACCCGGAAGAAACGCCGAAGGAGATTCGGAACGCGGCGCAGACTTTGCACGAAAGAAGACGGCAGAACATGGCCACGCCCCCGGACAGAAGAAAGGCCCCGGGTCAGGGTCCCGCCAGGTCGTCTCACGCCTGTTTTCCTTCAACCCGGAGCAGAAGACAACTTTCGAAGACGAGCCCGAGTGGAAGGAACCAGAGCCGACTAATGCGCCACTGCTGACAGTGGCCAACTTTGGGTCGTTGACGATATCCTCTCGACTCGTGGACGCGCTTGCCAAGATGAACCTCGAGCGCCCAACAGCGATTCAACAGAAAGTGATCCCACACATGCTGTCAAGCAGCTCAGACGCCTTTGTACAGGCCGAGACGGGCTCAGGAAAGACATTCGCCTACCTTCTTCCCATACTGCATCGAGTTCTCCAACTCAGCGGGAGCGGCGATCGGCGGATTCACCGAGACTCGGGTATCTTCGCCATTATTGTTGCGCCGACTCGCGAGCTTGCCAAACAAACACATACGGTGCTAGAGCAGTTGATAAGACCGTTCCCATGGCTGGTCTCCACGGCCATTACCGGAGGAGAGTCCAAGAAGGCGGAGAAAGCCCGTTTGCGGAAGGGAGTCAACTTCTTGGTGGCAACGCCCGGACGATTGGCCGATCACATTGATAATACCAAGGCTCTCAACTTGGGCACTGTCAGATGGCTCATTCTTGACGAAGGAGATCGGCTGATGGACCTGGGGTTCGAAGAGGATTTGAAGAAAGCCATCAATGCTCTCAAGCAAGTGCAGCTTTCAAAGACTCTGTCTTCCGGCGTATCTCTCGACCCACTTCCGGATCGAAGAGTTACCGTCTTGTGTTCTGCCACGATGAAGATGAATGTACAGAAGCTCGGCGAGATGAGTCTTGCTGATGCTACGTTCTTGGCTGCGGAAAAGGGCGATGAGACCGCCGCCGAACAGAAGGATGAACAGGCTGTTCACAAAGCTCCAGCGCAATTGCACCAGTCGCATATCATTGTGCCTGCGAAGCTGAGGCTGGTAACGCTCATAGCGTATCTGAAGTCTGTATTTTCTCGCCGTGGGCAAACGATGAAGGCCATCATTTTCATGTCCTGTGCCGACACCGTCGACTTCCATTACGAACTCCTCAAGATCCCCGACAGCGGTGATGTACCTCCACCAGCATCCAAGGACGCAGAGAATACGTCCAAGACTGTTGCAAAGGCGGCATACATCACCTCCCTGGCAAGCCCCGAGGTAGTGCTTCACAGAATGCATGGGTCTCTCTCACAGCCAGTCCGCACGGCGACGCTGCGATCGTTCTCGGCTTGCAAGTCCCCTTCTCTTCTCATTACCACAGACGTGTCGTCTCGTGGTCTGGATATTCCTTCAGTTGATCTGGTCATTGAATATGATCCTGCTTTCAGCTTTGCCGATCACATCCATCGAATCGGACGAACAGCGCGAGCCGGACGCTCAGGTGATGCAGTTATCTTCCTCCTCCCCGGCACAGAAGAGGGCTATATCGAGCTCCTCAAGGCCTCCGGAACACCGTCACCGCTGTCATACGAATCGGTGCTACAAAAAGGCCTGATGTCTAAGCTGGAGTTTCCAGTTGAGACCACGGCTAAGCCTGAGGATGGGCAGAATTATCACCAGAAAGCTGAAACCTTACAACTTCACTTGGAGCAGCGGCTCCTCATCGATAGCAAACGACTCGAAATGGCGAGGAACGGATTCAAGTCCCACATCAGAGCATATGCGACACATACTCGGGAAGAGCGTGTTCACTTCGACATTACTCAGTTACACTTGGGACATGTCGCGAAAGCCTATGGATTACGTGACCCGCCAGGAGGTATTGGCGCTGGTATAGACCGCAAGGCACAGAAGGGCAGCAAAGACTCAGGAAAGAGGGCTGCGAAGGGGGCCAAGGCCGCGACTAAGAAGGATGATGATGACAGCGATGACAGCGATAAGCAGGAGCCTACGAAGCCGGCGAGGGCTATGCTCATGCGTAAGAGTAGGATGCTCATGAGTGGTGCTAGCGAGTTTAACATTGGATAGCGATGTTTGGGATCTGTCGTCTTTTGCTTTCACTTAGAATACGCTGGGCTCAAAACATGAATACTACCTTAATAATGTCCGTCTCGTGTTACTGCTCAACATCTGGAAGCACCGGGCACTTACTTCGTCTAAAGTATGGTGTTCTAGTCCGCAGAGATACGTACTGTGCGCTTTGAGGATGACCACGAACGGCATCCTTGCGTTTGATCCAGATAAAGGTTTCTTTAATAATTGGCATATACACTGACAAAGAGATATCTCATATCGGGACTCATCTCACCTCCCTGATCAAGAGTCCAGATTAAAACATCGTGCTGTCGAAAGCGATATCAACCTTCTCCTTTCAGATGAGGGTCTCCGGGTCAACGTCGGCGATAACAAAACAGCCGGCCAGCGACTTCCGGCGGGGTGATAAGAAAAGATAAGGGTCCAACTGGCCTTTGCTGCCATTTTCTTTGTGACTCAACCGCAATATCGCATCGGCCGCCCCGCATCTTTCGGGCTTTGATTCTTGCAAGCAAAACCTCCAAAGGCGTCAGGATCACGGACGATCGCGCGTGGTCTGCTCAAGATGGCGACAATCTACATTGACGAGGACGTCGGCAAGGACGAGGTCACCCAGACCGGCACCGAAGAGTCGCCCTACAAGACGCTGCAATTCGCCTATCTCCAGCGTCCCGCCGAGGGCCAGTATCTGACCCGCAAGTCGCAGAACACCGAGGATGTGGCCGCCAAGGAGTGGAAGCCCGTCGCCAAGGCTGCCCTGAAGAAGGCCGTCAACTTCTTCGAGGTTCAGAAGAAGAAGGCGGCTAAGGAGCAGGAGCTGGTCGTCAGGCGCAAGAAGGAGGAGGAGGAGCGGGCCAAGGCTCTCGAGGCGGCCAAGGCGATTGTCATCACCGAGGACCCTAGCCTTCCTGCTGCTGTTCGGATTGGGCTCGACGAGGTCGGCGATCACATCAAGCTGCGCAAGGTGGATGACCCCGAGAGCAAGGGCACCCGCGTGCGCGTCTTTGGTCGCGTGCACCGCGAGCGCAAGCAGAAGGACGTCATGTTTGTCACCCTGCGAGACGGCTATGGCTTCATGCAGGTGGTCATCTCTGGCCAGCTGGCCAAGACGTACGATGCCGTGACTCTCACCCGTGAGACGTCGATGGAAATCCTGGGAGAGATGCGCGAAGTCCCCGCCGGTGCCCGAGCTCCCCTCAACCGCGAGCTGCACGCCGACTTCTTCAAGATCCCCAAGCACTGGAAGGCACCCGGCGGTGATGATGCCATCACCAACCGAGTCCAGGCAGACGCCGAGCAGGCCATGCTTCTTGATCAACGACACCTTACCCTTCGTGGTGAGGTCGCCTCGGGCGTCATGATTGTCCGCGACGCCGTCGAGTACGCCTTCAACCAGGCCTACAAGGAGCTGAGGTTCCGCAAAGTCAGCCCTCCTGCCCTCGTCCAGACTCAGGTCGAAGGTGGTGCGACGCTGTTCAAGTTTGACTACTATGGCGAGGATGCCTACCTCACACAGTCTTCGCAGCTGTACCTGGAGACGTGCTTGCCTTCAATGGGCCACGTCTACTGCATCGAGAAGTCATTCCGAGCCGAAAAGTCCCTGACCCGACGACACTTGTCCGAGTTCACTCACGTCGAGGCTGAGCTTGACTTTATCACCTTTGACGACCTTCTGTCCCACATTGAGCACATCATGTGCCGTGTGCTCGAGCTGGTCATGGCTGACCCTGTCATCGCTGACAAGATCAAGACCATGAACCCAGAGTTCAAGCTCCCCGAGCGGCCATTCATGCGAATGAAGTACTCCGAGGCCATTGACTGGCTCGTCGAGCATGACATTCCCAACGAGGAGGGCAAGCCCCATGCTTTTGGAGACGACATCGCCGAGGCCGCGGAGCGTCGTATGACGGACATTATCAACAAGCCCATCTTCTTGACCCACTTCCCGGCTGAGATCAAGTCCTTCTACATGTCGAAGGACAAGAGCGACCCCCGCGTTACCGAGAGCGTCGACTGCTTGATGCCTGGCGTCGGCGAAATCGTCGGTGGATCGATGAGAATGGACGACTATGAGGAGTTGATGGCCGCGTACAAGCGCGAGGGCATCGAGCCCGAGGCCTACTACTGGTACACTGACCAGCGAAAGTAAGTCACTACGATGCCGCAAAATTCGTGTAGCATTTAGCAAGTTCATCGGCTAACATGTCTCCTCCCCCTCCCCTCTAATCAGGTATGGAAGCTCTCCTCACGGAGGCTACGGCCTGGGCCTGGAGCGATTCCTGGCCTGGCTTTGCAAGCAGCACACCGTTAGAGATTGCTGCCTGTATCCCCGTTACATGCACCGTTGCAAGCCTTAGAGACTAAATCGAGACTTAGACAATGATGTTTACTAGTAGTTATGAGGATATATGAATGAAAGATGAACCTGGCGTTTGGGCCAAACAATCACAAGACCCAAGTCTTTGATGCGTCACGGCATGTGAATGAGGAGATGAAGGAAGCAAGGAAGCATGTGATTTGCCACTTGATAGCCTGGGTTGAATTGAGCCCTCTGCAAGTTGGTGATGAACCCTTCTTCAAGCGACTGCCCTGATGATCGTACCGTAGATCGGGGTCTGCAGAACGCACATGCAGGACACAATGTGGGTTCAACACATTGATGAGTGTAAATCAGGTCCATCACATGTCAAATAAACAAATCCTGAAGTCGAAGCCTGTCAGATGATATAATCTTAGCTGGGGCGAAGATTGATTGTTGAATAGTGTGGGCAGCTAAGTTGACGATACTGTCTGCAGATATGTTGCCACATTCACATGCAGATGCTATTGATCTTTCACATGCGAATTAGAGCATCTGGTTCAATATTTTCGATGGCTGTTGTTATCAGATTGTTCCTTACTTGAGGAGCAGGTAACGATATGTTTAATGCTTAGGGGGAGGGAGATGACAGCTGAAGATTCTTTTGAAACTGGAGCGTGCAAGCAAGTACAAGCAGATTCTCCATATGCGATCCTCAGTATTAATATCTAGCATCGCCATATACATAGAACACCGCTTTGCCGTTCCATCAACAGCAACTTTAGTTCAACCTAGGCACGCCTTCCAGGCACCCCAACAATCAGAACCCCCAACCTCACGCATCCAATAAGCAGCCGTCGACATGATTCTCGAAATCTTGATCGCAGACACACTAAAACGTCATGAACCACAGCAGGTCGTGCTCGCGTACGTAAAATGCTTATGGGAGGATCGTTCTTTGCACGTTGGCTTGACGTCATGCGCCACGATGCCGATCACCAGCATAATGTAGGTAAGCTCAAGGGGGGGAATGAGATGTATTTATATTTGAGGACCCTTTCCTTCTCGAAGCTCTTCTTTTCGAACTGCTACAATCATCTCAGAACAAGATACAACAATCTTGGAAAGTCAGCTTGTTACTATTGACACCAAAGCAACACATCACAACTACCTACACAACAACACAACACAAAACATACAACATGTCCTCAAACGACGACACCACCAAGAAGGCCAACTCCGGCAACGTCACCGACCAGGTCACCGGCACCGCGCAATTCGCCACAAGCGTGCTGGGCAACACAGTCGGCGGCCTGGGCCGCACTGTCGGAGGAGTCGCCGGCGCGGCAACCCGGGGCATAGGGGACACAGTGTCGAGTGTCACCGGCGACGCTGGCCGGCCTGTTGGAGATGCCGTGGGCTCGATTGGAACGGGGTTGGAGAGCGGACTGGGCAGTGTTTCCAAGGGGGTGGAGGATGCTGGGCAGTGGAAGAAGCAGTAAGGAAGGATAGGGGGAGGCTTAAATGAAAGGGCTTGCATGCCCAACTGTATTATTATGATGAGTCAGTCACGAATTTGATCAAAGTATTGTCATATCATGTATTGTCTCTTATGAAGTTTGGCAACAGGTTCCGTAAACTTATCCCACGCAATCCACCGTTTCCAGCCGAACGCAATAACCCTCATAATACACATGACTCCCGTGTAACTCTCCGTTCCCCGCCCATTGCGAGATTTCCACCGTAATGCCAACCTTGCAATTTCATCTGGACCTCGTGTTCCTACGCCGCGAGGAAAGAAGAACGCTATCCCAATAGAGCTGTATACCGTCTGACCCCGTTCAAGCTGGCAATTGTCTGCTTAGACCTGCTCGGCGCCCCAGCCGACCTCGGCCTCTCGCATGTTGCTCGGGGGTTCGATCGAGGGGATGAACTCGAGGGCGACGTAGCTGATGCCAATAATGCCAACAGCACCACCTGCAATCTTACTAATAGCATGGCTGCCGAGGAGAAGGCCTCCAATGAGGATGTAGACTATAAGGCCTTGTCAGGATATTCGGTCACTCCAAATTACCAAGAGGGGTATTTGACAACGTACAGATACCACGGCCGATGAAGGAAAAGAGGAAGTTGGCATATCTCGAGACCTGAGGGGGGATTTGGAATTCTGCAGCTGGGTTAGTATAACACAATTTCGACACGGACGAAATCAAGGAAAGTTCATACCTAGCAGGGCAATAGCAAGGCCAAAGACAATCATGTAGATGCCGAGGATTAGGTTCTGGCTATAGCAGAGAAACGATCAGCATCGTCGGTCGTGATGAGAGTAACCCCAACAAGCAAGCTCCAGCAATGCTGCAGTGTTGCGGCTAAGCAGCGCTTCCAGTCGCATCCAGCGAGCAAGCTTCGAATCGCACAATCCCCCCGAGATAGAGAAAAACCTACAAGCCAACGGGAAAGATGTGGAAAACACCTCCCAAAACCGTGATACCGGCCACGGCCAGGTTAACAATGCGGCTGCAGCGCACCGAGGCGCAAATGTCAGCAAAAATAGCTCAATTGGTTCGCGCAACGAATCGCGCTCTTGCATCGGCGGCATACAAGATGTCGGAAAGTTCCATGGCTATATATTGAGGGACTGATATTGTTAAACGACCCAAGAGCCAATATCAAGGAAGACGGGAGTTGTCGCAAATGCGTGGATTTCGAGTCTCGCCAAAGAGGGGATCGTCGCGCGTGCGCTCTAGGAAAGCAGCTCTGTCTGGTAACAAAAGTCGAAGAGAAGAGGCACTTGATGAATTGGGGACGTCGTTCTATTGTCGATTCAAGGGAGACGGATCACAAGGTCTGGGTTGGTGAGGTTGAAGCTTGCGCAATGCTTCTGCAAACAGCTACCTATCTAAGCAGCAGGCAGATGCCCTGGAGAGGCACAAGGCTGTGGCTGTGCGGTGACGTACTTGGCTCGGGAGTCGCGAAAACTCCGTGAAAACTTCGGCTATTCCATTGCTCCTCAAGCTATCAAGGTACCAAACAATAAGACACATCCTTGATTAGGTAAGGCATGTACCTTATCAACTCGGGAAATTGAAGAGGAAGCTGCAAGTGCCCAACCACTGGAAGGAAGTTGTTGGCCAAGTCTACCACCATCGTGATCTTCTCCCGGCGTAGTCGATCTGAACCTCATCAAGCAACTAAGTTGGGCTCTCTTCTGATCTTACACAAGTGTGAATCTCTCTGCAAGCTTCGAAAAACGGCAGAGATGCGGGACGACCAGTGCCGAAAGGCTTTTATTAGTCGGGCTGCAAGTGCAGAGCGAGGAAACCAGGCCGTTCATTGATGGAAAACATGGGACTCTCGATTCACCACAAAGACGGGGAAAGACGGACGACATACATGAGACGAAGCAGCCAACCTTGGGGACCAGACATCGATTGGACACTCGCCCAGGAAGCTTATGCGAGTCAGAGCGCGTTGGTACGCAACTACCACCAAGTATCCAATCCCACTTCGATGCGTGGTGATGGGTTGTCATTGCCGGTGGCTCTGAGCCGAGCAAATGAGCTATCATATTGCCATCATGAAGTGCATTCACGGACAAAGTACGATGTACAACGCCTCAGCCCAGCTCCGTCTTATCACCAATATTCATGTCAGCTCGTTCCAACCCACACCATACAGTGAGAGGCGTGGTTGCCATAAGAAGCGAGACTACGGGCATCTTCATCGACGCAGGCATTCCCTTCATGCTCTGGTAGACGTAAGTTCGATTTCATCACAGTGTCACAGATGGCTGTCACGCACCGTTTGCGATGGCTCTCACACACACACGAGAAGCACCACGTCACTTGACGTTGGCAGCAGAGAGGAAGCAAGTTCTTCTAGAGCAAAGGATGCGAGTTGGTGGGAAATGCTCGACTGAGACAGGCCAGGGACAAAACCCGGTTGAAGTGGTGGCCGAAGGCACTAGCTCTCCGCAAAAAAAAGCAAGCAAGGCGGCAGACGAACAGGGATTGTGAGCGTCTACCTATGAATAGCGACAGTCACATCGTCGAGGCAAGGAAAAGCAGGTGTGTTGCTATTCATCTGTCAAATCATCGGCGATTCGAGCAAGGCCAGCACAAAAGTACACGAGCTAGTCCTCAGCCATTACCGTATGCGACGGCTTCTTGGAGGATTCGACTCTCCCTGCAGCAGTGGTCCTCGTGTCCTCCTTGACCGAGCCGCTTACATGGCCTATTCGAAGCCTTATCACAAAGGCTCTGCATGAAACTGCATGAATAGGGTGGAGATGAGCTCGGGCGAACAGCCACGGATGGAAACTTTACAGCCGCATAGCATAGCGGTGAGTCCAGGCTCCCAGCGGCACCCTCTTTCCAATCATGCTGCTCGCTGCTGGCTTTTGGCTTTCGAACGCAACCGAGCTGCTCATGGGATGCACCCTGCTCGGTTCGGAAGGGCGGGTAGCATTCCACGTGTCCGAAGTCATCACGAAATGGCCCGGAACCCCTCAGAGTGTTTCTGTACCCGCGTGCTGATTTGCAAGAGATATCCTTCAAGAAGTGTCCCCCTGCAGCTCGAACTTCTCCCAGCCACGCATATACCATTCTGAGCGGGCAAGACGAAAATAAAAACAAACTCAGTAGGACGCAGCCTCTACTGCCAAAGGACCGACCAAAGGACCGACCAGGATTTGAGACCGGAGAGAAATGCAGTTGCCCTCACCGGGGACCCTCCCCCAGCGTCCACACATCCTTAGTCGCTCCAATCCGACGCCCCCGGCATTAGTCGGTTCGCCCTCCAACCTATGTACGCGAGAAGCACACCTTGTGCTATCTCTTAGCGGCCTGGGATAAGTCGTTGAAAAGATGGTCTCATGCCTGTTGTTCCCGTTTGGTACTAGGTGTGCTTTTCTGGGCGGCCCTGTGGTGGAGGCGCTTGAATGCCGGGAATCTCCTCTTAGGTTTTTTAAAGCCGATCGTCTCGTGGGCAGATCAGTGGGTACACCACGATGTATTCTGGTTAGGGGGATCTATCTTCGGTTCGAAGCTAATATTCACGTCAGGAGATGCTGTGTACGGCAGCTCCCGCGGCACTAGAACGGGGAACAGTCTGTCTCCGTCTGACCTCCATCGGCTAGGGAACGAGCCCAAGCAGGCTGATGGATACTCGCACGATGGAAGGGAGGAATCGCATACAACCGAAGTGCATGGCGTACTCGATGCCATACTATTATCTGCTGCACTGTTCGGTGTGTTGCACTAGGATGTGTGGATGGACTCTGGGGAGAGTGGCGTGCATCTACGAAGTAGGGGGCGTATGAGGACCAGCACAAGTGAGTGCTCCGCCAAGGCTGCATAAATCCCCTAAGAGATGGCATCTCCCGGACCAGCGTACTCTTCTGAACGGAGTATGGGGTCCAGGGAACTACGGCAAGAGATATCCAATGGTATGTTCACTGTTTATTGCAGTCAAGGGTTTTGCGGTCGCTGATCTCGGCCTTTGTGTACGAACCAGACCTAGTGCGGCTCGGTGCCTAGCCTGGTCAAAGGACGACACGTGCTTCAAGGTGGTATTACATGTACAAGATGGCATGCCGTACGAGTGCGGACGCGGGGCGCGAAGCACCTCGTGTACGAGACGAGCCTGCTAGTATGGAGCACTTACAGATGCATCTGGAGTGTGCAATTACTACCTACAAGTACACATCCATGCAAGGTATGCTCTCCCTGTTCGTCGTTGGGGTATTTTCTCAGCCCATGTAAGGTGCACCTCTCGCAGGAATCCCAATTCTAGACCTCTCCTGTTACGAGAGGCTACTACGGCAGCAAACACGGCACAATTTGGTGGCGTATTTGGTACTTGTCAGCTGAACGAGAAGAGGAAGAGGAAAGAGGGAGGCATTCAGCTCGATACCTCTGCTTCTCAAGGATGACATGGGTTGGTGGACCAGGGGCATCACGCTTGTACGGCTACTGTTGCTTGCTTGACAACCATGAGCATCCCACCAGGTAAATCCCCCTCCAACCCCCCCTGTCACCCAACAGATATCACACACACCCCACGATTCTCAACATCTTAGTAAGAAAACGACCAAAGATAGGCACAGTACGAACAGCGGGGAAGCATCTCGACCAGGAATGCAGAAGCGAGCTCCAGTGGGAGGCAGATTCACAGCCCGGAAGTCGAGGACAGGACCTAGACCACTCTCTGCATGCTGATCGTTTCAGCTGGGTTGCCAAGGCAAGGGCCATGTGATTTGTGCCACGTCAATCGGCCTGTGACAATGAGACTCGTGGCGTACATTAATTAACTGCATGGCAGGGCAGTGGCCGGCACACACGTACGGAGTACTTGCTTGATCCATGTACTTGGTTCGGCGGCAGAATGGCAAAACCTCATGAACTGGTATGTGAGCTCAGGTACTTAAGGAACTGGGCCACACTCTGGATATCCAGCTTCAAACTCCCAAATCTCTCGAGTTTCCGTCTCAAGCTTTCTCAAGTCTACAAAGTCTTTGCAACATCGCACACTACACGCTTTGCAATACCCCGAGAACTTTTTCGTGTCACTCACACCTGCTTCGCAACCTTCCTACATCTTCGGCTTCCAGAATCTCCGAGAACTACTACAAGAAACCACCTGCTGCCACAATGTCTTCCTCGGGCAGCGTGCCGCTTACCCCCATCACCAGCATCGACTCGGCCAACGTCCACCTCGACAAAGTTGTGCCCACGGCAGACCAGAGTGCCTCTGCCTCTGAGTTCAGCAGAACTCACTGGCAGGGGCTCGTCGAAACTGCTCGCTCCATGTCGCTGAGCCATGATACGCTTGATCTGATGGGCCTGGCCAAGCATGGCCCCAAGATGCCCGATGATATGGAGGGAACCACTGAGCTCGCGGGATATGCCAAATGGCATCCCGCAGAGGCCCCAAAGCCAGCGGGCCCTAGCAACGTGTCTCACCCTGTGCGCCTTGGCATCAAACGACGATGGGACCTGATGAAGCATGATCTCACAGAGTGTGAGGTGTCGGACCGCAGCAGCTTCGGCTTCTCGGACAGCGAGTCTAATGGCCTTGCCATCATGTTCCTTGCTTGGTCTTATATCCTCAGTGTCTTCTTGCTTGAAGAGCAGAAAGCCTCCTTCGTCTACGAGGAGGCAGATGCTTCTTCTGGCCCTGAGTTGTCAGCAGCCGGCGAGTACACGGTTGACCTCGGTGACGCCAGCGATGAAGAATATCGCTGGTGGTCAGCCCTCCTTTCTCCGGGTCAAGGGTGGAAGGCTTCCAGCGCCAAGCAGCCGGTGTGGGCTGTCAAGTACACAGGCAACGTCAAGTTTTCCATCAAGAACCCACGCACCGAGCCTTTGTCGCCTGATATCGTGCCTCCCTCCAGCAAGCAAGCAGTTGCCTTCCTTGGTCGATTTGCCGCCATGTACAACCTGGAGGGCCAGGCAAGACTGGCACTTGCAATGGCACTGACCATTCCCCTTCATGACAAGATGATGTCAACGATCAAGCTTCCAAAGCCGCACCTTGTCAAGCTGGAGGATGCTCCTCCACCCTCTTCGCTCATTGACAAAGAATTCCGCCTCCTGTCTTACTACATGGTTCTCAGCTCCAACCCTACCTTCATTGGCTCCGCTCTGTGGTCTGTCTTTTGGGAGCCCGCGATTGAGTGCAACCTAGCCAGCTCTTGGTGCACCCCAATCATTCAAGAGCTTCAACCTCTGATTGAAAGTGAGGACCTGGAGACGCTCGGCCACGTGCTTGCTCAGCGAAGGCCTAGCGTTGCCCCTCTGTGGTATGGCCTGCTTGCCTGTGGTACCACAGACACCGTCTCGGCCATTGTCCCCTTCCTGGAGAAATTGTACACTCATGTGCCGACCAAGTTCATGCCGGAGGTTGCTGTCTGGACCGGTTCTCCTCAGTCCTTCATGGATCTCCCTGGCTCTGGTCCGTACGTGCAGGGAAACAAGGTCTCGCGAGCAGACTTGTGGCGGCTTCGACATGAGTACTGGAACGCTTGGAAGGGCGGCATTCACTTCCGCAATCTGCCCAGCACCCCCTTCCGCCCCTTTGGCGCTGTGGACGTCGAGGAGGTCGAGCTCATGGTGCGAGGCCATCTCCACTGCCAGAGACACGAGTGGGTGTACTCGGGATTCACTTGGACGATGCGTAACCGGATCGAGCTGACCCACGAGCCTCGTGTCTTGACGACCTCTTGGAAACAGTTTGAGGCTGATTCGCTCGATTACACGCCACCTTACGGCGTAGGAGAGCCCGATCCCGAAATGGATTACGGGGCATCAAAGAGAGCCGTTGGCGACATGTTTCGATGGGCTGCAACAGAGATGGATCCCTCTGGTAAGCACATTTACTCTCATGCGTGGGTCGAGATGGATGCACACCTCTCCATGGATTCGGAGAAGAAGGAGAAGCTCAAGGAACCGGTGCGTTTGTCGGAGCTGTCGCTGGACAGAATCAAGGAGTGGGTCGTCAACTCTGGTAAGTGCCCGGATTCACAGCTTCAGTGGTCTACAGCGTCTCCTGATCAAAGCTAACTTGACGTTTTCCCGCTCAGAAGGAGATATTGAGCAATTGCCTGAATTTGGCGAGGCGTCTTGAGTGTACGCTTCTACAGAAGAGTATATGTCTTCTTGCTTATTTTCCTTTGTGTTTCCATGGCTAGGGCGCAACGATTCCAGAAGACATCGGCTAGGCACACAGATTGTTAAGGAAGCCAGCCGGGTACATCACACAGATCCTATTAGAATAGAATCGGCGGGAAGCTAGTATGCTTCCTGGGTAACAGGCAGTATTGGTTATACGCCTGAAGTGAGTTTTGTGTATCTGGTTGCGGGGATTTCCTCACAGATAGTTCGTTCATTACTATGATAGACGTATTCAATCCATTGATTCCACTATGAAAGGTATGTGCGCCTTGCATAAGTTGAAACTTGATGGACTTGCACAAGCTGCCCTTTATTCAGAGGAGAAAGAGAAAGAGAAGAGGACCCAACGTAACACAAGTTAAGCCATCCGTAAGTGGAGGTATCGTATTACTCGAGTGCGAAGGAGAAAACAACTTGAACCTGAATCAACCTACGTACATGGCTTGAGATGACACGCCCAGGTCAAGCAAATAGACGCCTTTGAGTCTCGTCGGATAGACAGGCTTAGGCCTGATCCAGTGCTTTCCATGTAAGTCGCCGGAAGACGACCAAATTGGCTTCATGCGAGACACGGTAGGGGGCGAGGTCTCAGCTTTAGCGCCCTTGTCCTTCATAGAGCGAGTCAATGACATCCATGGCCGATATCCGCGAATTGCCAGGCAAGGTAGGCGTGCCGTGTATGCAGATGAGCTGAGGGAACTTCCGCAACCTGAAGAGGTACCTTGTAAGGTACCTACTGTTACAGCAACAACTGGAGTAAGGTAAGTACTCCGCTTTGGCGCTGTGAGGACCTTCAGGATGGGGCAAGCTAATGCAGGCTGCCGCGCCTCGTGCCTGCCCGTGTGATCGGTGTGAAAGAGGCAAGAACTTTGAGTCTTTTTCTTGGTTTGAAGGTGAAAGGCAACGCAAGGGAGAGAAGAGAGAGAGGAGGCAAGGTGGACCGTGGGTGTTGCCTCTTGAGAGGTCTTTCCGCAATAACACGCCCCCCCTCCCCCTCTCCCCCCTGGCTCTCTCGCTCCGACGTCAAAGCCCGCACTTTGCCGCCGCTGCCTCGAAGCAAGGGATAGCAAAAAGCGAATCAGAATTGAGCAGATCTCGTCTCTTTTGCTCTAGTCGCTTTTCAAGAGGCGTACGAGCCTGGGGAAAAAAAATCCTGCTTGTGTGCTGGCACATGTCTGGCGTATTAGATACCAGGTACCCAGAACGGAAGGGAAAGGGCGACGGAGTGGATCCCCCGGGCGCGGCACAGGATTCCAGATTCCGGCCCCACCCAGGACCAATCATCGCCGGGCCGCTGTCGCTCCTACCCGCATAGCAGCCTCCCTGCGTTGATTCACTCCTTTTGCCCAGCCGCACCTGTCTGCCCAGCCGGCGGTCGATCATTCGCCTTTTTTACCCTGGTCCCAGGTACTTGGATTCCTGAGACCGGCCAACACATTGGTGAGGTGTCGCGAAAAGGTACCTACTGTACCTATGAGGTCAAGTAACTTGTACGGCTCTAATATGACCGAGGCTAGGTAAAGACGGCACAATGCCTTGGCAGCGAAAGGGAGGAAGGCGCCATGAGGGCAGAGACAGGAGCCTGACTGCTATTGGGTTTGTTCGCTGATGGAGCGAGGCTCGAGAATGAGAGACATGGAGAGAGAGAAAGACAAGAGCAAGAGAAACACGACAGATGATCCGTATCTCGGAGACACGACAGGCAAGGCTCCTGTGCTTCCGTGAGCCATCTGTGAGACTTTTTCTCCCTTTCATTTGATTCGGGCGTAGACACAGATTGCATCAGATCTGTCTTTATAATACGACTTTTCCCATCGATTGAACTTTCGTCTTTTTCTTCAAATATCATTATTGTGACTTTCTTCGTCCAGTACCACGGCTTCGAATTTTTACAACAACAATAGTCAATCGAGTTCTCCATCATATTCCAGTACCTATTGCCATCGCAACAGTGGAAGAGACTTCGCCTCAAAAGCAACAGTGATAGCAAAAGCAGCATCTTGTTGGTCAAGGCTATTCCGCACAGCCGCTCTCCCTGACCCTCCAAGAAGCTGATACCGGGCCCAAGCGCACCATGAAGCGATCTCGTGAGAGTTCAGACGCCAGCTGCGGCAGCTCCGATGAGAATCACGTTGCGAAGAGGCGGCAGACTTCAAATGCTCGTTTCGACGTCGAGGTCGTCGCCGATACGACTGGCAACGCGACTGCCAATACGGCTAAGAACAGGATTGCCACTCGCATCATCTTCGTCGACAAAACTGCTACCATAATTGCCGAACGGGTTGATGATACGGCCGACTGCCCCAGCAAAGAAGAGAGAAGGTCGGCTGCTGAGGCCATGCAGCGTTACACGAATTGCGGGATACAGGCCCTCCATATCCAAAGTGTTCAAGATGATACTGCAGCTGCAGCTGCTGCAGCAGAGGATGACGAAGAAAGGAGCACTATTGAAGCCAGTCGTGATGGTGCAAGCACCTGGAATGCAGTTTCCACGGAGACGAGCGCCCTTGATGCAAGCAATGGCCAGCCAAGCACACTTCAGACGTCTCTTCGCTCTACCAGCCCTGGAGCCGCAGCGGAGGCAGACAATAAGGAGAACGATGTTCCTCGGTCACACTTCGAAACCTTTGCTGACTGGGAGGCCTTGCTCAGCAGGAGCAGACGGGAACCCTTTGTGCTCCCCAACTCCGGGGCAGATAGCGAATGCTACGCAATGCCTAGGTCCATGTGTCCCAAGGAGCACAAGAGTGTCCCTTTTAGAGATCCCTCGTGGCTATACGAATTCAATCGTTGTGGAACGTATGTGAGCGAACATCCACGCGGCCTTCGCTCAGAGGCTACGGCACTCTACAAGGAATTGCTTGGAAAAGAGCAGCCGCTTCCCCAGAAATCCTTGTTTGATGACGACGTAATTGGCGAAACTTGCGAGAGGGTCAGGTTCAAGAATGAGACGACACTATTTCGCGACATCACTCCTTTGCTTGCACCGTCAGTTGCGCTTCTTGCTACCGACCATCCGCATCTGGGTTTCCTGTGCGAATCCACGGACGAGGTGTGGTCAACCGCTCACCCCGTCGTCCACATTCAGCCGCAGCCCACCTATGCCGTCGGCTTCTCGTCTGAGGCGTTCTCGGAAGAGCAATTTGGCAAGGCTACGGACTTCTTCGACGACCTCTATGCGGCGGAGACATCTCCTATGAAGGTCACCCCCGATATGTTCTTCCCCTGTTTCTCGTTGGAAATCGGGCCCATCTCCCTGGGCGAGTGCCAGAACGTACACAGCATGACAATTGGCATGCGCGGCGTCGTTGAGCTCTTCCGCGGTGTCAAGCGTGAGGCCGAGCTGCACCGCCAGATCCTGGGATGGTCTATCGCACACAACCATCGCCGAGCAGAAATATCGGTGCATTACCCGGTGATCTACGGGGACGTTACAAACTTTCATCGAAAGAAGATCCACTCGTTTGACTTTTCCGATCCCGAGTGCGACCGGTGGGCTGCGTACCGCTTTACCAGGAACCTCTACGACACCTGGATGCCGGCGCATTTCGCCAACATTTGTTCCGCCATTGAGCAGCTTCCGAATGAATGGCCCCGTTATGTGGACAGCGTTGTTGAGTTCCAAGGCTGAACTTTGCGGGCTTGTGGTCTGTCTGCACAACATCCGTTCTAAGCATCTGATTTCCATCCTTATTTTATTTGAATTTGTCTTATCCCCCCCCCCCCCTCAAAATTCCTTTATTTGAAGCCATTGACCGTTATATAACCCCTATATTACTGGTTACTCACTCCCAGAAGCACACACCAGCTGTATACCGTCTTTTTTACATTTCATGTATATCCTTGCCCCTACGGACTTTTCATTTGTGCTCATCTCTTAAACTAACACCATTTAAGATTTCCTGATGCCAGCGCTGCATCGGAGCTGTGGTGCGTCGTTTCCCAGGTCGGCATTGGTTGTTGCTCGTTGGAATATTGAAATATTTACCTAGATTTCATTTGTGTGACAAAGTTTATTATAGCATGGCAAATCTCGCCGCATGTTCTTCCATAGTTGTTGAAATTTACGGACTTGTTTTACCCGCATAGATTGTTGCCTCTCCTGAAATATGTCCCATGGTGCTCGTGGTCATTACGATTGTAGGGCTTTCAGCGATGTATGGACATGATGTGTAGACTGATTCGCCGTACTTCTTTCAGCATAATCAGTTGTTAAGGACACTCAATACCTACGGCCACGCCGTTTTCCTCCACGATTCTAGACGGATATTCCGTTGACGATGTCGTTATGGAGCCTCGTCCAATGGTGAGTTCTAGTACCGGTAGGCGTGGCCTTCATGCCACTCCTCTCAACGAAGCACGGCTCCTACGGACATCATTTACCTCTACACTCTCTGTTCTTTCTACCCAACAAGGCCCAGTGGCTTAAGTTGTGAACGTTCTCAAGGTCAATCCTTCTGATACCTGTTGAGGGGGATGGACAACTATCCCAACCATCGGTTACATATACGCCCTTCTATATCATGGGCGTGCCGATACTCTCTTCACCTCCCATCGCCCCCAACTATGCGTGGCAATCGATATCTTCCTCTTCTTCCTTTGCATTTGTGTCCGAGGCTAGTAGAAGTGTCTTTTTCGTACATTGCATGATACTATTGCCTGCGGCGTCTCAGCCCCCATCCTGACATGACATGTAATCATCGTCCGGCTGGTGTACATGCAGCCATTGGCAAGACATATCTGTTCATCTGAATGTCGCGGAGGCTTTTTCTCAAAAGCCATGATTCGTCACGTTTCTGTGTGCCATTCATGGTTCTGAGATTGACAAGGGGGGAGGATAAGGTAGGCAGATGAGTACATACTCATGTGCTGTCATGGCGCGCCTCTTTGCAGATTGAGGCTTGCATGATGGCTTGAGGGCATGCATGAGGTATGTATCTACTACTTCGTACACCGCTTCGATGAGGAAGAACTATATTTGGTCTTGAGCTGGATATTGCGTGGCGTTCATTATATGCCTGTGCGTACAGGAGATGCAAGTTTGTTAGAATTAAAATAAAAAAATCAGGCTGAGACGCCTGAGATTTGGTGGCTTGTTGATGATGACCGGGGGGGAGGGTGTGTGGTGTAAGTGCATGCACATGGACATGGACATGGACACATGCAGTGCGTGCGTCAAGCCTGGTTATCAGGCTCGAATCAGCCGCACAGGGGGATGTCTTTTGAGGATTCATGTGCCAAGTAAGGTACCTATCCAAGGACAGGAGGCTATAGGAATCTGAGGCCTGTGGGTACGTACCTCATGCATTTGATTCGTTGCGTTGTTTTGTAAGAGTGGCATATCGATTCCTTGTTCTCTCGGGATACAGCTGTGATGATTGACTCATATTCTGCTACCTATACTATGGGAGCTCACGCTGAATTACGTCTTTGCATTGCTCTGAGACAACACGCAACTTGTCTCTGACTTGTAAATCCTTCGTGTTTCTTGAATCGGCGTTTGGAGTGGATAGAGCCGATGCTCTGCATTCACGTCATGCAACATACATTCGAAGTTTTCTCCTCGTCATTCCCAGATCATGGAAATTTCAGGGTTTGCGTCTGTATGCTCACAAAGTTCGTATGGGAGACATCAAGGAGATTGCACTGTGCCGTGGGGTGACTTGGTTTATTTCGATAGATCTCGGAAAGCCTGGTTCTCGGATGCGGGACGGCGGGAGAGAGATCTTAGTATGACATCTCGAGTAGCGTAGTATTATTATTTCTTCAAATGTCATGATTGGCCCTGAATATATTACGTTGGGAGATCGTTTGTAGAAGGAGACGTGGAATGTCAGAACTCGTCATGTCGAGCTGGTCGGATTTCGTAGTCTGGCGAATTGGCTTGGATTGTATGCTTAGCACAAGGCAAGGGGCATATGGAAACACTGAAAATGTGCTCAGAGGATATCTCTCAATGCAAGCAGACGTCTTGTTATACATACTAGTAGACATAAAATCATCCATATTGTACCTATTGTATGTACATTTAGTTATGCTTGTGCTTGGGTGATTGCCTACCTCAATACAAAGCAAAAACCTCGAGCTTACCCTTGAGCGCTCCTTCTTTTCCACAAGGTGAGCCTTGGATATCGTCTACATATAGGTAATCTTGACCGAACTGTAAGCCTCTGCTTCGATAGAAGTCAGAGAAGCATGTAGCAGCTTTCATGATGATTGAATTCGTGGGACCCCGTGGTAGAAGGATGCCGGTATTTCGTCATGTCACTACCCGATAACCCAGGAGTTACAATGGTCGACTTCCATCTGGCGAGCGGGTTTCCATCAACTCTCTCATCCGAGGTGTGTATGTCAGGTAAAGATATAGAAGCTGCGGGCGTTGATCTCATTGATTGGAAATGGTGTTGCTTCATAGCATTCTGTCTTCACAACCCACCACTGTCTGGACTCAATTGTGAGAAACAATCCCAAGACTTGTATGGTAGCTCAAGGGTCTCTTGGGTCATTCTTGTCAACTGCATTCCGAAGTCACCATTCGTCAAGGCAGTCCAACGCAAGACTATGCAGTGTTTCCCATCAAGATGGCATCGAGCACAATGCTCCATCAGGTGTCCCACAGGCCATGCACCGGAACCCAGTTCCGATCGAAATCGCATCTGCGGGAATCCGGGGAAGCGGGTCTTGCTTCTCCATCACGAACATCACGAGTCAAGACGATGAATACACGAATATGTGTGTTGCCCGTTGAGAAACAACGAAAACTCAAGGCCATATAAGGCCGTGTATGCCATTTCATAGCTGCATCTATACCCACTGTCATGGCGTTAGAACAAACGAAATAAAAAGCACCCTTTTAAAGCAATCCTGCTCCCAAGCCGCGGCAGGCATCATGATGCCACATGTCTGAGAGCCCATCTATTATACCATCATACAATTACTGCGTCTCGCCAACAACCTTTCGAATAGCCTGAGCCACATGGTCAATGTTGTGGGTGTTCAGGCCAGCCATGCTAATTCGCCCATTCTTGGTCATGTAGATGTGATACTCCTCACGGAGCTTCTTGACCTGAGGTTCTGTCAGACCGGTGAAGCTGAACATGCCAATCTGGTCTGTGATGTGATTCCAGGTGCCTGGCGTCTCAAGCTCCTCAAGCTTGGATCGAAGGGCTTTGCGCATATCAATGATGCGGCCCGACATGGTCCTGAGGTTCTCCTCCCACTCGGAAAAGAGCTGGGGATCGTTCAGCACGGTGCTGGCTATCCTTGCGCCGTACAGGGGAGGGTTGGAAATTTCTGATCGCTGCAGGATGGCGAGCTGAGATGCGATTCGGGTGACAGTTTCGGCGGCGTCGGCGGCGGGAGCGCCCACGAAGTGGAAGCAACCAGCTCGCTCTCCGTAGAGACCAAAGTTCTTGGCGAAGCTCTGAGCAACTACGAGCTCGAAGCCCTGCTCGATAAAGTACCGCACAGCGCTGGCATCGCGTGCAAGGTCGCCAGAGGCAAACCCCTGGTAGGCGCAGTCGAAGAAGGGAAAGTGTTTCTTCTCGCGGATAATGACGGCCAACTGCTTCCACTGATCTAGTGTTGGGTCGACACCGGTTGGGTTGTGCGCGCAGGGGTGGAGCAGGATAATGGAGCGTTCGGGGGCCGCTGAAATGGCTGCCGTCATGCCCTCAAAGTCCAGTCCGCGCGTCTCCTTATTGAAGTAGGGATACTGAGCGACGGTGATGCCGACATTGGAGAAGATCTGGTGGTGGTTCGCCCATGTCGGATTTGACACATAGACGGTGCGGTTGCCCTTGTAGAACTTGGCGAGAAACAGGGCGCCCAGGTGGACGGCGCCGGTGCCCGAGATGGTCTGCACAGACGTCACGCGGCGGTCCGCGATGGCAGGCGAATCGGCGCCGAGCATGAGCTCCGCGGCCTTGCTGGTGAAGCTCTCAAGACCGGCGATCGGGGCATATTCGTGGTTCAACTCGGGGTTGTTTCGGAGAATGTCATCCGCCTGTGGTTGCAGCGAGCAGTGGGTCAGCGACTCAAAGCCATAATGTGCGAGATTAGATGAAGAGCTGCAAGCGGACCAATGATGGTTGCGCCGATTGAGCTTATGACTAGCATCACAAGCATGAGGAGCTAGCATGCATCGATGGATCGCATCACAGCGCCCTAGCTCTCAGGATGGGACAGGAGCAAGAAGAAGACACCGTACCTTTTTTACCACTGGCAAAACCCAGGGCTTCGCGTTGTTATCTCGGTAGGCACCAATTCCCTATAGTAAGCAGACGGATCAGTCAGTCAGTCCGTTATTTTGAGGCGAAAGCTATTAGTCAAGCTTTGGGTCGATTTGTGGGCTTTTGTTGCCTCCGACGTCGCAGCCGTGATTGCGACACAAGAGTCGAGCCGAAAGGCGGCCGCGGGGCAACGAGGGGCATGATGAGGAGAATGAGGGGGGAAGCAATGAATGGGACAATGTGAAGGGACAGAGGGATAGAAAGGAAAAGAAGAGGGAATCAATAGCAATAGGAGCTTGCAACATACCAAGTCGACCTTGATCGGGCTGGTGTCAGCCTTGTAGGCGCGCGCGAGGCCAAAGAGGGGATCCTCAGGTGCCTGGGGCACCGTTTCTGGCGGGAAGCTGGTGGTGGAAGCCATTGCGGGAGAGATGTGGCTCGCAATGTTGTGGAGGCGGGCCAGAGGAGGAGACGAGGCAGACGATGAGGATTGAAGTTGAGACTGAGGTTGAGAAGAGGTTTGTAGAGAAGAGGATTGAGAGGGCGAAGACGACGACGACGACGATGATGATGATGGAGGAGCCATTGGTGGCGGTTTCCTGGTGGGATGTCGTCTAATATGTAAGGCAACTCGGACTTGAAATGGATGGAACGACCAGCGGACGGAGTCAACCGTTGCAGGCACGAGCGAGAGTGACTCGACACAATACGCGCGCTTCCAGTGGTTCGATGGTGGGGTTGGACACGGCTAAAGTGCGACGGTCCTGGCAGAACCCTGTAGGGCTACCTAGGTAGGATGGGAACCTTGGAACTCAACTGGAACCGGAGCGGGTTGGGGCTGAGTTGCCGCTGGAGAAGCGCCCTGGAGACGGTGGAGAGGGCGCTGGAGCAGTCGGGTCCCCTGTGGTGCCCGCTAATCCTGCTGGTGCCTGCACGTCACCAGACCTCGAAGCTTGGGTAATTCGTTCCGACGCCCGGACGAGCCTAATCAGACGGAGCAAAAGCCTCGAGCTGACGAGATCAGGGGAATGGCCACGGGATCAATCCGATGCGAGCTGCACGGAGGTTCCAAGATGGAGACGGCCGGGACGGGAAGCTAGGCTTTGTTATCGCCGGAGGCCCTGAAAGGGGTGCGTTGTGCGTTGTGCGTTGTCCTGCTTGGTGCTGCCTGGCTTGTGATAGCCAGTTGAAGCTCGTTGATTTGCAGGTGCTGATATTCAGGAGCTTCGTTTAAGAGACCCTTGGGCAGTGATGCAGTCAGCAAGCCTGTTCCAGATCCCCTCCCCTCTCTGTTCAATGCCGCTTCGAGACGTTGAAACCGGTGGAACGGACCGGATGATGGGAAGCGATCATCTGGCCATTCATGCAGAGTCATACATACCTGGATGCTTAGACAGGCCTCAAGACGGCCAAGCGAAATGCGTTACGAAAACGGCCAAAAGGATCGGACGAGTGCGGCGATGCGACAGACAAAAAGCCCCGTATGAAGTTCGTAAAAGGTACCTTTTGGATGCTACCTATAGAGGCAATCTATCCCAAGTAGCAGCGAGTTTGAAGGAACAACTCCTATGGTCAGACGCATTGAGACGCTGGCCCCATGCATCTCGAGGCAGACGAGCCGCTTTTTATCTGTCGTCATGCCATGTGCAAGTCCACGGCTTGTGAGTGGGTTGGCCGAGGCCTTCGGCTTGCACGGGCTGCTGAGCCGGCCCGGTCTCTGTACTTTTGAGAACCGTAGACGGTACGAGCAAATAGGCATCCTAAATCTGCTGGATTTAGGTAGTGACGATCCCACGAGTACTATTAGGTAGGTACAATATCGTCTACCTTATAGACCCCTGTTTCTAGGTACGCTTAGAGGCAGGCTGATGATCCGAAACTTGCATCATGAGACCCCTCAGTGTTCTCTCCTATTTCTCCTCGCAACCCCATACCCGAATATTCATTGTCATTCCTCATGCGAGACGAACGAATAACATCACAAGTCCTCAAATCTTTTCACAAAGCGTAACCCGACTAAGGTTAAAACATACGTAAACCCAGCCGATACTTTTTCGAACCCCGGATTTCAAAGGCGACCCTACTCCACCCGATTGGACACACTGACCACAAGCCACGGAACCCCAGAGCCTCTCCTTTTCGTCGGATGACACATAATGGCCCATCGTCACTCTCTGCAGATACCCCGTTTGACATTTAGCTTCTCGGCTCTCCTGGTTTAAAGAGTCAGGTACCGAGCCTGGAAACGCCCCATCAAGCCTCGTGGACAGAAAAACTCCATTGAATCCCCGCATAATGGCGGCTCGTTCTAAAGCCCACCTCGTTTTCACATGCCGCCGTCCCTTCCCCTAATTGACCCGGCCCCATGGGTCATTCATTGCACGGCTCCAGACTAGATTCTCCTGTTTACAAATGCATGAACCCAAGGCATGTCTGCTGGTGCCGATATTGAATTCTTTGATACTAGGTATGCTGACACGGTAAACAAAAAAATTCCAACTCCTCTTCATATGATTAGATCCCACAGTATCAGGAATGCACACAGCCCGCTCGCCGCAAAAAAGGTGTATCGTGCTGTGCTTGGCCGCTGGGTGGCCTTTTTCAGCTGCTTGTTTCCCCCGCCAACGTTGTCCGCCATTGATGCCGAATCGGCCACGAGCAGTTCGATGTTTTCGGACTGCGCCGTGAGGTTGTTGACCAAGAGCGTCTGGAGCTCCGAAATCTCAAGCAGCGATTTTTCCGCGGTCCTGTGACGGCTGCTGTCAGTTTTTTCTCATCTGCAAAGGCGTCTGAATTGTCTGAGCAAAATCCAAGCGGTCGTAACCTACCTCACTTTGTCCAATGTGCTTTCGTAGTGCTCCATCATGCTTTGGTTACCCTCCTCAAACATCTGGACCTGCTCATCCGTCAAACCCTCTGGCATTGGAGCAGATGATTGCTCACCCCCATGGCTCAAAGCGTCTCCCGGCGTCGTCTGCCGTTGCGGTCTGTAAGCCGTTGGGGCAAATTCTGCCAGATCCCCCATTGGCAACATGCTTCGGCTCTTCTCCAGCTCTCTGCGCAACCTCGTCTCCATCATGTCCTGCTGCGTGCGACAGCACAGCTCCAGCCGCTGCCGCAAGAACCACAGCACGCCATCCCGATAGCCTCCCAGCTGTAGAGCCTGCGCCTCGGCTGCGACATGTTCCGGCGATTTGCTGCTGGCGAGGCCGCCGGATGCCCACGAACCGAGGGCGCCCAGTCCCTTTGTATACTTCTTGCGGATAATGGCCGACTCGGTCTCTCGACGGAGCTGTTCGGCTTCGTCCAGCGATCGTATGCTGGCGTTGAGCTCCCGAATCATCTGCTTCGCGTTGGCGTCGATTTCTTCTCGTTCTCGGTCGGAGAGGACTCGTGGCTGGTTCTGGGCCAGCCGAACCTGTGCGCGGCGGGGTTGCGCCGTTGAGAGATAGGCTTGCCGTACATCTTGCAGTTGTTGGTGTAGGTTGGTAATGTGCGAATTCTGACAGAAGCAGTCAGTTTCTAGACTCGATCTGAGATCTGAAGTTGTATTCACAATGTAGAATGACTGACAATTCGGTATGCCTCCTTCAAGAAGCTATCAATGTCCTCCAGGGAGACCTTCTTGACGACCGGCGGCGCCTGATGTTGCCGAAGCAGCTCGTTGAACTGCGCTGTGATGTTAACATCTGCCGGGATCGCAAAGCTTGAGCCGTCCATCCTGCCAATTGTCATGAGGCGACAGTCAATTCCGCAGCAAGGCCCTGTTACCAAAGTTGTCGCATGCACGTCATCGACAATCACCAGCTTGATGGAGCTACGTATGGTGTAACAGCACGTCGGCAGAGTTGCGACAGTGCTTAGTCATCAACGCAAATGCTACCCGCAGACGCACAATTCCAACTTTCGGGATTCATCCCTCCATCGAATTGCTGCTGCTATAATTACTACTGCACACGACCAATGGTCCACAATTGACTGTGGCCCGGCCTATTTCCGCCATTCCTCGACGTCGGTTTGCCTCTTTTACGACTCAGGGAGTGGATTTATCTTGTTGCAAGTGCTGAGCGAATGGTCCATCAGCTGAGAAAGTGACGTTAGGGTTGGTTGATCCGTCCACGAAGAACGCTCGTTCTGACCCTCGATTCCGGATTGCTGGAAAAATCTTACAGTACGAGTTTGCCATGCGGGACTGCAGGTGTTGTTGATACCGGTTCTAGCCAATATGATGATTGATACTACGCAAGCCTCCCTCATCGGCCCGGCACGGTTACCGCTTTCATTTCCATCTCGGATCTCGGAGCCGGCATAAGCATGTCCAGCTAACGAGCCTGCAGAAAGCCTGGTTTACTTTATACAAGTTCGACGTCAATTTGCATTCTGCTGGGCGTTGCTCCGTCATTGTTCAAGAAGATTGCCACAAAATTGTATTGCTGCTACTTCTACGCTGGACACACGAAGCAGATAAGTATTATCCAGCATGATGTGACCTGGGGTCAAGTTCATATTCGACGCTCCATCCACAAAAGAACTGTTGGCAATGGCTGGATGAATAGATGCGGAAACCCACGATGCGCCACCGGAGAACATCGACACTAACGCTGAAGCAACACTGGGGCGGGAGCTAACGGCTACAGACCGGTTTGATTCGTGGATGCAGACAGAGATCTTATGGTGCTTTCTTCCCTTCTTTCGTGGCTCGGGCGTCGACCGAGGAGGAAGGGGAACGGGGACGCGTGCTAAGGGGTGCTAAGTGATGCTAAGTGATGCTAATTATGGCAGGGTCTTTGTTCCTTTTTGCTTCCAATGACCTTGTGCTCCTTCTTCTCCTGGCTGATTATTCCCGGGTTCTGTCTGACTACCTACCTGTAGACGACAACCAAGGTAGTCATCATCAAGGAACGCATCTGTCTTCGGTTTGATAGCTGACAGCGACCTGGAAGCCGGTCTCGACTCTCGGCATCCGAGTCATGGTGCCCCGTAAATACTGAGACTCTACTTGCATTCATCGTATCTGCGATGCAAGGCATCTGACGGTTCATTCTGCCCCATATTGAGTCAAGATCTCTTACCCCCTTTAACCCTGGACCGGACGAAGCTGGAGGAGAAAACCAGGTTTTCGGGGGGGCTGATAACGGGCATCGACCGAATCTGTGGGGAAAGCGAACTTCGATCGTCCACACACAGATGGACTCCGCTGATACCTAATCTGATTCGAGGCTCAGGGTATATCGCCCTTTTCTCTTCTTCCTCGTCTCTGGCTTTTTGATCCCTTCATCGTCCTGTGCTGCCGCCGCGTACGTCACCCTCTGCTGTTGAAGACGCGACTATTGCCGAATGTGTCGCCATGAAGCAAGATGAAGCGATACAGCCGTCCATTGAAGGGGCATGCGAGAGCCCTCTCCCGGTAGAGGTCGAGTCGGACATCGAGGCCTCCGGGGAGCACGCGCTTTACCGGCATCCGGAAGCCAAGCTTGTCGACCAGGACACCGCTGAGCTGCCGGGGATTCACGAACTGGGCGAGACAACTGTTGACAATCTTGAGCTGGGCAATAGACACGCCGTCAACGAGCCTTACAGCGTCTTCTCCCGGCGCATGAAGATATGGATCACCGTCATGGCGACCATTGCAAGCGCCGTCTCCCCCATGACCGCCCACGTCTACTTCCCGGCATTGGACGCCTTGGCCGAGGAGCTCAACGTCTCCATCTCGCTCATCAACCTGACCCTGACCTCCTACATGATCTTCCAGGGCATATCCCCGACCATCTTTGGAGACTTTGGTGACATGGCTGGCCGTCGACCCGCTTTCATCGTGGCCTTTGTCATCTACATCTGTGCCAACATTGGCCTTGCCTTGCAACGAAACTACGCCGCGCTCCTCGTGTTGCGCTGTCTCCAGTCAGCTGGCAGCAGCGGCACTCTGGCACTCTCGTACGCCGTCATTGCAGACATCACGCCGACCGCTGAGAGGGGGAGATACATGGGCTTTGTCAGTGTTGGAATCAATATTGGGCCCACGATTGGTCCGGTGATAGGAGGCTTGTTGAGCCAATATCTCGGATGGCCGTCCATATTCTGGTTCTGTGCCATCTTCGTCGCGGTGTGGTTGGTTCCATGGGTTGTCACCGTTCCCGAAATGTGTCGAAACGTTGTTGGAAACGGCTCAATACCGCCTCAATCCTGGAACTATACTGTCATCGAGTTGCTAAGGAGGAGGAAGGGGGGCGAGAAACTAGACCCTGGACCAAAGAGAAAGCTGCGATTTCCGAACCCATTGGGCACTCTCGTCATTACGTTTGACAAGCAGATGAGCCAGATCTTGCTCATTGCGGCAATCATCTACTGCAACTTCATTCTGGTGGCGGCCACGCTGTCCCCGCTCTTCACGGAGATATATCACTACGGTGAACTGGAAGTCGGCTTGTGCTTCTTGCCGTACGGCTTCGGGTGCTGCTTGACCGTGGTGTTGCAGGGATATGTGGTGGACTGGAACTACCGCCGCATTGCAAAGAAGCTGGGCGTTGATGCGAGCCATGGGCGACGAAACGAGATTGGAGACTTTCCCATCGAGTCAGCGCGCATCCAGCCCATATACCCTTGTCTGCTTGCAGGTGCTGCCGCTGTCATCGGCTATGGCTGGGCTTTGCAGGCGGAGACGAGCGTGGCCGTGCCGCTTGTTCTTGTCTTCGCCATCGGCATGCTCGTCCCCAGCACTTTTAGTATACTCAACACGCTCATTGTTGATTTGTATCCCGGGTCGCCGGCTACGGCAGCGGCGGCCAACAATCTGGTTCGCTGCTTGTTTGGAGCCGCGGCCACTGCCGTTGTGGATTACATGATTGCAGCCATGGGCCGGGGCTGGTGCTTTACGTTCCTGGCACTGTTCATGGTGGCATGCCTGCCTTGGCTGAGGTTTATCGAAAAGCGCGGTCCTCGTTGGAGGGCGGAGAAAGTGAAGAGGAAGAACAGTACTGACGCGACAGAAACAGAATGAAGCAATGACCTTGATGATGTTATGAAGCCTTATTTTGAATATGCCCCTCTCGGGTTCGTTCATACTGCTTGTTTCTTCCCCGTTTCATCTCATGTCCTACCTGCTGAAAGATATCGCGTTGCATCATGGCGTCTGAATTTTCATGGCGGCAGCGCTGATAATTGGAGAGTTGAGTCGTTCTAAGCGTTGATTGGGTCTCATGAACGTCGTTATTAGTATACTATTGATTTACAGAAAATTGCCTTTGGATTTCACAGAGCCAGGATTGCATGCTCTACAGGTTCCCTCAAAGGCTCCCACATCAACCAGTCAGATCGTGTTGTCCTGTAGCGTGTCATTAGTAACTCGCCATATATCGGATGTAGAATATCCACGGTAGCTCAAAGGAGGGGGGGGGGGGGGGGTTCAAGAAACATACGGCAACAAGCCCATGGAGTTAATTTTCCAAACGCCCACCGCCAGCGCCAAAAACTGCATGGCGACGTAGACGAGCTTGGTCTGCAAAATCTGGCCGGCGTTGCTGTCGGTCTGGAAGCGCTCAAAGGCCTGGTTGGTGGCCATGAGGCCGACGATGGGGTTCTTGAAGGCCATGAAGACCATCATGATGCTGAAGATTTGGAGCGAGTTGCCGGACATGTACATCATGATGGCGGTCATGGGGAGGCCCTTTACGGGGGCGAGGGCGACCTCCCACGCCTTCTTGAGCTTGAGGGTGTCGCGCTCTTCGGGGGAGGGTGGTTTTCGGGGTTGGGGGGCCTTGGCGACGTCTTTGCCTTTCTGGATAGGGGATGTTAGTAGCTAGCCCTTGTTTTAGGTGAACAGAGAAGAGAGAAAAGAAGAATTACCTTGGGGCCGCTGGGAGCGCTGGAGAAGCCTGGAGGGTCGATGATGCCGGGGACTTTGGACTTTGCGATGGGGGGGAAGTCGAGCTGGGCGGCCCAGTACGGCGCGGCAACGACCGGAGAGGAAGCCATGTTGCTAGAAGATGAGGTTCGTAATCAATTGGGTAGTGATTGTGGGAGTTGAATGCCGGTCGTTTGTCGGGTCTCTTGGTCGTTGCCGGCGGTCGTGTCGTCGATTGTTTGTTCGCCCGCAGTGGATGATGCAAAAGGTGGGATTTAGCTTGACGAGAGCTTATGTGCCGATTCCCTCTTGTCACTGCTGTCCTTGTCCCGAAGGCCAGCCAGTGGGTCGGTCGCCAAGCACACCTTCTGAGCTCCTTCAGGCAGCTTATCGATAGCCCCGGCCGAATCAAATTGGGGGAGGGACTCGCACCCGGTCCTTTTGGGCCTGCATATCGCCGACCCTGCCGGCGCGCGCTTCCACTCCTTTTTTCCCTTAATACCTCCCGACGGGGCTGCGCGAAACCATTCGGAGCGGGATTCCTTTTTTTTTTTCGACTCTTTCTCTTGATGTCCTCGACTCGAACCGAAACCCGAAGTCTTCCCTTTCAGAAGTGCAGTCGAATTCCCCGGATTACATAACATAATTACTGGTTGCGAAACTGCGACGCCGTCGAGCAACGAGCTCCCGAAACCAAAGAGGCGCGCGTGTCGATACCGATTGGCCAGGCCTCGCCTCGATACAACCACCAAGAATCGTCAACGGAACCAAGTACAGTCTTGTCTGAACAACAGCCACTACCACGAACCGGGGCCCGCACGATAGAGAAAAAACACTGTGCCATTCCGCTGTCCATCGCCGTTTGGCAGCATTGTGAAGCCTCTTGTTGGTGGTGTCAAGGTTGCAAAGGCGTTGCAGCTTGTCACATACGCCACCAGATTTCACGAATTTAGGCGCCATTGTTGCCCTGGCCCAGCGCAATCGACAAGGCCTTTTTCTGTCTTCGTCTATTGCCTGGGAGTCTATAGGCTAAGAGCGCTGCTGGTGCTTGGGTTGCCATACTACTGGGAGCTGCCAGAGAGTTGTCGCTATCAAGGGGTGACAGCGGCCGCGTGACGACGTTTCGACTACTAGTAGTAGTCGTTCGGTTACGGAGCAACTATTCACACCCGACCAGGCCAGACCACCACTTCACAGCCAAGACAAGCCCGTTGCAGACCGGAACCACGCCCAGGTCTTGCGGCGCATCGAGTTTTGCGGGGGAGGAGGACGCATCTGATTGATAGCCTGCCGTCACCACCATGTCTAACAACGGAGGTGGAGGGGACTCCAAGCTCTTCGCTCGGGTAAGCCATCTTTTTCCCTACCGACCTTACTGTCCTTTGCCTACCCCCCCTGTGATGTGACTTTCTCCTCCGTTCGATTTGATATATCCGGGTGTCTTGTGTCTTGTCACCACACTCTCCCCATCTTGTCTGTTTCCCACCTGCGCGCAACGTTGGTCGGATCTCTGTTATTCGTCGCCTGTATTGGGAATCGTCACCAGTCGCATTCTGCGGCGACATCATCGACGACGACGACGACGACGACGACGACGACGACGACGACGACAGTATTGCCTTGACGCGCTTTTCACAAGACTGCACTGCATTTTGTCGTTGCGCAATCCCCCTCAGCATCTTTCTACCTATCCCGACAATGACACTCCCCTCACTGAAGCACGATCGCGCACACTGATGCAACGATGGCTCTCCCGCTCGGCTTCATCTACATGCCAGCCCTTTCGCTCGATAAGCTAAGATCAACGCAGGGCAAAGTCGCAGAGCTGCGCCTCGAGCTCAACAGCGGCGGCAAGAAGGACAAGAACTATGCGACCAAGAAGATTGCGCTCAAGCGCATCGTGGCCAACATGACGATGAGCAACAACGACATGGTCGCGCTGTTCCCCGACATTATCCAGTGCATGCACATCTCCAGCTTGGAGATCAAGAAGATGTAGGCCGGTCATTTCTCTGCCTCATGCCCTTTGAAGTGTATACGAGCCAGTGCTGATGGACGAGGTCATTAACAGGTGCTTTTTGTACTTGGTCAACTATGCGCGAGTTCGCCCAGAGATTGCGGTCAATGCGATTCCCATCCTGGAACAAGTAAGTGAACGACAACAATTGAAAGGGTCAGAGCTGGTGATACTAAACGATGCCAGGACATGCAAGACTCGAACCCCCTCGTGCGAGCGCTCGCTTTGCGAACCATGTCATACATTCATGTGCGCGAGTTCGTGGCAGCCACCGTTCCCCTCGTCAAGCACATGTTGAGAGACCCGGACCCCTACGTACGGAAGACGGCCGCATTCTGCGTCGCAAAGCTCTACGATCACGACAGGCACATGGTCGAGCAGTCGGACCTGATTGATCGACTCAACTCCCTGCTCAGGGACGACAACCCCACCGTCGTTGCCAGCGCACTGGCCGGACTGATGGACATTTGGGAGAGGAGCGACGCCATCAAGCTGACCATCGATTACACCAATGCCTCCAAGATGGTGGCCATCCTACCTGACTGCTCCGAGTAAGTTGACGCTGTGAATATCTCCTCAAATGAACTTTGTTAACCACCAGTCAAGATGGGGTCAGACGTACATCCTCGAGGCGCTCATGTCCTATGTCCCCCAGGAATCAGGAGAAGCGTCACTGCTAGCCGAGCGAATAGCCCCCCGACTCTCACACTCCAACTCTTCAGTTGTACTAACCTGCATCCGGGTGATTCTGTACCTGATGAACTACATTGCAGACCAGAAGCAGATTTCGGCGCTCTGCAAGAAGCTCTCTCCACCCCTGGTGACGCTGCTGGCCAAGGGCCCCGAGGTCCAATATCTCGCACTCAGAAACGCACTGCTTATTCTGCAACGACGGCCCGAGGTGCTGCGAAACGATATCCGAGTCTTTTTCTGCAAATACAACGACCCAATCTACGTCAAGGTCACCAAGCTGGAGCTTATCTTCATGCTGGCCAACGAGAAGAACATCGACGAGGTTCTCACCGAGCTGAGGGAGTACGCCACGGAAATCGACGTCCACTTCGTGCGAAAGGCTGTCCGCGCCATCGGCAAGCTCGCCATCAAGATTGAGCCCGCTGCCCGACGATGCATTGATCTGCTGCTGGAGCTGGTTGCCACCAAGGTCACGTACATCGTGCAGGAAGCTACCGTGGTGATCCGAAACATCTTCCGCAAGTATCCAAACCAGTACGAGTCCATCATCGGCACCTTGTGTGAACATCTCGACTCGCTCGATGAACCAGAGGCCAAGGCTGCCATGGTCTGGGTCATTGGCCAATATGCAGACCGCATAGAAAACAGCGACGCGCTGCTGGAGGACTTCCTCTACTCGTTCCAGGAAGAACCTGTCGAGGTGCAGCTGGCGCTTCTCACCGCGACGGTCAAGCTCTTCATTCAGAGGCCAACCAAGGGCCAGGAGCTGGTACCAAAGGTCCTCAAGTGGGCCACCGAAGAAACAGACAACCCTGATCTGCGTGACCGCGCCTACATGTATTGGCGACTGCTATCGACCGATATGAACGCTGCAAAGAGCATCGTCATGGGAGAGAAGCCTCCCATCACAGCCGAGTCGGAACGCCTGGAATCGTCGACGCTCGAGGAAATGTGTCTCAACGTCGGCACCCTGGCGACGGTGTACCTCAAGCCCGTGCAATCCGTGTTCCGATCCGCGAGGCCGCGAAAGTTGATTCCATCTCCGGCATTGCAGAAGCAATATGCGTCCAACGACCTTGACAACCAGAAGAGCTTGAGCATGTTTGGCAACGGAAGCCAGCCTACCAACATCGATCTCCGGACGCGCAACGCGGCCGCCACACCAGCTGCCAACGGTGGAAACCTAGCGCAGGCGGTCAATGATGCAGACGCCTACTTCTCCAGCATTGGGACGCAGCAGATGGCCGCCATGAGAATAGACGGCGGAGACGATGGATACGGTGGAGGAGGAGGCAACGTCACCGGCTATGTGGTGAATGCCCTGGCGCCACAGGCTGTGTTGCAGCCGGCACATGGCGAGGGAAGCAATGGCGATTTGCTGGTCTTGTAAACGGGACGAGGCAAAAAGGGGCATATGGCGATGCCTTAAGATGAAGAGATGCCGAATTGCGGGATGAACCGATATTTGTTATTTATTGCAACGAGTTTACTTACCTTGGCCGCTGGAGGAAGCGTGTACGATTCGATTGAGAATGCCGCCTTATCAACTGGAAATAATTTGATGTATATCCACACATACCTTAAAGTTGAAAGACAGACCTGATATACCTTGTAGCAGTATGAAGAGAATATATCAAGCATTGTTTATCGTATAAGTAGTTTATTCTCGTGCATGATGTTTTCGAAACTCGGAAGTGAACAAAGCACGTCTCGTCACACAATCAGTCACAGCTCCGTCGGAAACATCGAAAAGAAGCCGCTCCATTAATATCGTTGCATTGCTTGCGTCTCCTCAGAGCACGGGCATCAAACGCCTTGTGGAGCCGGGAACGCGCAGCACGGCATTCTGCATGTTGTGGAGAAGCGAGAGGGTCTTTGGGAGATTGGCGTGATTTGGCCTGGGTTCATTTGCGGGACGATGGGCTGCCAGGTGGAGGAGGTTGCCGTAGCATTTTGCAGGCATCCTCGGGATGGTGAGATTAATTCAACACTGACGTGGTGCCTTGCGTCGTTGGGCCTTATTACCTTGAAGCATACGATACAACAGTAGCTCAAGGGAGGCATTTCCCACAGTTATATTTCGTAGTTCGCAAAGTAATCACATCGGCGTCTTTGATCCACCATTCGGCGAGCTTCGTCCCATGTTTGCTCGACTTCATGCAACCTCGGTAGCAGGGAATATGCCACTCTCAAGCGGAGGTATGAGAGTTGTCCCTCGTCAGCTTACAAGGAACATGCAGCGCTGGAAACAAATAATGCAAGACGGCAATCTCTGTTGTGGCTTGCGCTCAGTCTCAGAACAATAATACGCGGCCTTTGTGCGAGTTGAGTCTCGTCACCATTTCTGCATGAGAGAAAAGATCACAGCACGGTTGGCGTCTCTCTTCGTTGCCGTGCTTTGTTCTCGCAGCCCATCCCTGTGCCATCCACAACGCAAGCCCTTTGCGCGCATGTTAGGTGTGAGCCTTGTGGGGGGCATTGTGGCCGGGAACGGCGGCAGCAAGCGGAGCTCACACGTACTTGCAAGGCGTCTTGAAACGAGGTTCAGAGAGTGCTATCGTAGACTCGGAGTTTGACTTCACTTTCCGCTGCAGTGATGGAATGGAACTGCCCGTATTCTGGCCCCCCTGGTCAGTGATGTGTTTTAAGGTTTCGTGTGCCTGTCAGACGAGTGTGAGGTTGGGATATGAGAGGCGTCGTTAGACTGGCGATGTTCCTGGTATGGTGTAAGGAGACTTCATGGCGCCAGCCGGCTACATGGTCATGGTGCAAACCAGTGAAAGGCCTCTCAAGTAGCTAACAGGGGCAAGATAGTACCGAGAGCACGAGGAAATGTCAAGTGCCGTCCTGCTAGTTCAGGTCAGACTGTTGATCGATAATACCAAGCAACGTCGTGGTTTGGTCGGCGATAGGTGTGGAGATTATAACCAACAGACGGCCTCTGGTTGACTTCATCGATATTCCGAATAACCGACGTCAAGAGTCATGATGCAGCCGCACTAAAGTCCAGGCATATGATAGTGCAGCGAGCACTTCTCACCACATGCCGTCATGGGCGGTAAATCCGTGGCAAACCAGCGCAGCGCCGATAAGAAGGATTCATATCAAACAAAGTCCTAATTACCAGGAAGAATGCCTGAGCGGGATGGATTCAGCCCGTTTCGACTGACTTTGGTTACTTCGTACAGGGTACTCATGCTTGTTTTGACTGACCTGAGATGGAAGCGTGCAGCGTTGCCTCGGTGCTGGCGTTTGACGATGGCTTGCAAACGGCATCGCCTTCCCGGGGGGGAAGGTTATGAGCGGCAGATGGTTGGTTGGGACAGGGGCTCCATTATGCATGAAGGAGCCGATGCGAGTGAGATGAGGACTCACAGAGAAGCGGTGCGCCAGGACAAAGGATGCACTGCAGGGCGAAGTCACTTCCCTGCCGCTGGCCATCTCAGCACCGCGACTAATGACTGCGAAAGACTTAATCGCCCAATGGGCTGTCCGGCAGCCACGAGTGGCGCTATGGTCTGGAGGGTGTATAGCAGAGATTGGCATGTTAGTGCGCATCATGAAGCCGACATGCGAGCTTGGTGCTTTTGGTGCGCCACCGGCAAAGGGGTTCGTGGTTTGCTTTGCATACTCTGCTTAGCACAGTGGCAGAAACTGCACAAAGTTTGCCATATCTGAACTGGAGCAGCGTAAGCCACGGCACGATGGTGCGTTGTAGTGGCCTTGATCCGAGACTCGATTCGATTCGGCTCAGGTCGGGCGGTGTTGTCAGCTAGGTAGCTGTGTCTCATTTGAGGCTGAGAGATTACGGCGTGGTGCGCCTGGTGCTTGCCCGCGATAGGTACTGACCTCAGTATGTGATCTGCTGGCTGCTCAAGGAGATTTTTTCTTTCGAGATGGAGAGAATCAAGGGCAGAGTCTGAGCTTGAAGTTGTAGGGCAGGCTGGTGACGAATTGAGTTTATACCGCCTCAAGTAAGATGGGAAGTGCCTTGTAGTGCTGCGCGCCTTCCCTTCGTTTAGCAATCGCAATTCACCGTCATCCATGGCATCAAGCGGGAAAGTGCTACCTAGGTGCTTAATTTGTCTGCGGTTCTCACCACCTAGGCGGCAGAAAAGAAAAAGCGGCTGCTTCAGTTCAAGGCGACACAGCGAATGGCCTCCCATCTTGAAACATCACCACCTGCAGCGGTCCTGATCAGCAAAGAAACCAGCAAACCTTTCGTTCTTTGTTACATTGCACAGGCCCGGGCCATCTGCCTCTTGTTCCCCGCGCCACTGCCTTCGTCGTGTGTCCATATGCGGCCAGTGTCGTGTCCGGTCGGCGCTACACTGACAGGGGTCGGCTCGGCCGCTGCGTTGTGATTGATTACCTGCCTGGGAATACGGAGTCCGCTTCGTGCTGAGGACGATAGCGATCCCACCGTAAAAAGTACGAAGTCCTCGCTCTCAGACCTCTCCACCCGTTGGTCCTGTCGGCTGCTCATTATTCCCTGACCACTGCCTCTATATGTACCTACCTAAGTCTGCAGGAATACCTCTAGGAAACGACAAAGAACAAAACGAAAGGCGACGCTCACCGAACCCGGGCGCCCACTTAGTTCGCACCACTTCCTCTCCTTCTGCTCACCTACTACCTTGCGAGGCGGGCACTTTTCCGCCTGCGTCAGGCATAGTCGACAGAAACAGCATTCTTGACCTGGCCAGCGCTTGGATTTCGCTAGCGCATTCGTCGCTCGTTCTTTGCATTCTAGCCAGAGTCCCGCCCATCGTTTCCTCCTCCCCCCACACCCCGTGTCCCCGGAAGTTGAACCTGGGCTGGTCGCTGAGCCTGCCGCTGGTTCGTTGATTTGATCTGCCAAGTCGTTGACTGACCTGACTGGCTCTGTCCCAGCGGCGCCTTTTTTCCCTTTCTCCCTTTGACATCCCATCTATCCTTAAACGCCCTGCGCAGCCAGTCTCCAGCCGAGACGGTCAAGCCCACCCTACTGCATTGGAAACGCTCGTTTACAACTCCAGCGACATACACTCTTATTTTCCTACGCGTACTCTTCCCCGTTGATGAATTGAGCCGTTTGTTACGCTCCTTTGCCGACGTCGCCAACCCCTTTGGTGGTGCTGCACCGATCCCGCATTCCTCACGCTTCGCCGCGCCGACTCCCTACTGAAACATGTCGGCTGCTGCGGATTCGACCACGACCGGTGGCAGTGCCGCTGCTGGTCACGACTCGGGCCTCGAGCAACCCAGCGGTGCTGTGCAGATGAAGAATATCCCTCAGACATCCGAGGTAAATGAGAAATCCAGCGACGAGGCGACAGACGATGCGGCCAAGAATGCTCCGGTTGACGCGGCGGCATCGGCCGGCCCTGCATCCACCGACCACAGCGAGGCACCCGCTGCGCCCTCATCAAAAGGCAAGGAGGTAGACACTTCTTCTGAGCCTTTGGCCGAACCAGCAGCTTCCAAGGCGAAGGACGATCGCAAAGACGAGACCACCGAGCCCGAGACCGCTCAGCAGGTGGTCACTCAGCAGGAACCCCCCAAGGAGCAAGAGCGCGCCCTCAAGGACGTGTCACCCAAGGACGAAAAGTCCAAGGAGGAAAAGCAGGAGGATTCGGCCATGGCCATCGGTCCAGCGGACGAGGACATCAAGCCTGCTGGATCCGGCACCGACAGCGGCCCAGTCTGCAACATTACCCTGCTGCTCGCCTCTGGCAGCCGACATCCGTACAAGATTGACGCGAAATATTTGAGCAAGAGGCATGTCGCCATGCCGGACGAGGACGAGAACGGCAAGCCCGATCCTTTCAGCATCAGCATCTACACACTCAAGGAGCTGATTCTGCGCGAGTGGAGGTCTGACTGGGAGGCCAAACCTGCCAGCCCGACCAGCATACGGCTCATTCATTTTGGCAAATTGCTGGATGATAAGGAGCAGCTCAAGAGTATGTATAGCCTCATCTTCTCGATCCTCTTTGCACCCGTTTCCCCCCCAATCTTCTTACTGTTTGAATCGTCTACTTACACTGGCGGCAGAATACCAGTTTAGCCACGACAGCCCCAATGTGGTTCACATGAGCATCCGGCCCCAGGATCTTGATGAGGAGGAACCCAAGACCGGGAGCAAGAGCCTCCCTGCTGGCGCCGCAGACGGGGACCGCGTACGAGAGGGGCGCTGCTGTGTTATTTTATAAGCATTCTCAGCGTGTGGTATGAGCAGCGGTCGCTGTTGCGCTCTCGCATGCTTTCTCTTGTTGATAATCTCTGGTGGCAATTACACATGGCAGGACTCTACATGGATGTATTTGCTTGCATAGACCTTTGTCCTCCGAGACTGGCACCTGGATTGGCGCCCAAGTGGGCTTCTGAAATCCACTGACTTGTGCGTGAAAGCACTCAAACAGTTCAGAGCTATCTACGCGCGAGAAAGGCCCATTGTCTCCTAACCAGATTTGTTTCTAGGTAGCATCTTCATGCTGCCCTGCCTTGTTTTTTTTTTTTTTTTCATATGTGTTTGCCCCCCCCTTTGTTTGTGCTTTTATTTGCGCTGCTTGAGTTTGCCCTTTTCGTTTAGCCATGCAGGGAAGCAGCGCGATGGGTATCTAAGACGCGGAAGAATTGGGAAAATAGGGAGTCATCACCGGCGCATTATCATATCATTTGTTTTTTTGTACAATTGTAGCATCTGCTTCGATTTTCATACGCTCCTTTTTCTTCATAATGTCGATGGACTAAGTCCCCATAGCGGGAGGTGATTATTGCTATTGCAGGATAGAAATGCTGAACATAGTGTATATGTCGTGCCGCAGCCAAGCAAAGTACTAATTGGCAATTCCGCCGGCAGCAGGCTGTGTCTTTGCTTTTGCTTTCAAATTTTTCTTTCTTTTTTTTTGTTTGTCTTATGTGAAGCTGCGAGATCTATGTCATGTGAATAAGACATGGAGGTATGCCATCGTCTCCCAAAACGAGCCTGTCTACCCGACAGAAATGGTGGTCCATAAGCTTCCCCGTTTCTGATGTTCCTCATTCCCAAACATGTCCTCCTTCAGTGAATCTTAAGCTTCTTCTCCATCTCCTCGTGGAAGCCAGCCACAGCCCTCGTCTCGCTGCCGGTAAAGACGTCGTCCCAGGTGATGGTGTCCTCGCGGCCCTTGAGGATGTCCTCGTGGACGCTGGGCAGCCCGCCGCCGAGGGCCATGGGCCGCCACTCGCCGTCGCGGACAATCTTGAGCTCCATGCCGCGGCGGACGGGCTCGGCGATGCCAAAGGTGCGGCGGAGGGACTCCATGCGGACGGCCTCCTGGGTGGCCTCCCAGGACTTGAGGCGGGCCTCGAGCGGGTGCGTGGAGACGGGCTTGTTGGCGGCGGCGTCGAAGGGGGAGAGGCCGACGCCGTGGCGGAGGGTGTCGTGGATGCCCGGGGCGGAGGGCGCGGAGGAGGTGTGGTCTGTGTGGGAGAAGGTCGATGGGCCGTTGGCGGCGGGGACGATTCGGAGGGACTGTGAGAAGAGGGGGGAGGGGTTGATGAGTTAGCTGGCGAGACAGAGGAGAGAGGAGATGATGATGAGGATGGATATGTATGGATGGATGGCCTTACCATGATGGCTGTGAGGATGATTTGGGGGGGACGAGAAAGAGAAGAGGTGCAGTTGCTGTAAAAGATGAGCCCTTGTGGTTATTGAGTGGCTTGCTGGAGGAAGAGCAGAAGAGGGAGAAAGGAGTTTCCGGGTGAAGCTGTCGTCGATTAGCGATTCGATGATTTGATGGTGTTGCTGCTTCAATGGCCTTGACAGGCTGCCAACAGCCTCGCGTCCCAGCTCGAGGTCCCCACATGCCCTTTGCGAAGGAGGGGTACGTATCTTTTATGTCATCATCTGCCCGGCTAACCCGAAGGGGTAATCCAGAGCTGTATCCTCGAACTGGGCCCGATCGCGGAGAAAGTCGATGTTGACACTCAGTCTGTGGGAATAAAAGGTCACACTCTAATGAAGTGCGGACTGAGTAAGCTGGTCTTTTACTTGAGTTGAAGATTTACTTTTACTTTTTCTGCTGCTTTACTGGGCCTCTGGCCGATGGGACTCCAATTGTGGTGTAAACCTTCTGTATCTCTCCAACCACGCTCTTGGTCTTAATAACACGAATCAGCCATACCTAGCAAAGGTCTCTCATCAACAGCATCGACCATGATTAGGAATATCCCGCCTTCAGCGCGAGCGCCCATCATTCGCATCGCCAACGGCACATTCTACCGGCACCACCCAAACTCCCATTCAGCACATGCCAATCCGGCCCTGTTCAAGAATCTCAGCTTTGAGCTACCCTCATCGACATCCCAGCCGCACAATTGGTGCGTTGTGGGGCCTTCACTGTCCGGAAAGACGACATTCCTTCAGGTGCTGAGAGGAAGATTGATATGCGAGCCCCCTACGGCGAGATCGTATCCGTATCTGTCGTCAGATGCTGTGCCATCAAGGCTGAGGACGCCGAGCAAAGCTATTCAGTATGTCGGGTTCGACGCTGAGCAGGGGGCGGGAGGATTGGGCGGTGCCGTCACAACATCGGCGTACCTCTCTGCACGATATGAATCTCGAAGAGAGATTACCGACTTTTCGTTGCGGGACTTTTTGTTGGGCAACACGGAGCTGAATCCTGCCAAAACACCGGGTCAGGAAGGCGAAGAGGAGGGCGGCATATCGGACGAGCTGCTGAAACGAGTCGTCAAGGACCTCAGGCTGGAGCATCTGCTTGATCTGCCCGTGACATTCCTCAGCAATGGCCAAGGCAGGAGGGCAAGGATAGCCCGCGCACTGCTGACGAGGCCTGAGGTCTTGCTTCTTGATGAGCCTTTCATGGGCCTCGATCCTCCTACGGTTACGGGACTGAGTCCCTTGCTGGAATCTCTTTCTGAAAAGGCAAACCCGCGACTGGTGTTGAGCGCAAGGCCTCAGGACCCTCTGCCAGAGTGGATCACGCACTTGGTGTATCTGAGAATGGACTGTCAGATCGAGTCAATGGGCCCCAAGGAGGTGGTGCTGGATGGATTGAAGAAGTATGTGCATGGTGTGAGGGTGGGCGGGATCACAGAGGATGAGAAGCTGCCTGTTCACACGTTGGCCGATATTGGCCGAGTCTTGTCCAAGGACTCTTTGACAGCCAACTCGGCGACTTCGTCATCATCATCATCTCACGAACAGAAGCCCATCAACCCCAACGCCGAACCCCTGGTTGAGATGGACGGTTGCCAAGTCCGTTACGGCGACAAGATTGCACTAGGGAACTGGTCACAGAAGACACCTCAAGGCGACAAGCCCGGACTGATATGGACGGTTCGACGTGGCGAGCGCTGGGGCGTGTTCGGTCCCAATGGCTCCGGCAAGACGACCATTGTCTCTCTGCTTGGATCAGATCACCCGCAGACATACTCGTTGCCCATCAAGCTCTTTGGACGCAGCCGTCTTCCCGAACCAGGCTCGGGACAGCTGCCGCTCACGTTCTGGGACATTCAGTCTCGCATCGGCCACTCCAGCCCCGAAGTCCACCAGCACATGCCGAGGAGCCACACCATCAGACAGGTGATTGAGAACGCCTGGGCGGAGACGTTTGGCGCGAAACCAAAGCTGAATGCCGAAGCGAGTGCCAAGGTCGAGGCGGCCCTCAGGTGGTTTGAGCCCGAGCTGAAGCCCAACAGCGCCGCTGGCAGCGAGGGCCTGAAATGGGCCGACGAGTATATGTTTGGCGAGATTTCGTTTAGTGCTCAGCGCGTGGCGCTGTTTATTCGATCCATGATCAAGGGGCCTGATATCGTCGTCTTGGATGAGTCGTTTAGCGGCATGGACGATGCCGTCCGCGACAAATGCACGCTGTTTCTCACCGAGGGAGAGGCCAAGACGTACGTGGGCGAGGAGATTGTCGAGAGCCAGCAGGCCAAGGACGGTACAGTCAAGGTGAAGGGCTTGTCTGACCAGCAGGCGCTCATTTGCATTGCGCACATCAAGGAGGAGGTGCCGGACTGTGTGAGGGAGTGGATTTGCTTGCCGGAGGCGAATACGGGACTGCCTGCGAGGTTTGGGAGGCTGAATGGTGCGCTGAGGGAAGAGGAGGGCAGATGGAATGAGATTTGGGGTTTTTAGATGGTTTTTGTTGGAGTTGTAGGTAGGTGAGGCCTCGTGTATGTAGATCGTTGTTGGTGTTGAGTGTTTGTTTGTCGGAAGCGGGTTTACATGAACTGACCGAGAAGTCGATATGACTTGGAGAAATGAATGGATGTTGGCACCTTGGAATGAAACTTATCGAATTATCTGAAATGCCATATCAAGAATAGGGCATATCCATCTGGTAGTAATTGTCTGAGAAAATGGTTGTTGTGATGCATATGGAAGAGTCTTGTGATGTTGTCGCAAGACAGGCACAGGGTAAGGTAGCGCACGTGAGGCCCATGCCCTGCAGCGCGCGCCTCTCTTCCCGACGTCATCTCAACTTTTCCAACCTACCCGACTTCGGTTCTCGAAACCTCGCCAGAACCACCTTCCCTCCGCCATTTACCAAGTCACAGATCCCGCCTCACCGCTTATCTGTGCACATCACCTCATACCTACAGAGAGGGCTTCGCTTGTCTGTTTGGTTTGTAAGAGGTGCCTATAGAGGGAAAATACATGAAAACCTGGCACCATGTCCGACGAAGAGACGCTCACGACGGCATGCTGCGCGCCGCTCATGACACTCAATAAACCCATTGAAGTCAGCGAACTACGGCACGTCAGCCCTCTACTTTTCATTCTTTCCTTTAATTCTCATCCTGTCATCAAATCTATGGGAGACATCACACTTCAAGTATGAGAAGAAACAAAAAATGCTAACAAACACTCCAGCTCGAATGAATCAAACGCCTTCTTTCAATGGCCTCTCCCAGCCCCCCTCCTCTTCATCAACGAAAGCAGCGATGCGCGAGACCACTGCGCCAACGAAAGAAGTAAATCTCATCCCCCAAAAAGCTTCCCTCATTGCCTCCACGATCTCTACTTTATCTCCTCCCCCCCTCCAACACTCGATCTTCAACAACGTCTTGTGGGTGATTGTGGCTAAAACATCAATGGCAGCCTTCCTCTCGTACCTCCGCCTGTCCATATACATGGCCATCGTCTCCGTCGCAATCACCGTCTCGTTCCACATCTACCGCACGCCCAGCGAGCTCGAGCGCCAGGTGGCCAAGCCGCTGGGGGCCGTCTTCTGGGTCCTGTCCGTTGTGACGCTTGCTGTGGGGGCAGGGAACTATATAAGTGAGTTTGCTTTCATCAATCCTCCATTCCTCTCCATTTGATAATTCATTCTTTGCTGCTATTTTGTCTGTGAACGATTTGGATGAGTGAGGCTGATCAGAATTCGTCGTGTGTCGTAGGGACTGTCAATCTATATGGTCGTAGAGCGGCCATTGTGCAGTCTGGCTGGAAGACACAAATTGTAAGTCTACCTTGTTTTCTAGAGCAGGAGCGTGCAGTGCGTGCTGACTCCGCTGTTGTCACAGGTGTTGGGCATCATAGCCGCTTCAATCATTGGAACGTGCATCATACTCCTTGTGATAGACAAAGTACGCCAAAGATGAGCTTATGTAGCTATTCGATCTATTGCCACTCTTGCACACCTGTTCTCCTTGCCTCTTCGGTTGATAACTCACTTTCTCTCCTGCAAGATCTGTATGTATATTGCCCATTCATACATTGCAAATATTGTATGTACATTTTCCCATTGATACAAAAACCCATAGAAGAATAATCAATATTGTCGTCATGCAAAATACCCCATGACTCCATCGTACGCCTTGTTTCACCAAATTACACACCCTTTGCAAAACAAAACAGATCCCTCGCATAAGGATCCGGAGCTTGGAAAGCCTCCGGGCCTTCATCCTTGCACTGCCCAACCTGGCTGCGGAACGCCTCCTTGTACTTGGCAGCAGCTTCCCGGATGCTGCTATCTTGTGTCTCTTGACCATCCCATGTCAGCCAAGGCATGCGGTATAGGAGCGGCAACTCGCCCCCATGCGGAAGCGTCGCCAGCATATCCACCTGAGATGCTGGATCAAATACATCCGCGAAAAGGTTGGCCGAGTCTTGTCCGGAAGTCGCTTCATCCTCATATTCCTCCGGCACGTCGTGCAGGTCGTTGTGAATGCCGACAACGCTGTCGGCGGTCTGCTGGGTAGGGTAGAGAGTGACATATCCTCGCAGCCGTGACAGCTGAAGCGTGTATTCCAGCCAAGCAGGGTATTTCTTACTAACCTCCTTCTTGGCGAGGAGATCCGGCGTGGTCGACCAAGCGTGCCGCTTATCCAGAAGCTGAGACACGTAGCCGTGAAGCTCTACCCATTTGTCGCCCATGATGAGGATCGCATCGCTGCTGGGGGCCTGCCAAAGGAAGGGAGTATCCTTTGCGCCCGACTCCTGTCCTTCGAGTGGTTTGGGAGGCACAAACTCGCGGTTGCCGTCGAGATATGTTGTCGGGGCCGAGAAGCTGATGCCAAACAGTTTGGTCTGCCAGTCCTGTCGAGTGGCAATCTCTGAGTATCGTCGCTGCAGCAGCGAATACTTGACATCTGGTTTGGAGTCAGTATAACCAATCAAATCCTACTACCACAGAGGAAGAATGTGCTTACAATGGAAGAATTGAGGGGTGACTTCGGTGTGAGGCGAAAGAACCAAGACATGAGAATGAGATGGTTTGATCGGCCAAAAGGACTCCAGGAACCGGACAGAGCTCTCCTCTTCACTCAGTTTCTGTCGAGGGATTCGGTGCCGTAGCGAGAGCAGCCGTGGTCTCGGAGCTCCAGCAGGAACCTTTGGGGGCCATTGATACCCACCCAGGAAGCTGCTCAGGTCTCCTTCTATGATGGTTGGGAGTTCAATGGTCAGGTGAGGCGGAGACACGCCAGCAAGATCAGCCCGAGCCAAAGATCTCAGCAGCCGCTTGAGGTTGCCTGTGCCGTGGTGAGGGGCGTGAATGAGAATGTCAAAGCTGACCTCGTTCCAGGCTGTGGTTGGACTTATTGTTAGCATCGCGTTACCAGAAACGACAGAGCAGTCCGAGGGAGGATTGCGGCCTTACCTGCCAGGGCAGAGGCATCGAGCTTTGACAACCAGGAAAATCGATTCCCGGGCCTTTCTGGGAGCTCAATCAATGCAGCTTGCATGGCTTGGATTTCATCGCGAACGCCAGAGAGAAAGTATTTCTCCTCGGTACTCGATGAGTCTATGATGATGGCTTGGGGGTGCATGTAAGCGCCCATAAAGTCTAGAAAAGGCTACCGGTCAGGACTGCGTCTGAGAGTAAGGTGTCGGTTTCAGTCTCCTATTTCACTTACAGAAAGCTCGGGCTACAGAAAGCGCCATTCGCGACTCGGTTGCTGTCGTCGAATGGTCGGGGCGAGCATCTATATAGTCAATTTCATCAGCATCGTCGAACAATATCAGCTCGGCACACGAGCGACTTATAAGAGGCCTTACCATGAACAATCAAGGGGCATCCCTTGTCGAGGCCATTGACAGCCAGCAATTCCTTCATGGGCACGTCACTCCTACTCATCAAGGCAAAATGCACGTAGTTTTGGCGCTCCATGGCCATCTGGCAGGCCATTGGAAGCAAAAGTGCCGCACTCTGGAGGCTCGCAGCTGCGAACAAGACGTTGCGATTCTTCTGAAGCCGCCCGGACGTCTCCGACATGATGGCTTGCAGCGACTTGCCCAGATGCGGGAGCTTCAACGGCCCGTTGTACGTCCTGGAGGTTTCTGCCGCGGCTTTGCTTACAGCTTGTTGGCTACCGCTGCTGCCCTTTGACCCAGCCTGGTGCTCTTGTTTCTTTGACGTCTGCGCCGACTTGATCGAGGGGCCCTCTTCCTCCATGCGAGGCGCATCGTATCTGGGAGGAGGCCGTTGCGTGTCATACAAGGGCATCAGATTTGCCGGATCAAGAGAGGAGGCACCCGGAGCAGGTCCAATGATTCTGAACAGCCCATATGCCAGCATGAAGAGAGCACCAGCATACACGATGAGCCGAAGCACCGCGGTCCAGTGCAGAGACGATTTGGGGGCGGCTTGCCAATGGTCGGAGTGCCTGGAGTGCCGAGGCAGGCCAATGTCATCGTCCTTTTTGTTGGCCATTTCTTCGTCGTCGTCGCGCCAGAGTTGCGACAGAGACCAGCCGCGGGTTGCCGGAGGCGCCATGTCGTTTGTTGGTGAGGCGCTTCAGCCTTGCCACTTGTACATATGCGAATTGCGACAGGGTGGGTGTATGATGAATCTGACGCCGGGCTGTTACATGGCGATGCAGCTTCAGCCCCGGATTGTGCCTGTTGCTTTGATTTTGAAGGGCCGTGCCGGGCGAGATCCGAGCGGTGGTGAGTGGTGTTGATAGAGATGAATCTGGGTGTTGTGGCAGCTTTATAGCAGCTACCTCTATTACTGCTCTCCTGCCTTATTACACAACGGAGACGATTAGATAGCAACTGTGGCGCAGTTTGTGGGGAGCTTTACTTGCCGACATTGGTTCAGTGGCTGATGGCTCTCGTGGCTGGCGCCCGACATGAATCGGCGTCTCTGGTTCGTGGTTCGTGGTTCGTGGTGGCATAGCCAATCGCTGGAAATACAGGGCGTCGAGCTCTAGCAACACCTAACTGGAGCAACTGACCATCGGCGCTGATGGTTCACTGAAGACTGCTGTGGCTGTTATCCGCCTGAGTACTACCTAGGTAGTTGAGTGGAGGGGCAGCCTATTTGGTGGTGGGGTACGAGCAACGATCTTAGTGCCAGGAGGAAGAAAAAGATTTCATCCATGTAAACAGCAGCTTCAGCAACACAGACAGACAGACAGACTCATGCCATTACCCCCGTCCTTCATTATTTATTATTACATCTTCTGACTGCCATCACTCTCACTCTCACACTTTTGATTGTAATACGTCACAAAAATGGGAAAATCAAAGAAGTCCAAAGGCGGCTACCGCAGCGATCCCGTCGCCAAAACCGTCAAGCCTCCCTCAGACCCCGAGCTCGCCGCTCTGAGAGAAAGCAAGATCCTGCCCATCATCAACGACCTCAAAAGCGCCGACCCGAAATCTCGCTCCACCGCCGCCTCGCTCATCTCCAGCATCATCCAGGACACCAAATGCCGCAAGCTGCTGCTGCGGGAACAGATTGTCTACACTGTTCTCACCCAGACGCTGACGGATGCTGCTCTTGAGAGCCGGGCTGCCGGCTGGGGCATCTTGCAGGTTCTTGCTCAGGAGGAAGAGGCTGATTTCTGTGTCCACTTGTTTAGACAAGATGTTTTGACGGCGATTGAGTTTGCCTCGAAGCTGGTAAGCAAGCAATCCTCAGAACTCATGATGATCCAGGCCAATATCTCTCTAATCAACCATCCATCAACACAGATTCATGACAAGATTACCTCAAAAGAAACCCCCTTTGCAAAACTGCCCAAGGCTGAAAAGGGCTTCATCTCAAGTATCGCTGCATCTATAGTCTCACTGTTAACAGCCCTGGCCGAGGCCAGCGACGAGATTTTGGAGGCCATCTGCAAAAACTCGACCATCACCAACGTACTATTCACACTCATCACATACACGCCCCAAGATGAACAAGATCCCATAGCAGACATCCGCGGAGACGCCATGGCTTGTCTCATGATTCTGTCCGAAGACAATGCAGATCTCGCTCAGAAGCTCACCTGCACCGGCAGCACCGCCTGCTACGAGGCGCTGGTACCCCTGAGGAACGACGTCAGCGGAGATGGCGTCCTGGCTTGTGCCATTCTTCACAACATCTACGCCTCTCTCCTCGGACTGAAAAAGGTTTCGCCCAAAACCGACGTTGCGGACGACTCAGACCTTGTACCGACCCTGACAAAAGCCATCGCCGGCTACGTCCCTGGGGAGACCGTCGCCAACGGCAGCAGCTGGTCCAGTCCTTCCGAATATCAGCAGCTAGCCCTTGAGACGCTCGCGTCCATCGGCACAAGCCTCGTCTCGGCAATGGGCGGCCCCCAATCTTCCTCCCGGAAAGACTTGGGCGCCGCTGGGGCCGAAAAGGAGGAAGACGCCGGGGATGGTGACGATGACGAGAACATGGACGAAGTGCTGTCCGACAAGGAGGGTCAAGACGACGACGACGAAGAAGAAGACCGCGATGAGGACGACGACATGGACGAGGACGAAATAGAGGCCGACATGGACATGGTCACGGGCGGCGACCACGGCGACGAAAACATCGACGAGCTCCCCACCCTCAAGGCCCTCATCCAGCTCGCCCTCCCCGAGCTCATCCGCATCGCCACCATCCAGCCGTCCGACGACCTCGCGCTCAAGATGCAGGCCCACGCCCTCTCGGCCCTCAACAACATCGCCTGGTCCGTCTCCCTGTTCGATCTGTCCGACGACTCCAACGCCGGCATCAAGCGCGCCTGGACCCCCGTCAGCCGCGCCCTGTGGCAGCAAATCATCTCCCCGACCCTCGCCTCCGACACCGCCGACGTCGACCTCGCCACGCAAATCACCAGCCTCGCCTGGGCCGTCGCCCGCGTCCTCCACGGCGAGACGCCCCTCCAGCCCAACGAGCACCGCAAGTTCATCTCCCTCTACCAGGCGACAAAGGGCGCCCCCGCCCGCCTCGACCCGGAGGACCCCTTCCAGGCCCTCGGCGTCAAGTGCATCGGCGTCCTGGGACAGCTTGCTCTCCATCCTTGCCCGACGGACCTCAACCGCGAGATTGGCACGTTCCTCGTTACTGTCATTGCGGGCCTTCCAGATACGCCGGCTGCGGATGCCGTCGAGGCGTTCAACCAGGTCTTTGACATTTACGGCAACGAAGAGTATCCCTATGACGCGGAGGTTTTCTGGAAGGGCGGCTTCCTGAAGCACCTCGATGGAGTGGTGATAAAAGCAAAGGCCATGGCCAAGAGCATCAACAAGAGCGCCCAGCCTGAGTTGAGACACAGAGCGGACGAGGTCGTCATGAATCTGACGAGATTCTTGGCGTATAAGAAGAAACATAAGCCGGTGGAGGTGACGCTGAGGTAAGAGACAGGACGTGGTGGGGATAGCAAGCAATGCAACAGCATCATCTTGCTCGCATTTGATCGCATAATCTAGCATATTTGGGTAGTAACGTAAACATTGGACGCCCATGACATTGTAAATAAATAAATAAACAACATTTTGATACTCCGTTATAGCCCATCACATCTGGATTCCGCCGTGCCCCATGATCAACACCGTTCAAAGACCCTGTACAATCCCTTCAAGCTCGCAACCTCCAACACAGCGCCCTCCATGAGCTTCTTTGTAGCAACCAGCCGCGACTTGAATGTGGGGAAGAAGATGTGCTCCACAGCCCAACGTACATGCTGCCTTCTCGCTCGCAGCTCCTCGAGAGCCTCCTCCTCCTCCTCTTTCTGCTCGTCCTTTAAACTACCCTCCTCCTCTTCAAACTTTCCAGAGGGAGACGTCGGCAATGGTTCAGGTACGTAAAACGTCGCTAATTCCGTGAGGAATGTATGAAAGCACGACTTTTCGTCGTTCCAGTCGACATGGGGTCCGAGACGAATGAGAAACCGAGGCAACTTTCCGATAGACGGCGTGTATCCCTTTACAAGGAGCGGGATAGAGATCAGCTCCCCCGTAGGAGTAATCTCAAGCGAAAAGTATTCGAGGAGCATCTCCCTGCGTTCGATAAGTTGATTCGCCACCTTTTCGACAATGACATCGACATCAAGCTCCTCGCCAGAAACGCCCATGGCCTCCTTTTCACCTTCGGCCCCTAACTGCAGCAACTCTCTGAGGTCCAGCGGCGGGTTGAAATTGATGGTTCCGAAATTGCCAAAGTCAGTCAGCCCAAGCTGGTAGAAGTACTCGAAGCAAGCGTGCCCGTAGTCAATCAGATACAATTTCACGCCCCCTTGAATGGCGGCAAGCCGTCGCTCCTCATCGACAATGCCGACGAATGTATGCGAGGCGATGATTTCCGTCAGCTCGTGGTGAATCTCATCTCGGACCTCTTGACGCAGCTGCTTGACGCTACCGAGGCGGCATTGCACCTGATCGCGGTCTATTGTGGTGTACTCCACCGGCTCTGGAACAGCCCATGCTTCATCTTCAATGGTCCCCTTGGCCGGAGAACCTGCTGGTTTGGAAGGGCCCGCCGGCGCAAACATGGCTGTGATTTTGCCCTGAGATGTGTCTGTCCGGACGAGGTCATTCGAGTTCCGTCTCACCTTTCTGAGGGCCGGCGTGGTAAATTTGTAGGCCGCGTCGCTGTCATCTTCATCCAGAGGCTCGACTGGCTTGGCCCCCGGCAACAGCGTCTGTGTCATGAATGTTCGACTCGCATCCACTTTGGCAAGCTCGGTCTCAATGCTCTGACAGATGACTTGCAGGATCTCCTCTTCGTTGAGGAAGTGGACTTCCCGCTTCGTAGGGTGAACGTTGACATCCACTCGAGCCGGATCAATCTCGAGGCTGAGGTAGATGAACGGGTGGCCGCCCTTGGGTAAGAAGCTGGAGTATGTCTGTTCGAGCGCCTTCTTCATGGATGTCGACTCAACACAGCGGTGATTGATGAACAATAGCAGCGTTGTCTTTTTGATGTGGTAGTTGGCGTTCGTGACATACCCATGGGCAGAGAACCCCCACCGGTCATCTGAGGCCGAGATCTCTATCAGCTCATTGGCAACATTGCTGCCATGAATCTGTCGAATGCGGTCTATTACCGTCGCTTGCGCTTGTATGGAGAGCGTATTGGTAGCTTCACCAGCCTTCTTGCAAGTGAAGCCTACGCCTCTGCAGTGAATCGCATAGCGTCCCGCCATGTCGATGATCTTGTTGAACTCATCTGCGTAAGACCGGAACGCCCTTCGACGAGTCGGCACATTGAAGAAGAGATCTTCCACTGTGATTTGAGTTCCCTGCCGCCCGGCAACGGCCTTGGGCTCCGCGGACTGTCCTGGCTTCGCAGGAGCTAACTTTCCGTCCAGATAATGCGCACGCCAGGCGACGGATGATTCTTTGGTCTTTGTAGTGACGGTCAAATGGGCGATGTGGCTGATGCTTGCCAGCGCCTCGCCTCGGAATCCATATGTGGCAATAGACGATAGGTCTTCGAACGTGGAAATTTTGGACGTCGTATGCCGCACGCACAAGATTTCCAAGTCGTCTTTCTTCAAGAGTGTCAGTCGCTGTGTTGATAGTGGGAGATTGTACCTAGGTAAAAGCAAAGTACCTCGATGCCGCCGCCGTTGTCCGTAATCTGAAGCAACTTCAGACCTCCGTCTTTGACGAGGATCTCCAGTGACGTCGACCCTGCATCCACTGCGTTCTCAATGAGTTCCTTGAGCGCATGGACCGGCGCAACAATGATCTCTCCAGCAGCGATCTTGTTGACAACATCGGGATCGAGGGCCTGATTGCAGGGACTGAGTTAGTAAGATTGACCCTCCACGCCACTTCACAAGCGGTATAAGGATGAGAGAAGCACGTAGAGATGCCATACCCTGATCCTTCGTGCTGGCTTTGGAGACTCAATCTCATCCACAGCCTTCCTCTTCGTCCCGCTCGGGGCGCTGTCAATGTCCATCCCATCCATTTTTGTTTTTTTCTTTTGGCAACGAAATCAATTCTATCCGGTCGATCAACGCAGTAATAGATCGCACTCAGACACCACGTAAAACATGTGCACTCCCGAGTCACCGACCATCATCAAACAACGCCAATAGAAGGTCAACCCGTCGCACAACAGCCAGAAGTATAACGCAACGATCGAAATGCAAGAGAAGAGTAAAATGACGAGGTCCGAGGGTTTCTCATTGCATGAGTTTCAGGAAACAGAAAGTGACGGCGGTGGGAGGAAAGAGCTGAGGACTTGCATGCTTACGCGAACATCCCACGTCTGCACGTGACTGAGACGGTACCTGATACACCACCCGGTAACAGCACAGGTTGAACCCAAAAGCTCCTATTGCGAGAAAAGGATCGGTAACTGTTTGGTGAGGCAACAAAAGAGAGCAAAAGAGAGTATACCTTTTAGAAAGACAAACACAATCATGGTTCCAGGGCTAGACTAACGCATGGGTGTCGCCGCTCATGGTTGAGTCTTCGGAGATTCTGCGTTCCGCATAGCTGTAGATCAGGACGCAAAGCCTTCCAAGCGTCAAAGTGTTACCAAATCATAATCAGGGGGGGGATACTCTTCAGATCATTGTATCTTAAATATCAGAACCATAAAAACAAATCGCTATACGCTATACAGGTCGCTAATATCTAGGTAGTCATATCTCTGTCAAGCACAAATCCTCCCAATCTCCAACCCCAAGATTTGCTCAACAAACAATAGACAAAACAATTGTATAAACCAAACTGCCACCCTATACCATGGGCTGCCGCCATCACCGCTCAAGCTTCGCGAAGCCATTCCCAACAAAAAAGACAGAGACAGCCAGAAGAAGCAAGAAGAATACCGAATGGGAAACAAAAACATGATTTGATGTATGCAGATTCCTTTGATCCCAGTCAAAGATATCATTGATAAGAAAACGCTTGATTCGATCAATTTGGCCTCCGCCAACCTCTTTGAAACATGATACCGCTCGCTGGCCGCCCCTTCTTGTCTAATAACCAAAAGGAGAAATCAAGGTCAGCTGATAGACCATATCAAGGAAATAGACAAACAAACAAAAATGAAGATTTGAGGGGAAAATGAGTCATATCAAGCAATAGTGAAGTTGACTCAAATGCCACCAAATTGCGCAAATTCAGATCCGGCTCCTGCCGACAACATATGACTGTACTGTTCGGGCCCTTTCACAAACCGTTGATGCAAAGGAAACCCAAGAAACATCGCTCTTCTGTTGCATAGGGTTGTAATTTCAACCCAAATTTCCGAATAAACCTGAGCGCCTGCGCCAAAGATCAACCACTGAACAAGATGTACGGCGTACACCTTCGAGGGCTAAAAAAGGCCGCCAAGGTTGGAGATGAGTGTTTCCAAGAAGAATCGACTGGCTGCCTTCATCTCCTGGTGGAATCCCCAGGCTGTTCTATCAAGCCACCGATATCGACTCGTCTTGATCGCTCGCCATTGGGCCAACCGACCTCTCGGGACGCAGGCCGGTGTTCAGGCGGCGCCCGAATAGGGGGTAGCTGATAGGAGGGCTGAGTTGCAGGCCGGCTAGTAGAGACATGTTCGTTCTGCGACGCCTGGTAATTTGGCCGGGAGTAGTGTGACTGTGAATAAGACTGGAGGCTTGAGCTTGTACCGGCACTCGAGGCAGCCGGATTGTGTGGCGGCCGGATAGATCCTTCGCTGAGGCGATGACGAAAAGGATCTGCTGAGGGATTGCTCGACCGATCTCCGTATGCCGGTTGATGCGGGGGCGGCGGAAGATGATAGGAGGCGGCAGTAGGTTCCCGTGTATGGTGCGTAACCGGTGAGTGCTGCGGCAGCTGCGTGTATGGAGCTGGCTGCGAAAGTTGTCTCTGATGCAAATGCTGCGGATATTGCTGGCGCTGCTGAGTCTGTTGTTGTTGTTGTTGTTGTTGCTGCTGCTGCTGTTGTTGTTGTGTCTGCTGATGGGGCTCCCGAGACTGTGAATGCTGTTGATGTTGATGTTGCTGAGTCCGTTGCTGTTGTGTCTGGGACGCATGTTGCTGTGATGGCAAGGGCGGCGGTAGCGGCGGGTGATGCTGAAGACTCAACAAGAACACAACGAAATAAAACGAACCCTCCTTTGCAAGCCCAAAACGAAGCGGAAAGGTCCTCGTGTAACCGTCGTATCCAACAAAGCCAAAATATTCGAGATGGTTGAGGCGAAATTTCGCAGCATCTTGACTCGTAAACCCAAACTCTTTGATGGCAAGATCCAGTCGGCCCAGCATGGGAGGCAGATAATTGGGCTCGTGCAGTCGTTGCTCTTCGATGAGCTGGTTCTGGAGGTTGTTAAGGAAACTCGCCTGATGTGGCGTGACGATGTCGCTCAATTTGTTCCCCAGTGGGTTCGATGCGTGGACGATTTCCATGAACATGGGCGATGCTTTGACAATGCTAAAGTCCATGCTCAAGTACGCCAGGGGTTCCATGGCATGCGGACTGCGCGGGTAGGAAGAATTGTAGTGCACTGGCTCAGGCGCCGTGGCTCTCTCCTGGTACGAGCGCGAGCCGGCATCGGTAGCTGGGGCGTCAAGGGACCTGAATGACGAGTTTCGTCGGAGCGAATCTTCGTACGGCGATACCATACTAGCTCCAGATGGAAATATACTCAGTGGTCTCCTGAGAGACGCATCTTGGTGGTGCGAGTACCTGGTAGGTTCGAACCTTGCGTCTCTTTCGTCTCGTAATCGCGGTCGGCCCCTTTTCTTATGCTGAACGTCCACGCAAGACTCCTCCTTCCCATTGCCGATACATCGGGAACAGGGCCGTTGTGCTATATATTGATTGTTAGCTCTTCGGTTCGTTCGAAATTTTCTTCTATTCCTGGCGACCCCTTGTCTCCATCACGATCCGTTGACTCTTGCGTCTTAACCGACTTCCGCCAGGACGTCCACAACTCTCGCCTGCTGGACCTTGGGCACCTGCGGCTTCTAATGGATGCGTTTTGCCCGAGAGAAAGGGCCAGCAGCTCAACAATGCCAGCTTTGCTTCAGAAGATCAAAGTTCATGATAATCACAACGTACCGTCGCATCTAGGAAAAAGGAGCGTTAGCTATTTAGTACTACCCCTGAACCTCGTAATCACGCATCTCACCAACCGCTGGGGAACTTACCGAAGATGAGCTTTCTTGCAGGGTACGCAAGCCGAAGCAACGTGGCCTTTCGTCTTTCTCTGTGATTTCGGAGATGTCAAGGACTGGGTGTCGGCTGCCTGTGATCGGTCAGGCGCAGGATACGGTTCCGAGGATGCTGAGTTCAGATACGGCGCTGCTGAAGCTCCCTGGGGCATTCCATGATGGTGCTGAGGGGGGTAGACGTAAATCCTTCCTGCGTCTTCGGGTCTGGGGTACGAATATGGCGACCTCGTTGCTGGCTCGGGCGGATAGGATCTCGTTATTGGCGAAGTCTGGTCTCGATTGCTCGTGGGAGGCGCCTGCGCTGGGCCGCCGCGAAGGCCATCCAAGAGCCGGGGAGCATAATAACTCGGGGCTTCACCTCTACTACCAGCCTCATGAGCTGATCTCAGAGGTAGGGGCGGAGAACCGGACATAGGAGGCGACGGATATGCCCTACTCCGTCCAGCTGACTCCTCTGTGCTGGGCTCTTTACGGCCCCAGCTGAGGTCAAAGGCACAGCGGGCCGGGTTGGGGTAAGCTCGATGATGCCCAGGAAGGAGGGGCGGCGTCGGATTAGAGGGATGCGTTATTGATGTCATGGAGGATGATTCAGGCAGGACTCGAGATGGCTACTCTCCGGAGCCGCAGGTCCAATTCCCAGCAACAGCAGACTTCAGGTTTCGTACATGTATACCGAACAAGAGTGTGAACAGATCGGAATGAATTGGAAGGGAAAGATGTTGTTCCAGTCGAACAATACTGTGAAATCGAAGATTAGGAGCAGCCTGGAATATTGTGTAGTAAGATCGCGGTGGGAGCTCCTGGCAGTCGCAGAAGAGTCGTCGAAATTTCCCCTTCAACGGAAGAAATATCCGCAAGAAGTAATTAAACGAGCGTATAAAACCTCGTGCCTTTCCGTGCTCTCGTCTCCCCAAGTAAGACACAGAACTCGGCAGCTGGTCTCAGGACGAGCAGAAGGGGAAGAGAAAAGAAAAGCAGGTCGTTTGTTGAACGCAGGGTATGGTCACGGCACCGAGAAGCTATGCCAGGCCAGCGGCTTCGAAACAAGAATGGAACCAAGGTCCGGCTAGGCGGAGGAGAACCGACGTGAAACAGACGCCGCTGGAACGGTGTGATACCTGATGCCCAGAGATGTTAGAAGCTTTCGTGATACAGCATGCGGTCGTGTCGTCGGTGGTTATCGAGATGGAACGGCAGCCCGCAGCAAATCGCAGAGTTCCACGACCTGGGTGACGGGTTCTGGCGAAGCTGAAGTTGCTGGCACCCGACTTGAGTCGCGGGCTCAAACGACCGAGGCAGAGAAAAGGGCATAACGGGGACCAGCCCCGAGAGAGGCTGATTGGCGGCTTACAGTCGGTTTTTGTGCGACTTTTGGGCCTAATCAATGGGACCCAGTCGCCAGATGCAAGATAGTCGGACCAAAGAACATGGGGTTATCCGCCGAAGAGCCTGCAAGCCCAAGAGCTACCAAGTAATAGCAGTGTAGTAGTAGCAGTGTAGGTGGCCAAGTGGTGGTAGGAAGCGTTGAGGAGACGGGGGGGTCCACGGACCGAGTTCCTGGACTAATAATGTTCTTATTGCAATGAGTTAATCAGAGACGACTTCCATGGCGATCCCCTGCCCGGTCAATCCTATCTGACAATTCTCCGCCGGCTTGTCTCGAGGGGGGGAAGGAGAGACGACCACCTTGCGTGTGAGATTTCACAAGCGTAATAAGACACTGGAGACGGCTATGATTGGGGCAGACTTGGAAGGGAAAGGCGGGAAACAAGCAGAGAGCTGTGGAGGTTGGGTGGGAAGGGGCGTGTTTCTTGTCCTCCAGGGCGTGCTGCTGCTGCTAGCTTGGGTTGAGCTCGGTATCAAGCAGAAGGTTTAGTCAAGGCCGGCGGCGAGAATCTAGACGGTAGCCGTAGATATGGACAGGACGGGGGACCAGATAACTAGTCGCCGTTCTACAACGATGGTGGAGAGGCGCCATGCGAGTAAGAGGTAAGATTCAGCTGAAAAGGACTAGGACGCAGTCCCGGAGCCCTGAGCCGTGGCCGGGAGACGGCAAAGTGCAGTTGGCTGGGTGATATCTCTCCCCTCCTCGTTGGTTCAAGAAGGGGGATGGGTGGGTGGTGTCGCAGGGGATCAGGTCGATGTCGCCTGTCATTCAACTCCGTATCCTCTTCCAAGCCTTTTCAGATGCCGGGATGGGCCTGGTGTTCTAGAAATGTGAACCAAGCTGTGTTATACCGTGGAAGACAATCCTCTCCGTCTTCAGGGGCTGTACGAGGGTGAGCGACTTCTGCAATCCCTGAGTGATGAGCCAACGGGCTGCTTGGAGAGATGACCCAATCAGTCAGAGTAGGTGAGAAGAAAAATGTGACCAGGGCCAGGAAGATTTTGGAGCCCTCGGCACATTTAGAAGGGCCCGAACGACGTCTGGTGCCAACCCCGTGGACTCGTACCGGTACTGTACTTTTTGTCTGTAAGTAGATACTCCCCCAATCGGGGGGGCACCAGACGCAAGAGCCAAGGCTTGCAGCGGTGGTACCTTCAAGGAGTTTGGAGAAGCTCGCGTTGCCCCAAACCGCTTGAGAGACAGGGAGCGTGCATGGGAGTCGGGGAGCTAGCAAAGCTGGGATTAGGGCAGTAGTGGCCTGGCTAAATGGCGCGGCGTCGATGACGGATTGGAGGGATGGCTTCGTGAATCACGGATGGGCCACCACCGAGCAGGCCTACATAGATACCAGCAGGAGGGTGTCCACGGGGCGCCTTTGCTTAAGCGGGCCGGCTGAGTGCCAGATTTCTACGACGCACCCATCAGGCTAAACAATCGAAGTGGCATCATGGCGGAGGCCATGGTGGAGATGACACGAGCTGGACGCTTATTTAGGGACCGTGCCGGACCCTGCGCCTAGGTGCTGCTTTGCCAAACATGGGTACAGTACTGTCCATGTGTTGCTCACAGCACCCTCTTTTATCTTCCTGTTGGCCGGCGCCCACAGCCGTGGGCTCGGCGGCAAGGCTGCGTTGACTTCGTGGGAGGTCATGCCTACCTGGCTGTCGTATGGATGAGCGGAAAAGACTCCGTCCGACCATTTGGCTGCTCTGCGCCGTGGGCAGTGCGGGCACGCGGCGACTGAATGTCTAGCAGTGAGAACGAGGCCTGAGATGGTCGGCGAGAATCAGCGTCTCTGCGAAGGCGCTGTTGTGTCATGTATAGGCTCATGAGCTATCAAATGAAATGCTTCGCGTACCTGTACCTGTTCAAGCGACATTTAGTACCAGGTACGTGTGCAGGTAGTATTACCACCACGGAAATAAAGGTTGCTGCAACTGCATCGGCTTGAAGTCGCATCGACGATTGCAGACTGCCCAGAAAGGCAAGGGGAGGAGGCAAAGGGCTGGTGTTCCGTACTCCCTTACATTGCGTAGTCTGCTGAGGCCTTGTTGATGTGTGGGAGTTGGAGATCTTGAGCATGCAGACCAGATCCCAAACCTGTTCAGACACTGGCCGACGAATGACCAGTCTTTGTACAACGGTACTGGAATCAGAGCGCAAGCCTGCTGCTGAGTTCAGGGCAGCACAAGGAGCCAGACACTGAGACTATGCTTGCCCGGCGTCACCGATCCCACCCCGTGTCCGTCTGTGCGGATGTTAGGATCATGCACTCCGCCGGTAGTAAGAATACCGAGCCTGTCCCGACGCTCCTGTGCACTCCATGGTTGTACTGGCATTGTTGGTCTTTTCGCGACGGAGAACTTGCCTCCCCCAGATATTCTCAGCTATCATAACAGATGATGGCAACCCTTCTGCCTTTGGTGGTTCGTTTCCTTCTCCTGCCTGCATTGCACAACGAACGCGTGGCATGTGTGAAGCCTCTCGAGGCCAGAGAACGCGCCCTGTCCGATGATGACTTGGATACAGGTGCCAGTACAAGGACCAGGCATGGCCCTCGAAGAAAGGGCTGGCATCCTTCGTTCTCGTCGAATCCTCAGGGTGAAACCAGGTCTCGCCGGCGCGGCCCCAAGGCTCGGCTTGGGGTGTCCCCCCCCCAAATCCGCCTGTCGTTCTAAGATCCGGCCGAGTGCTCCAAGTTGCAGATTCTGGTGGAAAGCGAACGGGCCAGCATGCGGTCCGCGGATAAATGGGAGGGTGTGCCATTTAGCGTTGGGAACGGCGCCTCCCCTTGTCAAATGCGTGGCAGCTTGCCGGTTGGTATGACCCAAGATTTCCGAGATTAGTATCTCCATCATGTCAAAAAGTAGCTCGTTCCTGACAATGTAACGGGTACTTGAGTAGGTGCCGATTTAGGCCAAGCCGATCCTCTGCCTCAGTCTTTCAACGAACAAGCACTTTGTACAGGAGAACAGAGGCTTCTTGAGAACCGACTCGACCCCGTTGGTGTAGGCGTTGGCAATGTCTGCTGAGCAACACAAGCCTTGGAAGAGAGGGGAGACCCGGAAAGCAAAAAAAAAAAAAAAAAGAGATTGCGATCCTTGCGATTCCTTCGGTCCATCCATTGATACCTACTCATTGCCAAAAGCGAACCTGGTCCATCCGTGAGCAGGCCTGAGGCTAGCGCGGAACCGTCCGAAGCCATCTGCTTATGAGGTACTCCGTACCCAAATCAACATCTCGCATCGACGTGCGAGTACGGAGGTAAGTCCTCGTGTAAAACACTAACATGGTTGGCCTGGCCAGCCTAAGCGTGCGTGTGAGAAAGGCAACGAATGCACCAGCAGAATGGCCCCCGGCTTAGGTAGATTCCAGGACTCTCCACAAGACATCAGTTGCTCCGTGCATTGTACTTGCACTCGGCCGTGAGTGAATACACTAGGCCCCCCTGGTCCATCTTTGCGCCGGGAGCATAGGATACTCATGTCCTGTAAATGCTTGTAAAGCAGCATTTCCAGCAAAGACAAACGAGAATATGCCCCTCCGATGAGAGGAACCGGTCCCGGTAAGAAAACGCGCTTTCGATTTCGAGGCAGCTGAAGACGGAAGACGCTAGACAAATGGTCACATACCAGATGCCATCTATCAACGACACAAAGCTTTGCTGTCACCCAACCTTTGTCCCTCTTCTTGAATGGTATGCTTTGGTGTCCTCCACCAATCCCAGACCAGGTTCTCCAGTGCCGCTGGGAAAGGCCCTGGCATGAGAGATGAAAAAGGGTTTCGCCAAGTATCGAAGAAGGGGAAGAACGGAAGAAGAAGGTAAAGGAAGGCCGTGGCAGATCGAACAAGCATTGCGCGCACTGAGATATGACTGTCAGCGCGAGAAGTACATGTATCGTATGTACTTGCAAGGAAGCCCGTGCAGCAGTGCGACCGTGCCATCCCGAAACCAGATATTGACACATGATTCTGATAATTCACCCGACGGACTCATCCTTGCTCCCGTCCCTCCAATTAGCGAACACAACGTGAATGTCGATGCCCTTGTTGATATCAGTCGGGGGGAAAAGGCAGCGTTTGGTGTTTGTAACCTGAAGCAGATGCTTGCTCGCTTGAGTATATGTCAGGGCCTTTCATTCCAGAACGCAACTCCCTCGTCAGAATTTCAGATTCATCTTGCAAGCATGT